CTCAATAACGAAAGAAGTCCTGAAATAATATCTAGTTGCAATTTCACTTTTTCATTGGAAGAAAAATAAACATTTATTAACATTTCAAATGCAAAAACTATGTGAATTTTCCTTGAAACATAACTGCGCCTTCCACAGGGTCATAAAAAGTTACATTAATAGATTAAGATGCTTAAAGCTATAAATTCAACTATGAAATGAGTTTATAGCAGAGGTAAAATAATTTGGAAGAAATTACAAATTCCATTACCTTCCACCCCCTACTTTTTAAACAATTTATCTAAAATGTTTTTTTTAAAAAATTATAAATTTGAAAAAAGTACAGAGACATAAATCAAAACAAAATAAGCAGAAACTGGTTTGGCTCAGTAGATAGAACATCGGCCTGGGGACTGAAGGGTCCTAGGTTCGATTCTGGTCAAGGGCATGTACCTTGGTTGCAGGCACATCCCCAAGAGGAGGTGTGCAGGAGGCAGCTGGTTGATGTTTCTCTCTTGATGTTTCTGGCTCTCTATCCCTCTCTCTTCCTCTCTGTAAAATAATCAATAAAATATATTAAAAAAAAAAACTCCACGAGATAGTAAAGTCTGTGCTATTATAGGGCTTCCTCCTAGTAAGGGGAGTGACAAGCAAGAAAACAAGTAAATAAGCAAGAATGGGGAGGAAAAAGAGATATCTGTAATATTTTCAACAAATAAAGGTAACTTTTTGTTTTATTATTTTATTATTTAAATTCTTTCTGGTTTAAAGTATTACAGGTGTCTCCTTTCCCCCCATTGACCTTTCTCCGGCCTCTCCCACCCCCCTCCCAGTACATACCTTCACCCCTACTGTCTGTGACCATTGGTCATGCTCATATACATGCATACAAGTCCTTTGGTTGATCTCATTTTTATTTTTATTTTTTTAAATATATTTTATTGATTTTGCACAGAGAGGAAGGGAGAGAGATAGAGAGTTAGAAACATCGATGAGAGAGAGTCATCAACCAGCTGCCTCTTGCACACCCCCTACTGGGGATATGCCAGCAACCAAGGTACATGCCCTTGACCGGAATAGAACCTGGGTCCTCCAGTCCCCAAGCCGACGCTCTATCCATTGAGCCAAACCGGTTTCGGCTGATCTCATTTTTAAAAAACAAGATGCATTCACACAGTATTAAGTGTTTGAGGAAGATAAACATGGGGATATGGCAAAGAATGTGGGGTGTTCAGGGAAGACCTGAGGAGGTGAACAGATGTGAATGATGGGTTAGGGCCACTATGCCAAGGACTGGGAAAGGCGAGGCTGGTCTGGGTGGAAGAACCAGCAGGTGCCTGAGTCCCAGAAGGTCAGTGTGGACAGAGAATGGCAGGAAGGGTGGTAAGAGATGACAGGAGCACCTCACCTAGGGCTTGAAGGATGTGGCAATTCAGAATTAGTAATCTATATCTTTACAAATTCATATTCTTTGGGTAAATACCCAGAGAGGAGTTGCTGGATCTTATGGTTGTTCTATTCTTAATTTTTTTAAAAAAATATATTTTATTGATTTTTTTTTTTTTTTTACAGAGAGGAAGGGAGAGGGATAGAGAGCTAGAAATGTCGATGAGAGAGAAACATCGACCAGCTGCCTCTTGCACACCCCCTACTAGGGATGTGCCCACAACCAAGGTACTTGCCCTTGACCGGAATCGAACTCGGGACCTTTCAGTCTGCAGACCGACGCTCTACCACTGAGCCAAACTGGTTTCGGCTATTCTTAATTTTTAAAGGAACCTCCATACTGTTTTCCATACTGACTATACCAGTTTACATTTTCACCAAAGTTCCCTTTTCTCCATATCCACACCAACATGGATTATTTTTGTCTTTTTGATAATAGCTATTTGAATAGGTAGAATGGCTTTTGATTTGCAGTTTTGATTTGCATTTCCCTAATAACTAGTGATGTTGAACATCTTTTCCTAGACCTGTTTTCCATCTGTACATCTGGGGGGAAAAAGTCTATTCATGCAGCCATTTTTAAATCTAATTTATGTTGTTATTGAGCTGCATGAGTTCTCTGCAGTATTATTTACAATAACTAAGATGTAAAAAACAACATAAGGGTCCACTGATAGATGAATGAACAAAGATATGGTATATATGTATAAAGGAATACTACTCAGGATGGATCTTGAGGGTACTGTACTAAGTGAAATAAAAGAGATAGAAAAGATTAAAAAATCATAAGATTTCACCCATATGTAGAATATAAAACAAAAAAAGTAACAAAACAAACAAAAACAAAGTAACAAAAAAAATCCACAGACACAGACAACAGAATTTTTTCTGTTGAGGCAGAGTGGATGGAGGAAAGGTGAGTTGGATAAAAATTAGACTTTGGACAGTGAGCGCACAATAAAGTATACAGACATAAAAATAACCAATGTTATTTCAATAAATTTAATTTTAAAAGTTTTTTTTTAAATAGAAAGAGGACTGCTTCCACAAAGATCTAAAAAAAAAAAAAAAAAAAAAAATTAGTTACCTAAATTCTGATCCATGTGTAAATCACAGAATGAGAATTTACTCTGAAATGCTTATATTCACTTATCTTAGGCCATCCATGGGAAATCACTTACCCTGTAAACATACTGATCATTAACTAAATGCAAAAGAACTCTTTTAAAAGGAATACCACAGAACCTCATTCAGGAATTTAAAGAATGTTTAGCTCACTGTGATCTCCAAGATAACTAAAAACAATATAAGAGCACTTACAAAATAAATTCCAAAATACCAGAACAATAACAATGATCTCCATGTCAACATTAAATTCATACTTCATGCAGCAATATCATAGGAGCTTTTCTGTTGAGGTTTTGCCATTCAGCTAAATCTGTGAAAACCTTGAAAAGCTTTCTTGACTTAGTTCTAAGCCAAATGTGATTATTGATTTTGTCTGGATGGGAGATTTGGGAAGTATTAAGATGAAAAAAACAAAACACATATATAGTTTTTTAGCCCTATATCATTAACACGTATGTGAATGTGTTCAGTAAACACATCCAACATATTATACATCCCTGTAAAGTGGCACTCATGAGGTTTTCTAGTTGCAATAATTATCCTTCATTTTGTATGAAGAGAACAAGGGAAAGAAACAAGATTTCCAGGCCTGTAATAGGTACCAGACATAGAGTTTTCACCTAGTGCTCACAGTTAGCGCTGTGAGGTATTATCTTCATTTTACTAACGTGAAATGGGTTGGGTAACTTGTTCAAGGCCACACAGTTTGAATACCTAACTCCAAAGCTCTCGCTCTGCCTAAATCAATCATTAAAGCCTCATTACTGAGAGAAGCTGATGAATTAATGGCATTAATGTATTCAACGGGCACTTTTCTTAAGCTCTTGAAAAGCCTATTCACCCACTTTGGGTGAGCACACAATACAATATGGAGATGATGCATAACAGACCTGTAGGCTTGAAACCTATATACTTTTCCTGAAACAATGCCACCCCAATAAACTCAATAAAAATCAAAAAAGAACAAGAAAAGCCCATCTAACCATCCTGCACTTACAAAAAGGAAAAAGAACAAAACATTCTTAAAATAGCTTGTCCTCTATTGATCAAAACAGCCTTTCTGAAGAGAGATCTCCAAATCTAGGAGTTGATTTTTTGGCAACGTTTAACAAGAGAAGAATTTTTTGACTAGCCTGAAGTATGAAGGCATGGCCACCCAGAGAGTGGGTTACCCGGGCATTTAATGTTACCAACAAACGTGATGAGGGCATGCTTACGGTGGCTCAGACAGCCCCTCTTCACACACTCCAGTCCAGCCCAGTCTTAGGAAAAGCAAGTGTGCAGTCTGAGCAGTGAGAACATCCGCACAAATTGTTTCTGCTCCTGAATTCACGGGCATCAGATGACCTAACTGGTGGTCAATGCTGATGGACAAAAGATTTAAGGGAAGGGGCTTCGGGATTTTTAAGCAAGTTCTGAGCTGCTGACTCTCCTGATGCCTCCATCACTGAGATCCTTTAAAACAGTCCTGCCTGTCAGCAGGCTTCCAGCAGGAACTTATAAAATGGCAATGAAATTCGGGGGTGGGGGAGAGGGGTGGGGAGGGATCACACTCTTGCATAATCGTTTAATTCAAACCCACACAAGTATTCACCGAGTTCTTGTTTATTTGGCTCTGCCATTCCTGGAACCGTTCCCCCTGCAGTGCTTGGGGATGGAAGTCTTTCCCCAGAGTTTAGCCCAGCCACATTTTTGACATGCTTGCGCAGTCCTGTTGTTTTCAAAAAACACAGAACCACATGTTCCACAGAATTGTGTTTTCCTCGGGAGTCATTTAGGAAACGACTGACCGACGTGTGATTTTCCATCTGTCGCTTGCACCACAGCAGTCCGCACCGAACGGTCTTTACATCACGCGACCGAAGCGGAATCCGAGCTCCGGCTGCCCTCGTCCCACCAGGATCCAAGGGTCATCTGGCTGAACCGCTCTCCCGTTTCCACGACTTGAACACCAACCAATTGGACAAACAACAACGCGGGGAGCAAACGAGGGCCTGCTTCCTGCCACCCCCCCCCGCCCCCCTCCCCATCCCCGCCGCGCACAGCCGGGGAGTCTCTCCGTTCAGCCCCAAGTGCCGCTGAAACTACTCTGGTCGCTACTCCACGTCCCTCTGCGCTCCGGGCACTCAGCCCCCTTTGGGGTCCCCTCGCTCCCAGTGGGGTCTGCGCTGAGGCTGGCACTCGGTCGGAAGGGAGGGAGAGGTGCTCTCGGAAGCTCGGCGACCCCTTCCCCCGGGCGCCCTCCTGGAGCCCCCTGCGCTGGAGGGGGGCGGGGGGCGGGAGGGTGCGGCCCCGGCCCCGCGGGGGGCGCAGGGGTGGGCGCGCAGGTGAGCGGAGAGGCCCGGGCGGGACGCCCAGGGCGGGTAGGAGATGGAGGGTGGAGGGTCTCAGCTGGGCGGGGGGCGAGGAGGGGGCCTCGCAGGGGAGGGGAGGGGAGGGGGACTTACCCGCGGCAGCGGCGGCGGCCAGGCCCAGCAGCGGCAGCAGCACGGCGGGCAGCGCGGCCCCGGGCATGACGGCGGTGCGGGCGCCGGGCTCGGAGAAGCGGGGCGGCCCTCCCCTCCCCGGGGCGGCCGCGGAGGGAGGGCGGGGGCCCGGCTCGCCCAACCCGCGGCCAGATCCGGCGGCGCGCTGCCCGCTGGCCCGGGTCTCCAAAGCGATTTTTAAAACTTTTCATGTGAATCGAATTAATTTCAGACTCGCAAACATCTTGCAAAAACATCGTACAGAGAATGTGTGTCGCCCTTCAGCCAGCTTCTCTAAATATCAACGTCCTATGTAATGCCAGGGCCATAATCAAAGCCGAGAAAGAACGCTGGTGGGATTCCCTGGATGGTCTCTCTAATGTGCCTTTTCTGTCCTCACATCCCGTCCTGGGTCACTCATTGCACTGTATTGTGATGTCCCCTTGGTTTCCTTTGACATGGAACAGCTCCTCTGTTACTCTTTTCTCTCCCTCCAGGTTTTAAAACCTTTTATTTGCATATTAAAAACACTGCGAATTCCAGTAACTAAAATCATTTTAACAACCACAAAAAAAGGCACCGTTTAAATTGCATCTTACAGCTTGCAGAACATCTTGGATCGGCTTGGTTTTTACTCCAGATTTCACTATCGTCCCACCCAGCTGCTTCTTTCACCAACATCACCAACGTGCAGGCTATTTTCCTTCCCTGCCAGCCAGCCACGCAGGTGGGAGAGATGTCAGCGGTTCTCTGATGTGAGAAGAGGCGGTGAAGGCATTTAAATTGACCCAACATCTTTGCACCTTACAAAGGTAAACAGCTACAAGCAGCAAGACCCGAGGCCAACGCTGGTGGTATGCACAGTGCATTTTGGCGGTGCCTCGATACGATTCGCCTGCTTGCTGCTCCTGTTCAATCGTTTCTTTGGATTTTCCCCTTAGTTTCTGTCTTCTTTAATTTCCTTTTATAGATTTTCTCAGTCTCAGCCACATTGGGCTATAGATGTGGCTGCAGAGGAAACAGAGTGAGATGTACAAATGAGAAGGGTCCATGCTGCTAAGAGACCGCCTCTGTTAGTCTGTGTTTCGTCCTGTCCACAAGTTGAGAGAGTACTGGCCGGTTGTTTTGTAGAATGCACTCAGGTCCCGTTTGTCCGCTGTTTCCTCTCGAGGGAGATTGGGAGAATGGGATTCAGGCTGTTCTCCTTTCGGCCAGGGCACCACAGAAGTGATGTGCATGGCCCAGCAGGGACAGACAGGTGTCTCACGTCATTGCAGATGTTACCAGGATGGATTGGTTAAGGTGGTGTTTGCCAGGTTTCTCCTTGGGATCTCAGGGCCAGAAACCTCTTCAAAGGCTCCTCCCGGTGGACTATGTCCTCAGATAAGTTTTCTCTGCCACCAGAGCTTGGATTAAAGTTCTTTAAACTATGTTTGCACAGCCCTTGGAAGAAACCAACCCTGTCGATACCTCGATCCTGAACTTCTGGCTTCCGGAATTATAAGACAATAAATTTCTGTTATTTTAGCCAAAACAACAACAACAACAAAACTGTGCTTGCTATGATGTGTGTGTAAACTAGGCCACTATCACTGGCATGGTGAGGGCCTCTGGAACTAGACAACATGATGCTCACGCCCGGGCCAGCTCGGCTGCTTGGTTAAGTCCTGACAGAGCCTCGTGTCATCAGCAAGAGTCGTGCAAAATCAAGTCTGAAGCCAACAATAAAAATACAACTCAATTAGAAAGGTTCAAATGATATGAACAGACCCCTCACCAAAGAAGATATGTAGGTAGCAAATAAGCATCTGAAAATACAACATATATCACCACGGAATTGCAAATTAGAACACAAATGGGATACCACTCTCCACGTATCACAGTGACCACAACCTGGAACACTGACAACACGAAATGGCAGTGAGGATGCGGAGCAGGAGGCGCTCTCGTTCGCAGCTGTGAGAATGCAAAGCGGTACAGCCGCTTTGGAGACGGTTCCGCTGCTGCTGCTGCTGCTGCTGCTTCTTCTTCTTCTTCTTCTTCTTCTTCTTCTTCTTCTTCTTCTTCTTCTTCAATATATTTTATTGATTTTTTGCAGAGAGGAAGGGAGAGAGAGAGCTAGAAACGTCGATGAGAGAGAAACATCTACCAGCTGCCTCCTGCACACCCCCCACCGGGGATGTGCCCGCAACCAATGTACATGCCCTTGACCGGAATCGAACCCGGGACCCTTCAGTCCACAGCCCGACGCTCCACCACTGAGCCAAACCGGCCTCGGCTCCGCAGCTTCTTACAATACTGGGCGCAGCAACTGTGCTTCTTAGTATTCACACAAACAAGTTGAAAGCTTACATACACACAAAAACCTACACACAGATGTGTATAGCAGCTTTATTCAGAATTGCCCAAAGCAGAAAACAACCAAGATGTTATTCAATTAGTGAATGAATGAACAGAGTATTTATTTATGCGATGAAATTCAACGCTTCAAAGAAATGAGCTATTAAGTCATGAAAAGACAAGGAGGAACCTAAAATATGTATTGCTAAGTGAGAGAAGCCAATCTTAAAAGGTTACATATTATATGATTCCAACTATATGCTATTTTTGAAATAGGTAAAGCTATGGCAACAGTAAGATAATCATGGTGGTGGTGGAAGAGGAGGACGACCGAAAGGAGACGTGAGTAGGTGGAGCCCAGAGGATTTTTCGGGCAGTGAAGCTATTTTGTGTGATACTGTAATGGTACATATATTATCATTATACATTTGTCAAAACCCACAGAATGTGCAACATAAAGATGAACTCTCATGCAAACTATGGACTTAGTTAATAAACTATTAGTTAATGCTGCATCAATATCGGATCATCAATTTTAACAAATTTTAATACACTGCAAGATGCTAATAATAGGGGAAAGAGGAAAAGAGGTAAGGAAGTATATAGGAATTCGGTATATTTTATGCTCAACTCCTTATAAACCTAAAACTGATTTTTAAGGTAGTTAAATTATATTCTAAAAACATCAAGTGTAACCTTTTCCCATCCTTTCTAACCCCCTTTCCATGCCTGTGTAGTCCAGTCTGAAGGGGAGTGGTTACACCAAGGAAATCTAACCAATAAGGCCTATAAGGACAGTCAGAGTGTCAGGAGTGACAGTGGCCATTTTCATGTACTGATAAGGAAACGGAGGCCCACTGAAGGGACATGACTGACCCATGGACACACAGTGAATGCCAAAGGTCCTCTTCTCCTGCCGAGCTGTCCTGCCCACACCAGGTTCAGCCCCTTTGCCAAAATATCAAGATCTTGTTCAATTTATTTCCATTCTTCTTCTCTGGCTATCAGTAAGGGGTTTATGTACTAAATTCATATCTGAAGTGAATCCTTCCAAAGGCACACTATGTTTATATATTTAAACATCCTAATTCTGGATTCTTCTGTCTTGCTAACTACACAAGTAAACAATTCTTTTTTAAAAATAGATTTCTATTGATTTCAGAGAGGAAGGGAGAGGGAGAGAGAGATAGAACATCAATGACAAGATAGAATCATTGATCGGCTGCCTCCTGCACGCCCCACACTGGGGAATGAGCCCACAACCCAGTATACGTCCTGACCGGGAATTGAACAGTGACCTCCAGGTTCATAGGCCAATGCACAACCACTGAGCCACGCAGGCTGGGCTAAAATAAACAATTCTTTGCAATTGTGTAATTGAAAAAGTTCTCTCCGCTGCCCCCCTCAGGCACCAAAGTATAGTTTTATCTATGAGGATTACTTGGCATTAAAATAAATTTCAAATAATGATTAGGTTTACAAAGAAGTGGCATCCTAATGAATCAATTTACTTTAAACAAATCATCTATTTCAATAGTGTTTTGTTCCTAAGTCACTTGAACTAAAAAAAAAGGTATTTTCCCCCCCACTGTTAACTCTGGTGCACACTTCATTTTTAGTTGCTAATATGACAAAATAGGCTACTTACTCCTTTGCGTGGATTGATGTGGTATTTTATTAAAATCTCTCACTATTATGTCCTACTTTCCAGCCACACCACATACCTTTTATTTGTCTTTCACTCCACCTTGCCTCCTCTTTGATCTCATTCCAGGCCCCAGGCCATGAACTTCATTTTTCCAGGGCTTTTATTTCTCCCTTCTTCATCTAGCCTGGATATCATGCTCTCTCTCATTCCTCTGCTATATCTACCTGCCAATGAATCTGGGTCTCTTTCTCCCCCCCCCCCCCACCTTCTTTTTCTTATTAAAAATAAAAGTCTTGCCGGGACCGGTTTTGCTCAGTGGATAGAGCATCGGTCTGCAGACTGAAAGGTCCCGGGTTCTATTCCGGACAAGGGCATGTACCTTGGTTGCTGGCATATCCCCAGTAGGGGGTGTGCAAGAGGCAGCTGATCGATGATTCTCTCTCTCTATCCTTCTATCCCTCTCTCTTCCTTTCTGTGAAAAATCAATAAAATAAAAAAAAGAAAGAAAAAAGAAAAAAAATAATTGGAGAGATTAAAAAAATAAAAGTCTTCCCAGTGTCACTGAGATATAAGTGACATACCATTGTATAAGTCTGAGGTGTACAACATGTTGATTTGATACACTTACATATCACAAAATGATTGCGACTGTTAGCTAATACTTCTATGTCATAATTACTATTTCCTTTTTATGGTAAAAACATTTCAGGTTTACTCTTAGCAACTTTCAAGCACAAAATAAAGTATTGTTAACTATAATCACCAGGCTGTATATTAAATCTCGAGAACGTATTAATCTTACAATTGGAAGTTTGTATCCTTTGTCCAACATCTCCCCATTTTTCCTTCCCCCAGCCACTGGTAAACACCCCTCTAATCTCTTTTTCTGAGTTTGGTCTTTTAGATTCCAAATATAAGTGAGATCATACAGTATTTGTCTTTGTCTGTATGATTTCACTTAGCAAAATGCCCCAAGGTTCATCTATGTTGTTGAAAATGGCAGTTTCCTTCTTTCTCATGGCTGCATAATATTCAATGGATATATCACATCTTTATCCATTCATTCATTAATGGACACTTAGATTGTTTCCATATCTTGGCTATCCCATATAATAAAAGGCTAATATGCAAATTGATCAAAAGGCGAAATAACCAGTCACTATGATACGCACTGACCATCAGGGGGCAGACACTCAATGCAGGAGCTGCCCCCTGATGGTCAGTGCGCTCCCACAGGGGAGCACCGCTCAGCCAGAAGCCGGGCTCAGGCTGGTGAGCGCAGTGGTGATGGCAGGACCCCCTTCCCTGCAAATTTTGCGCACTGGGCCTCTAGTTGTAAATAATGAACCAGGTGGTGCAGGTATCTTTTTGAGATCTTGTTTTCATTTCCTTAGGCTACACACCCAGAAGTAGCATCACTGAAACATATGGTAGTTCTACATAGGTTGTCACTAAAAATATATGGCTTTTAAATTTCAATATATATTGATTTCAGAGAGGAAAGGAGAGGAGAGATAGAAACTTCAATGATGAGAGAGGATCATTCATCAGCTGTCTTCTGCATGCCCCACACTGGGGTTTGATTTCGCAAGCCAGGCATATGCCCTGACCAGGAATCGAGCTATGATTTCCTTCCTGGTTCATAGGTTGATGCTCAATCACTGAGCCACACTGGCTGGGCATCCTCCATCTATTTTTGACTTGGTCATTGTCCTCTCCTATTCCCTTTATCAAGTATTTAAAATTTTTATTACTCTCTTCAGGCTGAGGCCCCATTCACTACTCATTTTCTCATCAGGTGGACAAACACTGTAAAATACTCACCTGCTCTCCCCTTCTCTTTCTTGCAAACCCTCCTCTGTGGCTTCAGAGAGGAAGGCGTTCTTCCTCCCATCCCACCCAAACCCAGTTCCTCTTTCTGTGGGCTTAGAACTGCCCCTCTCATCCCATCTTCTCCAAGACCTTCCATTAATGACTCCTGCTCTCTTACCGGCATCTTCTCTCTGCCGGCTATTTTTGTTTGTTTTGTCCTCTCCCCCTCAGCTTCTAAACCTGTAAATTATTTACCATATTTTTTGGAAAAAAAAAAAAAAGAACACAAAAAACCTTCAACCCCCTCCTCCCTCTAGCTATGGCCCAATCTCTTTCCTTCCCATTTCCATCATACTTCTCAAAATTTCAAGTTCTCCATTTCCTAATTTCACTTTCACTTTCTTAGCTCAGTCTCATCTGGTTCTGGCCCCACAATTCTGCTGCATTTCCATTGGCTAAGATCACCAGTTTTCCTAATTCTTAGAGTCCGTTTTATCTGACCTTTCCTCTCTGTGGTTTAGCAATTGGATCAATATTGACTTGATCCTACATTGTATTAAAAGGGTATTTGGCTAAGGAACCAAGACCCTAGGGGGAAGGCATTCTTTTTTGCATCCCATCTCGACCTAGTTCCTCTTCCTGTGGGCTTAGAACTGCCCCTCTCGACCCATCTTCTCCAAGATTTTCTTTCAATAGTGACTCCTGCTCTCTTCCCTGCATCTTCTCCCTGCTGGCAGAGAGATAAAAAAAAAAAAAAAAAAAAAAAAAAGACTTAACTAAAACAGCTAATAGTGGAGATAGCCACTCGGTGAGAAGTCTTAGGTAAAATTGACAGAGTTGTTGAATTAGGAAGATGAGAAAGGATTTGTGGATAACCTCTGAGTTTATAGCTTGGGAGACAAGAGATATGGTGTCTTCATATTAATGGAAAGAGACTATAAGAAAAATCTGGATAGGGGAATAGAAAAAAGTTTCCAAAGTTCTGCTCATGATTAATTTAGCTTGGAAAAAAGAGAAACACGTATAAAGTAAATTTGTTGAGCTGTGGATATTGGGAGAATATTTTAATTTAGAGTAGATAACTTTGTACAGCTCATGAAGTCTTGCAGGAAAAAAAAAATGTCTTTGAGATCTAGTTAAAATTTGTCACCTTAAGCAAGATAAAACAGTTGAACTAATAACAGATCTTCATTTCTCCAAGAAGGTTTTAGGATTAAATGAGCATAATACAGAGGAATCTGAACCTCTGACTGTCCCTAGCATAAACTCAGCAGTGGGGTCAGGATTGGGGGCTACCAACACTGCAGAGTCATTTGCGGGGCAGAATTCCCAGAGAGCTAGGGTGTCTTATCCTAGGATCAGGGAGGGGAACATGCTATGTGTGTGGGGAAATGGGGGAAAGAGGCTGATCACTGGCATCACTTCTGAATTTGTCTCAGAGACCTGATGGCCAGGTCTGTTTGGTTACATTTTCAGGTGCCTAAGTTTGAGAGATTGATTTTGTCGGATCATGTGTGCGGGCTGGATTTGTTAGGGAAGGCTGTCTTCAGTTCCCCCGAGACATCTGAACAGAGGAAATGGGAAGGGAACACCATGTGGGCAGTTCTGGTCATGTTGAGAGGGCTTTCATGTAGATTGTCCAGTGAGAGTTGGACAATTGACTTAGAAGAGGTTGATGAATGCCTTGGGATGGAACGTAGTGAAAAGAATGAGAAGTGGAGTATAAATGGAATTTCTGTTGATCTGATAGTTAAAAGACATGTTGATTCAGACGAATCTGAAAAAGAGACTAAAACCAAACATTCAGAAATGTAGGAATGATTATATTTATTCTTCAAAAAATACACACAGAGCCGGGACCGGTTTGGCTCAATGGATAGAGCGTCGGCTTGGGGACTGAAGGGCCCTGGGTTCGATTCCGGTCAAGGGCATGTACCTTGGTTGCGGGCATATCCCCAGTAGGGGGTGTGCAAGAGGCAGCTGATCGATGACTCTCTCTCATTGATGTTTCTAACTCTCTATCTCTCTCCCTTCCTCTCTGTACAAAAATCAATAAAATATATTAAAAAAAAAATACACACAGAATCTAAGGAATGCCTTGCTTTACAATAGCTGCTCACTTTATTTCTTGTCCTACTGTATGCCTAACACAATAAAGCCCAATTTAGAGATTTTTTTTTTAAAACAAGGATCAACAACACTTTTACTTAAAAAATAATACAACTTTATTGCACCATCACTACTATATACTAGTATAGCTGAATTTTTCACATCACGTCGGTTTAGTTCTTTGAAGAAAGTCTTAATAACTAAAACTGTATAAATCTTAGTACAAAATAACTGGTCTAACAAATTTAATAAAAAATATTTCAGAACAACTACAATATAGTTTTAGTCTATACTAAACCTGTCTTAGATAATTATTTACAATTTTATTATAGCATAAAAATTTTAAACTTTAAAATAAATCTGTGGATTTTATACAAAAATACTCTAAAGTACAAATATAAGTTAAACGTTGAATAAAACATTCACTAGGTCCAGTGGAAGTTATTAAGAATATATCCTCAGTGGTAAAATGTACAGTGGCAACCCAAAACAGTGTTTCCTTAATCATTCATAATTTTAAATATTTTAGTAGTAATCATAAAGTTTATAGTTTCATTGTATAATTTTCATTTTTACAATTACAAGATATACACTTTCCTTCACAGACTACTTCTCTTTAGCTCACTATAAAGTGAAAAAATAAAAAATAAAAAAATTGTTAGTCAAAAGTTGACATATCACGTACATTATATAAATTGTAAAATTTTCAAAATGTCTTAGCTGATTCCCTTTAAAGAGGAAACAGGTATATGTTGTACCTAAGAAAAGACAACAAACCCATACTGCTACAAGGTTATCTAATCAAACTAATAACAGAGTTCTCACATGAGAAAAATATTAAGTACCAAATCTTTAACAGTCACTGTTTTATGAATAATTATGAATGGAACAGATTTTACATTTAAGTAATTTTGTATAAAATGTATTTGGACTAGTATAAGAATCATTTTGCCAGGAGGTACCATTTTGCTGTGCAAAAAATAAGCACACCTCTCCTTTAATACTTTCCCTCAAATGCTACAAATGACATTTTAAAAACAATGTTGACATTACTTAGAGTTCTGTTTTTACCCTGAAGTACTAATTTTGCATTTGGCCAGATGTTCATAAAAATTAAAAGGGAGATGTATGACCTAGTAATACACCAATTTAAATTTTGAGACATTATGTTAAAATGTCATTAAAACATACGTATTCTAGTTACCAACCACATTCTTACAGAGAAAATGCACATTAAAATTAGTTCCTTTCCATTCTGTTCAGTAGAGTTATATGCATGGCATGTTTGAATAATTAAACATGGATACCAGAATAGCAACTTCAACAATTGAAAAAGTACTTGGGAAGAGACTAAATACTGTCACTGAAAAAATTTTAAATGGCTCATTTTCCCTAACATGTTAGTGCAAATTAGCAAACTTTTAGAAGAATTTAGTCCTGGAAAGAAGGAAGCATAATCTCATCTTCATTCACTCCTTGTTCATATCGGACGGAAGAGAAGCCTGCCCAGTGCATACGTTTCCTTTGGAAGAGGAACCAAACCAGACCGCCGATGAGAGCTAAGATGATTAGCACGGTTAAAGCAATGAATATTCCTCTGTAATCAGAGCCTAGAGCAGGAGAGGTTTGACATTGGAGGAGAGAATATAAAAGCGATTATTATTAATTTTATGCATTTGGCAGTGTGTCACATAAGCAAACTTTGTACAGATTAGATCCAATAAGTACTTGATTGTCAGAACATGAACACAATTAAAAATCACTACCACTTAAGTGCTTTCCCTCCCAAATTTATTTTCCTTTCATGCAAATCCTTTTCATTAGTATAGCAATTTTCTTACAAAGAAATTGAAGCTTCAATGTCTCCTGCTCTTAGACATCTTCCCTGATAACCCAACCGAGAGTAGCTATCTCTCTAGCCTCAATCACATAGTTTATGACAATTTGATACTTTCCTCTCTTCTATATATGGGCTTGCGTGGTGGTTACGTATGATCTGTCTCCCTTCACTAGATTCTGAAGAAAAGGCATCTCATTCGTCTTGTTCCCAGGTCCACCCAGCACATGGAACAGGGCGTGACGTAGAGACGAGGCTCAAAATATCTGCTGAACCAGTGAGTGATTATACAGATACTGATGGACACCTTCATGCTAGATCTTTAAAAATGGTGCTGTGAAAAAATTTAGAGCTCTTTGGCTAGAAATCAAGATTTTTATGGTTATTTTATATATCAACTCATGCTGAAAGGTAAGTCCAAATTGTGATTTCTTACAGACATCCAAAGTAATTCTAATTAATCAATCAATTTTGGAATGCTGTTAAGGTAATCATGAGTTCCAAGGGACTGAGGAAGAAGAAAGCAAACTACAGAATTTAATCTTTGAGCTTTTAAATATTTAAACTATAGAATGAAACACATCTTAAGAACTTTTTCAAAGAATTGACCTATCTGACAATTCTGGCAGCTTCCATTTTTCTTAGGAAAGAATTGTATAAAATTGAGGCTTTTAGTCATTTCCTCTGGAAGTCCTAGGCACCTGGTGCATTTATCATCTTTGGTAATCTAGTTTTCTGAGGGAAAGAATCTCTATGACTTAAGACTTTTTATTTTATTTTTTATTAATACACTGTAAGGGCCAAATGCTTTAGGACCTAGGACAACCCTTTGCATATTATTAAATTGTACATTTATTTTCTAACCTGTTCTGCAAAAACTTTTCCAAAAGACAGGTTCCATACTTACCTACAGGGACTTTGCAGACAACTCGTCCGTAGCCATGTGAACATTCAGCTTTTATCCAAGTTTCATTTGAGGCTAACAAAACGCTACATTTTCCACCGTTGCTCCTTCGTTTATTTGCCCATTTGACAAATTTCACTTTTGATTCATCTAACCAATTCCAAGATTTATCTAAAGAAGAAAATCAAATACGACTATGTTTACTGTCACTAAATTACTAAAGTAAAAAGGCTTGCAGCTCATACAGTGTTGTGCCACTACTTAAAATGAAATTTATTAAAAGTGAAAAAATGTGAAAAAAGTCGCACTTGTCACATTTTAAGTGCCCAATTGCTATACGTGGCTAGTGACTACTATACTGGACAGGGCAGATGTAGAAAGTTCTATTAGACAACACGGATAGAGTATGCAGTGTTTTGATTAAAGGGCAGGATTCCTGCACATTTATTGCAAGAGTAGATTTCTACAGACCTTTATCTTCCTCCCTCTCTTACCCCCAGTGAAAAAAACTCATTATTAAAATATATTGGTGGGGAAGGAAGAGTCCATCTTAACTCCACCTTTTATTTTCCAGCTGAGGTAGCACCGCCTTGTGGTGATAGTGTAAACACAACTTATAATTCATAAATAGTCAACTTTGAATCCATTCTTATTTTTTTGTTTTAACTTTTATTATCTCCCCACCCCCCATCAATATATGCTTTTATTGCATCTCTAAAATATCACAACTAGTTCTGAGGAATAATTTGGCATTTTGCTGTTTCTGTAGCTGGGCAGCTTAGATCTTATTCATTAGCCTGCTGAACTGTTTTGTTTCCAGAAACACAGATACCATCTGATATCTGCGTTTTTCTTTTCTTTTTAAAAAATATATATTTTATTGATTTTTCACAGAGAGGAAGAGAGAGGGATAGAGAGTTAGAAACATCGATGAGAGAGAGAGTCATCGACCAGCTGCCTCTTGCACACCCCCTACTGGGGATGTGCCTGCAACCAAGGTACATGCCCTTGACCGGAATCGAACCCGGGACCTTTCAGTCCGCAAGCTGACGCTCTATCCACTGAGCCAAACCGGTGCCGGCTGATATCTGTGTTTTTCACTATTGTGGCTTGCTGAATCAAAGTAGCTAATGTGAATAAAAATTCAATGTCATTTCCTTCAAGAATCAAATCTTTCTGGGCTTGAGATACTGAACAAGCAATACCAGATCTCATCCGAACCCTGTAGATTATTATTTGCCCAAGAAATTTGACTTCAGCAAGAGAACCACTGTCCTGAATAGCGGTATTGATGGGGAAGTGAGGGTACACAGAACTCATCTTGTAATGGAAGCTCAGTGTAACTAACACCCTTGACCCTGTTCTGTACATGATTTCAAATGGTTCTAACGGTGGCCAGTTCCTTTCTATTTTCCCACCATTTGTCAACACAGAGCCTCTTCTTCTTCCCAGGGAGAATGAGTTCTACATTGATGTGACAGAAGTCCCTCCGCAGGGTGCCTCTGAGGCCCTTCACAATAACCGCACGTCCTTTAGAGTGATGTTGACATTATCTGAGCTGTTGACAGTCTGACTGCTCAGAATGGACTTCATAGTCACAGCAGATGGGGCAAAGAGCTTAGCTTGAGTTTTTAATTTTTTAATTAGTTATTTATTTTTAAATTGAATTTATTGGGATGACATTGGTTTATAAAATTATATAGGTCTCAAGTGTACAGCACCACAAAACATCAACTGTACACTGCCCCAAACAAAGTCTCTTTTTGACAAGTGCTTAACATTTTGAAATTTACATTTCAAATATTTAGAATTGTACTTTGTATAAAATATGAAACAGACTTCCTATTAGTCTATTGAGTTTCTACCCTGAACTCACTCATTGTCAATTTCAAGTTCACTCAAACCCTGCATCTGTTATTCTTTGTTGAAATACTAGAGGCCCGGTGCACAACATTTGTGCACTTGGGAGGGGGCGGGGTCCCTCAGCCTGGCCTGTGCTCTCTCGCAGTCCAGAACCCCTGGGGGGATGTCCACCTGCTGGCTTAGGTCTGCTCCTCAGCAGTCAGACATGCTCTGAAGGGTCCTTAGTGCCACAGCTTCAGTGCTTGCCAGTCGTGAGCCCTGCTTCTGGCTGAGTGGTGCTCCCCCTGTGGGAGTGCGCTGACCACCAGGGGGCAGCTCCTGCATTGAGTGTCTGCCCCCTGGTGGTCAGTGCGTGTCATAGCGACCAGTTGTTCTGCCATTCGGTTGATTTGCATATTAGGGTTTTATTATATAGATTCCTTATTATATAGGATTTTCCCACAGATCTTTTTGAATCAATATTTTACAATTTTATAGTTATTTTCAAAAATAAAACAAATTGCTATGAAGATGAAATTTTTTCTCTATGATAAAAATATTCCAAGAGGGAGGGAAAGGACAAGAAAAGAACTTTCTGAATAACATATTTATAAACTGGGAAAACTTGGGGTGATAGACATGAGAACTCTAAGTTAAGTAAGACTCCTTGTAGGGCATGGCGAACACAGATATTGTTATAGAAGAAAAATAGATCCTATTGGTCTAAGTATCTTAAACTTCTAACAATGCCAGTTGGTTTCAACTTATTTTCTATTGCATCAGTGTTTTCCATCATTACTAATAAGTTATTCACTTATTCATTAGGAATTTATAAGCCTTGAAAACAGCCAGAAGACCTAGCTTACTCATCAATAAGAAGCATTTGAATTATTAATAAATACCATTTGACATTCTTCAGCAAGGCTGACTTGGTATTTAGGACAAGTCAGAGCTCTCTTTGCACACTGCACACACAAAGATGTCACTTACCAGCAGTATGCTGAGATAATCCAAGCCAAACTCTCATGGTAATGTTTTTATTTTCCCTTATCAGTCTGCTCACGAATTTATTCTCATCTTCATCCTCTATGGTAACAATGGTTGCAGAATGATCTGTTGAAGGAAAACAAACCGCTAACTAATTAGCTTCATGCAAACTAAGTTGGTGGTTTATTTTGAGCCTTTGAGAAAAGACAAATTATCATGATCAAGATCACTGAGAAATTCAAACTTTACAGAGAATGTTTTTAAAATCGAATATTGGCATTAATAGCTTCCTAAAAAGTTAGAAATATTTCTAGATTGAAACTTTATAAAGAAATTTTGTGTCTGTGTTTTACTTACTATGTTTACTGGTGACCTTCTAAAATCTTGGAACTGCCTAACCAGTGAGACTGTTGTGTATGAACAGTTCATCATAAGAAGTGGGGTATATGACAGTAGAAAGGTATGTTTTCCTATAGATATTCAGCACTCTCTTTTCAACAACAATTTTTGCATAAGTTGCTTTTGTTAAAATGAAAAATAAAGCAAATATGTTTGGGGTGTTAGGGAGCATTAGCCTTCTGCTTAACATTATTTTATACATATGTGCATTTGGTCATGCCTATTGTAAGTTCCTAAATATAGTATGGAATTGAAAGAGTGAATATGCTTGAAGTTTGATAGTTTGCCCCAAACTCAGAGTACATAGCATCAGGCAAGAGATAGAAATAAAATAATAACTAGAGTTGGAAATCAGTCCTAAATGGAATCAGATAGTCTTCAACAGCAACTAGCCTATCCACACTTGAACTTTTGTAGTAGATTGTATTTAAAGGGCAAAGGAAAGCCCTTATTCCGTTCTACATTCCACAGCATACAGGTACTTTATGTTACCATGCTTATTATTATTTAACCCTATGGAGGAAGGCATTATCACCATTTTATAGATGAGGAAGCTGAGGCTCAAGGAGAGCAAGTAAATTGGTAAGGTCTACACAGCTAGCCAATTATCGAATTAGAAAGTCAATCTCAGTCATTCTAATGATAAGTTCTAAATGCTCACTATTTGCAGGGCACTGCCCTACATTTACAAACATTACCTCATTTCATTCATTAATACAACAATCCAAACTTTACCCAAACTTTGAAGTAAGTACTACATTTGGCTCTTCAACAATGGGTTTGAACTGTGAGGGTTCAAAAAAAGAAATTTTTTTTTCAATAAATGTATAGGCGGCCCTCCGTAACTCTGGGTTTTGCATCCTCAGATTCAACTAACCTTGGGTAAAAAACAGTATTTTCCATCTGCATTTGGTAATCCGCTGATGCAGAGGGCCAACTGTATGCATTGATCTATGCCATTTTATATGAGGGTCTTGAGCATCTTAAGATTTTGGTATCTATGGGGATGGGAGGTGGTTCTAAAACCAATCCCCAGTGGATACTGGGAAATGACTGTATATTTTGGAGAATCAAAAGTTATACACACATTTTCTACTGAAATGGGGGGGGGTCACTGCCCCTCACCATTTGTTGCTTAAGGATCAACTGTATTTTTATTCTCACTCTTTTCAGGTAAGAAAAGAGAAACATTTATGTAAGTTCCACAATACCACTCAGCTAGTAAGTGTGGGAGGTTGGTGGATTTGAACCCAAATCTGTCTGCCTCCAAAGCTTAAGTGTTTAACACATGCCCACTACAATAGCAGTAAACCTTCCTATTTTCTCCTTTCAGAGCCACAGGCTTCTGACCTCCAGAGCATATATGCATATACTAGTATGTAGCTCATAATATTTCCCATCACATATCTATCTATCTATCTATCTATCTATCTATCTATCTATCTATCTATCTATCTATCTATCTATCCATCCATCCATCCATCCATCCATCCATCCATCCATCCATCTATCTATCTATCTATCTATCTATCTATCTATCTATCTATCTATCTATCCATCCATCTATCCATCTATCTATCTATCTATCTATCTATCTATCTATCTATCTATCTATCCATCATCCATCCATCATCTTTCATCTGTTATATATGCCTGTGTGTATATATGTCTCTATTATGTATGTTAACAAAGAACAGTTCCCACACAAAAGTTCCTATCTTATAGTTAAGCAGTAACATGGAGATTTAAAAATCTTCCACGTGTATCTACAACAATTAGGAAAAAAGAAAAAAAATGAGATAGATACCATCTGGCTAGCTACACTGATACTCAAGAATACAGGTATTCTAGAAGTCATTTCACAGTTTGACCACTGGCTAAATCTCTCATGGGAGAGCGATGATCACTGCTGCTCACCCTAAAGTAGTTCTGTCTGAAGACAGAAGTCGTGTCCCTGTGGTGTTCTGATGATGTGAGCTACTGCAGATTGAATGGTCAACACATACTTTGTGCTACCCTGGTCAGGCTAAGCTTATTTATTAATAACTAAGTGATAAAAAAATCTACAATTTTGCATTTGCTTATAAAATATTTACCTCTTAACCCCTTCATCTAAGCAAGTCTAGCTATATTTAAAACTGTTTCCTTGTATTTTCACATAACAATTTACTTATTTTTTCATTCTACTTCCTCCCACTTACTTCTATTTTCCATGTACGTATTCTTAGATCGATCATTTTTAATGGCTATTTCAATATTCCATTGAGGTCGTACATCATAAAATACTTAACCACTTCCCCACCACCGGGCAATTAGGTGATAATACTATTATCAGTTGGGTCTGCTTTAAAAATATTAAAAAAAAATCATTGTTTCAAATTATTTCTTTAAAAACATTCCAATGATTATATTATTGAATCAAAGAAAATAAATGAGTTTTAACTCACCAAGTTCTGAACAAAACTGTTTGGCTTCTGAGAAACTGTGCAACGCCTGGTCAGATGCATAACAGTGGCCCTTGTACTGGATCCACTGGGGTCCATTCCCTTTTACTGCTGGGCATCGCGATGAGTATGTAAGAGGGGATACCTCTGGAGCTATAAAAATGTGAAACAATTGTAAAAATGCACAGAAAAAATAACTGACTTTTGAGTATATATTCTAATTAGATTTTTGGAATACCATTTTTAGAACTTAGACGATAAAGAAAAGTACTTGCCCTCGAAGGTGGATGTAGACTAAGTGAAAAACAACTGGAAAGACACAATAGGAAAGGAAGCAAAGATTGGCTAGACAGGCCTGTAAACTACTTTGAAATAGTAATCACAATTCTTTGGATTCCTTTTTATTTTGATGACAGAAACCTTGTTTTACCTTGCCATATACTATACAGAACTACTTTTAAAAATCACAACCACAAATAAAATTTTGGTAATGTGTTTGCAAAATCTAACATGCCAGCAAAGGAAAAGCAGTCTCAAACAAAAAAAGAGTAGGTGTGGCTTCTCAGCTTTTAACCTCCCTCTCTGGTTTCCATTTAAAATGTTTAACTTTTCATTGTGCTGTATAACACAGGAAGCCTGTGTACCAAAACCTGTGCCTCTGATTATTAATTTCCACAGAAGAGAGCATGAGAACTGGAAGGTAAATTGTCAGCATGCTATTTGTGAGGTACAGATCAACAGGATCAAAGCTCTGATCTGGTATGGCCAGTCATCTCAACCCCAGCTATTCTCTGTGTGTCTTCTGCAGGGTCTGCATGTCCTTCCGCAACTGAAGGCTCTTCCTGCCTTTTTTCTTCCACCTCTTAATTTGGTAGGTTCTTCTAATTTGTGGTTCCAGTGGTTCCAGAAGAATGGCTACTGCTGTTTCCTTTGCTGTCAAGAGATGTTCTGACTGTTCTTAATTCCTTCTTCTGTTTCTCTAGCTGGGCTTGATCTTTTTTTAACTTTATTTGATTGGCTTTTGCCTCCATTTCTTTTCAAGAACGCACTTTGTTTGAGCTCTAAGACTCTCTTCAGTTTGAGAGTTGGTAACTCCTGGATAAGTTTCCTAGCGACTGGTGATCAAAGCTCATTGCCAAGTCCATCTGTAAAGTCTGCAGGATTTATGACAGGTCTACATTAACGCCGCTGATGGAGAGAGACATTACTAGCAAGTGCTTCCTTTTACCATCTTGTGAAAATAGTTGCTTTTTCAAAAATAAACTGCCGACAACTCCATTGTTGCGCAAGACACTGATCTGGGTTGCTTCATTAGATGCAAAACATATTGAACATTGGCTCCCAAGGCATGGCTAAGACTGGCGGACCTTCCTGAATTGCTTGGCTTTAAAAACTAGGAACCCTTGGAGATCTTCAAATCCACTCGTTTCTATCCAGTCTGCATCTGGACTATCTGAGGGTGCAAACAGTTTTTCTTTACTGCTATTCATAGAGTTTTACTTCCAATTCTTGCATTTATTTTTTTCTGCAAGGGCCAGCAATGAGAACCAGAAGCTTCAGAGACCAACCCACACCAGGCCTGGCCATCCCGCATGCCTCTGCAGCTCCTGGTGGTCTGGGTTCTTGCGCTCTTCCCCAAGGCTCACGCTCTACCTATCAGGAATGATCTCAAGTACAGCCCCTGATGGAAAGGGCTCTTTCCTCAACTTTAAGGATCATATAAGTTTGGAAAATGCTTAGTTACACAACATGCAGCAGACTTCTTGACCACAGAGACTCTCACAGCCATCAATCAATGGGTAGGCCACCTAAAGCATTTCCCAAGATACATGCTGTGGGACACTTCCTTTAAAGAAAAACTCCAGTCTTTGAAAACACTGCTAAGTGAAACTGAAACTCACAAATTCTAAAGTTAAAACTTCCCTCTTGATGGAACTACTGAATATCTCTGAGAACAAATTTCCTGACCAGGTATATTGCATTTATTTCTCTTTGCAAAGTATCAAAATTATTTTTTGGAGGAGTTGTGAATAAACCTCATTTAAAATTTCTAAAAATTCCTTTGAGTACTTAATCAACTGTATAAAACAAGCGGTATATTTTAGTAAATACACAGTCATTTGAAATCAAGTCTTACATTTTGTAGATTTATAGCAAATAGCACCATCTTTATGAGAGCTGCATTCTTCATGTTTCCAAAATCCTTTTGGATCCAAGAAAACACAATTCCCAGGAGACTGTTTATCTTTCCATGGTTTGTAGTCAAACACACTGCCATCAGACCACTCAAAATTTGATTCTGTGCCCTGTTTTAAGAATGATAGAGACAACCTGAATCTAGATGGATGAGTTAAAAAAGAACATAAATAAGAACATAGATACTTTAAGAAATGTTGAAGTGAAGCATTAGTTATTTGCTTGCAAGTGTTGTAGGTCTGGATCTATTTGGGATTTACTTTTGATGCACTGATTTGAGATATTTGCTCTGGTACAATTTACGTAGGATTTTAAATTTAGAGTCAGTTTTTATATGCTATCTGTAGATTTATTCTGTTTAAGGATGAGTTTATATAACACTTGAAATAAAACAATGTGTAAATGGTTTCCACTTATCACAATTATAGATTTATAATTCCAGCATTGATATTATCTTAAATATTGTTTTTCATATTACAGAAGCCAGTAATCAGCAGGGGGCAGGAAGAGAAAACTACTTCCCAAGATTACTTTTTGATTTTTCCTTGGTTCTATAATCCTAAATTCACCATCCTTTATTTTATTTTCTCCATTGTCCTAAAGATTATTTACACTAGGCATTCAATTCTAATTTCAATAGATGGCTATTTTTTTTTGTATACTAGACATTATTATAGCTACATGAATATAATAATTAATAGATCTCAAATAGTGGCACAAAGATGTGTTTACTAGTAGAAGATTACTCTCAAAGAGTGCTGATTTCTAGGGGGGAAATGGCAAAAGTATATATGTTTAGTAGTCCTAATGTTAAGAATTTATCTTGCAATCATCCTTATAATCCTAGATTAAGGAAAATAATTATCACTCCAAAATCTTACAGATGAGGAGATAAGCTTCAAGTGTCAAATATCTTGCCCACAATATGCAATGGAAGATCTGCCACCAGAGCGGACTCCGGGCTTTTCTGATTCCGTGCTCCTTCCTTTTCACCAGCTTTTCAATTGGTCTCCCCCATACAGATCAGAGAGGTGTTGTTGTGTTACTCATTTCTGGGCCCGGGCAGTGTTGAGGCTACGGCAGTCCCGGCCACAAGCTGCAGTGCACACTACAGATATAATTTTAAATTTGTTCTATATTGTGGAAAGTCGAGAAAGCACTATGCTATGCTAATTAAGTCCCAGGACTTCATCTGGTGCTATACTTTGCATTGGTATTTTATGTTCACATTGCCAAACCTCTAACAAATGTGGGAAATTTCTGGACAACACAGCAATACTCACATCATGACTTGAGAGCCCAACCCACAGTGGAAATCCATCCCGCTTTGCGATATCTTCCAGGAAGAGCTGGCCCGTTGGGTCATGAACACTTGCCAAATGACCTCCACTCTGAGAGCACATGTTTACTGCTTCATACCATGTCACTGTTTTTTGAATGATGCTGTAAATGCCATCTCCATATGGAATAAACTGTGGCAGAGTAGTATTATATGGTTCCTTGTAGTCAACTAGAATATTGAAATGAAAAGTGTTTATGATTAAATTTAACTGTTGACCAATGTCACCCAATCAATTTAATAAATATTAAAAGTAAAATAGGTAAGACAGGTCATACAATCACTTCAAAAGTTAAATAAAACTTGGGTTGCTTATTAGGAAGGAAGGTCAAATGCATACTTCATTTTTCTTTTTCCCACAGCACATTTAACAGGCTCTTAACCATGACAGTAGTCTGGCTGATTAAGAAAATGGCATACACATCGTCTTTCATTGAAGGAGCTCACATATTACTTATGGACAGAAAACAACAACACTTATAATCGGGACAAAACAATTACCTGATAGAATGTGAGTAACTACTAGAGAAGGAGAAGTTCCTTTTAATTAAGAGAGTCATAAAGCCTACTGGAAACATTAGGTCTCCAGATGTTAGGCTAGGTGAAATTAGGACTAAAAAGAAATGAGGTAACCAGCAAGTAAGCTGAAAACAAACAAATAACAACAATAACATAACCACATTGATGAGGGTATTTCAAAAGGACACAGAAACCAAGTGAAAGAATGTCCAATGTCCAGAGCTGGGACAATCTGGTCAAAAGATTGAATAGTATAGTGAATCAGATTATACTCCCAGTGTGACTTATGTAGCCATGAGCCCATAATGATATCAATAAATGACTGAATGATTTTTTTCAATTACAGTTTACATTCAGTATTATTTTGTATTAGTTTCAGGTGTACAGCATAGTGATTAGACAATCGTATGCTTTACAAAGAATTCCCTCTGGTATTTCCAATATCCACCTGGAACCATATAGTTATTAGAATATTATTGACTACATTCCCTACATTGTACTTTACATCCACATGATTATTTTGTAACTACCTATCTATACTTCTCAATCCTTTCATCTTTTTTTCACTCAGTCCTCCACCTCCCTACCCTCTGGCAACCATCAGTCTGTTCTCTGAGTCTGTAGGTTTGTTTCTAATTTCCTTATTCATTTATATTATTCTTTGGATTCCACATATAAGTGGAACATATAGTATTTTTCTTTCTTTGACTGACTTATTAAATGACAGTAGATTTTAAAATGTTGAAGAATAGAAAAAAACCTTCTGTGTGGTCAAATTCCAAATGAAGTATGTAGATACCACCCCCTTCAGGAAGGCGGAGAGTAACTCTCCACTAAGTAAATGTGACTGAGTACAGTGCCTCCTAACAAAGAGTATGCTGTGGGAAGGGGGAAAAAGAATAACTTTGCAGTGGAAAATTCTGAAAACATTACCTAGAGCCAGGTGACCAAGATTAAAATCAGCAGTGATAGTCGTGTTGATATCATACCCTTCACATGATATGAGAATGACACTACTTCTGTGGTTTTCCCCTAAACTCCAAAACCATAACCCCAGTTTAACCACGAGAAAAGAATGAGGGACATTGTACAAAACATATGACCAGTGCTCCGCAAAACTGTCAAGGCTACCTCTGTAGCACCTCTCATAGGACGGAATCCAGAGGAAGCACTCAGAAAATACAATTACAAGCTTCCCACCAGGCGAGCCAATGGCTTTACATTCTTTCCCTGGAGTGGAAACTCTACATTAGCACACTCACCCATTTCAATTTTGCAAGCAAGAATGCTGTGCTGATGAAAATAGTGTATTTCTTCAACAGCATCTAAGGTACGAACATCCCAGAAGCCATCAGTACTCAAGCCAGCAAAAAAACGGCCATTTTTTTATAGCTGGTCTTCCCAATCTCCAGTGTGTATAGGACAGCATGGTCCCGTCAGACCACATAAGAGAATTATCTGGAGAAGAAACATTTTTTTCTATGCTTAGAGATGAAATCAATATTTGAATTACAGTTATGAAGTTAATATTTCAATCATAACTTTTCTTTCTTCTTTCTCTACTTCCTAAAAGGTTATATGATTATGTGCATCTCTCTAAAATAATTATAACAGTGAGCATGCTTATTTTCAATGTTGAAATTACAAGTTATAAACATGAAAATAAAAATTTGCTTTTAATTCCACCATCCTGCAGTAACTTTACATGTTGTTTTCTTTCATCAAATATTCATTTTTCCTACATATATGTTTGAGAGCAGTGAAAATGAGTGTAACTATTTTATAAAAAAATAATTTATTATAAGACTAATGACAAGTCCCTTCTCTGGACCGAAATCATACACAATTGTGCATGATTATGTCAACTGGTTTTTAACAAGAGTGCTAAGACAATTTAATGGTGAATGAATTGTTTCTATGTATAAAAATAAAAAATGAGGTTGGACCCTTTCCTTTCACCATATACATAATTAACACAAAATAGATCATAGATCTAAGAGCCAAAACTATAAAACTCTTAGAAGACAACACAGGAGAACATCTTTATGACCCTAGGGTAGGCAAAGCTCTCTTAGATGTGCACAAATGATAAAAGAAAAATATACATAAATTGGACTTCATTAGAATTAAAAGTTTTGTGTTACAAATTATACTATCAAGAAAGTGATGGAAGAAAATACTTGCAAGTCATTTATTTGACAAGGAACTTCTATCCAGAATATAAAAAGAATAATTAGAACTCAACAATAAAAAGAACAAATAATTTAAAAAATGGGCAAAGGGTTGGAATAGAGATTTCTCCAAAGATGACGTACAAATTGCCAATGAATACATGAAAAAATGCTGAAGAGTTTCAATCATCAGATAAATAAAAATTTAACCTCAGTGATAAATCACTCAGACTCACTTGGATGGCTATAATAAAAAAGACAACAAACAAAAACTGCCCATAAGTGTTGACATAGATATGGGAGAAATTGGAACCCTTGATGGAAAATAGTATAGCAGCTTTGGAAAACTGTCAGTTCTTCAAAGGATTAAACAAATCCAACAATTCCAGACCAAGTATATGTCCAAGAGAAATGAAAACATACATCCACAAAAACTTGTATATGAGTGTTTATGGCAGCATTATTCACAATAACAAAAAAGGTAAAAACAATTTAAATGCCCACAAACTGATAAACAGATGAATAAAATGTAGTATATCCATACAGTGGAATATTATTCAGTCATAAAAGGCACAATATATGATACATGCTACAGTGCTACATACATAAACATTAAAACCATTAAGCTAAGTAGAATAATAGTAACATAAAAAATCACATATTGTATGATCTGATTTATATGAAATGTCTAGAGTAGGCAATCTGTAGTGACAGAAAATAGATCAGTGGTTGCTGAGGATTGGGAGAGAGGATAGAGATTGAGGAGGAACTACTAATAGGTATGGTGTTTCTTGTTAGGTTAGTGATAATTGCAGCGCTCTCTGATTATACAAAAGGCCAGCTATGCCAATAAAAGCGGAAGATGCAAATTGACCATACCTCTGTGACACCTGCCAGCCAACCAGGAATATGCAAATTAACCCAACAAAGATGGTGGGTTAATTTGCATATGCAGACACTGAGCAAAGACTGAAAGACAACTGAAGACTGAAGAGGCTTGGCTTCTCTGCTGTGGCCGGAGTGAAGGCCTGGGTCCTGGGTGTCTGAGGAAAACTGGTGCCAGCAGCCAGGGGGAAGGAAGGCCTATTGCATGAATCTTTGTGCAACAGGCCTCTAGTTAAATTATATACCTTAAATGGCTAAATCATATGGATATGACTATATCTCAATAAAGTTTTTGGAAAAACAAACTGCTAGGCCTACTGAAATTATGAATTGGTATAAGGAGTAATGTCATTACTTCCTACACATAATCCTGGTTGTCTGGCTGTTTGTATAATACCTTTCAGTGATCACCACCTCCCAAGGCATTATCCTAAACTCCTGCCTGCAGCAAGGTAACACTAGCAGTTCTGTACATATGGTTTTGTTCTTTATTGCTGCTTCGTATCACCTCATGCATCCTAGTCTCTCTTTCCCTCTCCCCAAATGTTCAAGTTACAATTTCCTGACTAATACAATGGGCAAAGGTGTATTTCTGAAGTTGCTATACAAAAAGGTCACTTTTTCATTTGAAGTATCTTTCAATTGACATGTGGCTTCTCTTAGCAATGTCTATTCATGGCCTTAATTTTGAAAAGTTCAGAATTTTAAAAAGCAAAACAAAATCCTTTGTATGGGTGGTATACAGTTCAATGTAATTTAAGTATATCAAGCTGACAAAAAAAATCTATGGGTGTAAATTAAGCTAGTAAGAATTAGATTTAAACCAAATTTGCTTGAAACATCTCTCTATATGTTGCTCATATGGCTACATATCTTAATAGAAATTTTGTTACTCAGATGTTTTATTAAAAATTTTAGGATGATTAAAAGAAAGTCTAGAGATTCAAAAATGCTTTTCAGAACATAAAATACATATTCAGTTGTTTGTGAAAATACAATTAACAAAATACATCAGAGGGTGCAATTGAAATCTCGAACTATATCCTGGGTGGTCTCCGCTGCTCCATAAGTTCACTATTTCCTCAATACTTTCAGATAAAGCCTGAGAACTTTCCATCTAGTTTCCTCTGCCTTCCAACTCCCCATTTCTATCTATATTAAAGGGTATTCAAGTGTCATTGGAAAAAAGACTTGGGAAAATATGTCCTATTATGATAAACTCATCTTCAACTGACAACCCAAATCTTACCATTTGCTTGATAGCTTAATTGTTGTTAACTAATTTTCAAGCCATAAACATTTAAGAAATGCCTTTGCAACTCATTCTAAGAAAGACAAGTTAAATACCAAAGAGAAGGATATTTTTAAATGTCAGAGTTGAGTAATTTAGTTTCTTTTCCTACCCCACCTCTGATTATCATTGTTCTGTCCCCCTTATTATGGCCTGTTTTTGAATAAATGCATACTTTTTGATGCTTTATACCCAAAGAGTGATTTTCTTTTTTTCTAATTCCAAAACTTTTATAATTTTCAGAACATCTATAGTTGAGGATCTTTCTAAATTGGCCTATTATTAAAATCTGTGCTTTACAAAATTTTATAGCAATTAACTTGGATTTGTTGTATTTAGACACAATGTCAAATATTCTATCCCGTTATCAATCTATGTATCTGATTTTCCTAGTGTATACCCCAAGCCAATGCTCTAAAAACCACAGGCTCAACATTAATAGAAGTGTAATTCTGTTCTCACTCATCTCACATACACAGTACAGATACAAAGTCAGTACTGGAGATGTATAATATAATGGGAATGTGATCATTTTTAGTCTGGAACTGCTTGGAGGGAAAGTAGAGAAAGATTTATTTTTCACCATTTAACTCTAGGCTTGGTGGTAAAGACATTTTAATAGCAGAGCAGAGACATAAAAAATGTTTCATATTCATATGTTGTGCTTAGTGCATTAATGATAATTTTGTATATTAATAAACTTATACTTTGAAGAGCTACTGGTATTCTTTTATAGCTTGGTAAACAAGTAGTTTATAAAAAGTATAAATATAAATAAAATCAGCAGATTTACAACTTACTTTCATAAATTAGACCTAACATGACCCATGACGCCATATAATTAAAGTGCAGAAGTTGCTGAAGAACAAAGTTATTCTCTTTTTCATCTCGAATACTCAGAATATGTGATTTTGGATCTGTTAAGCAAAAAAAAAAAAAAAAAAAAGTCAATAATTTAAACAATAATTTATCTAGAATACTTTATTTGAATTAGAAAATGTTATTTCTAAGTTTAATATACCCCTAAACTTAAATAGCAGAACATAAGAAAGACATGTTAATTAAAACTGTCTTGTTGTACTAAAATGAATAGGTTAAGAAGTTTTAAAATATTTTGATGATAAATAAGGTCTTACAGGCTAGTGACAATCTAGTAGATGAGCTGAGTATTTAAAACTAATTCACTTCACCTTTCCCCATTTAAAGCTTATTTTGAGTTGGTATAATTCCACCTGTATTTATGATACATTGTCAAAGACTATAATAAATAAAACCTCTAGGATGGGTTCTAAGACAGAGTTTCAATTTTCTATAAGTCTTAGTGATCACTCTTATATTAGAGTTAAAAAAAGTTTTTATTTCCCATACTGTGTTCCTCGGGGAATTAATAGGAGTTTCTCAGAAAAGAGCTCCATGGATAAAAACTTTGCAAACACTTGGTAAAAAAATCAACTAGTTCATTTAGTCAGTATTTCTTACAATATAAGCAAATGCACACTTGATCATCTGTAACAGGAAGCAATGGTGTTTCTTAACCTTGTTCTTTTTTCTAAAGATCCTCTTGTGTAGAACACCTTTCAAGACCAGTGTTCAACAGAGCAGACTTTGGGGGGAAGGGAGGAGGGTAATGGTTTGTATTTCCCACAGGCACTTTCCGCAAAATTCAGAGATCCATTGTTCAGAAGTTCCAAATCCTTAGTGGATCACATAGGAAATATCTGAAAAGTCTTCGAAGTATGAAGTGTGTGTGTGTGTGTGTGTGTGTGTGTGTTTTAAAGCAGAGCGGCTACTTTGTGGCTTATTTAAGCTTCTGACCTCTCAAATGAACTTTTAATTTTGCCTAGAGTCCCCTCTATATAGTGATATTTCTTTCCTTTGTGAAGTAGAACCCATTTTATTTACACCTGTAAAGCTAGACAAATTCTCTAATGAATGGATAAAGAAAGAGGTAACTGCTATACCTTCCATTTAATTAAAAACAAATTAATGTAGGAATTAGAAAATTAGTAGTGCTAATTAGAAATATTTATAACACAGACAAAATTTAAAAAAATGAGTGTAATGCATATACAATGCCCATATAATGTACTTACTCAGATTTTGACATCTAGAATGAACATCATCTTTTGTTACTGCCTTGTATCTATTCTTTGCTACCAAGAAATTGTAGCAATAGTTTTGAAATGGTATCCACGGGGTATTTAAAACAGGAGATGGACAACGAACACTGTTAACTGGCGTGGCCTCTTTCTTAGTCTCATCTAGAAAAAAGATTAATGGTATGAATACTAATTTCAGATATAAATGCTAAGTTCTCTATATAGTAATTGGATTTGATTAGTAGGAAATATTGAGGAAGCTAAGAAATACTAGCCTGCTGATGCTTGTTCTGTTTATTACATTCAATGTAATGTGACCTCCTAACTGGCTTTCTTTAGGAAAGAAATTATTTAACAGTAATTTCCTTTCTCCGGCTGTGGAGTGAGTGGAAGAATGTAAAAAATGAGATGCTATTGGGTTAATTGTACTTTCTGCCTTCCTCCATCTCCAAACTTCAAATGCAAAAGACCGCCTTATAGGAACTATACAAACATAATAAAAGGCACGTAACTAAAACTTTGAGAGTTCATCAACAAGTGTCTGGTTACTTATATCTTTTCTAATTCTAAAGGAACATTTAATGAAATATGTGATGTATTAAGTTATTCCTTTATCAAAAGCAAACAGCAATAGTTTAAAACCTGACATCTAGAAAATCTAATTATGGCCCCTCCCTCTACCCCCACCTCCCGCCCGCCCTATTTTGTGAAAAGGCCATACATTCAAGAAGATGCAAGTATAGACATGCTCTACTCAAAGCCCACGGAGTTGCTTAGGTGTGCAGTAGAGAGGCCTGCCAGTCTCTCCCAGCTTATAACCAGTCCCTCCGTTTGAGGAGTGTCTTTTTCGTACCCCAAACCCACATGTTCCTCTGAGTGAGCTAGAGATTGCATACCTGACTCAGCCAAGTCCTTCAGATTCCCTCTGAGAAACGGAAAAGTGGTATTCAGGGGCAGTCACCTCCAGTGACGGGTGCAGGTGAGAGCTGCAGAGCCGCCATGGGTCACCAAGCGCAGAGAGAAGCAGAGAGCAGGTAGAGAAGCAGAGAGCAGGTAGAGAAGCAGAGAGCAGGTAGAGAAGCAGAGAGCAGGTAGAGAAGCAGAGAGCAGGTATTGAAGCAGAGAGCAGGTCCACAGAGAGAAGCAGAAAGCATAGGTAGAGGATGGCATCAGCCTCTGATTTCCATTCCTCACAAGCCTTAGCTCTATCCCCATTTTTTGAGGATCCTAAATTCTTATTTTTGGTTTAAAACCAGCTTGAGCTGGTGGCTGTTACTTATAACCAAATGAATGTTAACAGTGAGTCAGAGAAGAAATTGTAGCTGATGGTACGAATTGTGAAAGGATTCCCACAAATATACAATTTTCTATAAGACTATAAACAGCAAACATATGCAAATGAGGCCAATGGGGATTTAAAATTAAAAGGACAATTACCATTGTCAGCTGATAAAGATAAAACATGTCTAAAAAAATTGACAGAATATTTAATACATAGTATTTTTGAATACATATTTTCACAAATTTTGTTGTTAAAAGATCATGATTGTGTCCAGTCGGTGTGGCTCAGTGGTTGAGTGTCAACGTATGAAGCAGGATGTCATAGTTCAATTCCCAGTCAGGGCACATGCCTGGGGTTGTGGGCTCGATCCCAGGGTGGGACATGCAAGAGACAGCCAATCAATGATTCTCTCTCATCATTGATGTTTCTATCTTTCTCTCCCCATCCCTTCCTCTCTGAAATCAATTAAATATATTTAAAAAAAATAAGATGATTGTAATTTTCTTAATTTCAAAACCAGATTTTACAAAATCACACCCTTCATGAGACTAATAGTAATCTGAGAAAGAAAATATCTGATGTAGCATACTTCCTGGATAGTAGCAAATAGCACCCGGTTGGTGGTCATCGCATTCGGACGTTTTCCAGAATCCATCGGTGTCTAAAAACACACAGTCCTCCAGCTGCTCATTGTTGTCAGCCCAGCGACTAAACTGAAGATGTTTCCCATCTGACCAAACATAGTTGAGTTCATCCTGCAAAGAACGAAAACACATTTCAAGTGGCAATATGTCATGTAATCCCTTTTGTATTGCTTTGGCCCTCATGGTCCATCTAATGACTTTAAAAATATATATATATATATTTTATTGATTTTTTTACAGAGAGGAAGAGAGAGGAATAGAGAGTTAGAAACATTGATGTGAGAGAAACATTGATCAGCTGCCTCTTGCAAACCCCCTACTGGGGGTGTGCCCACAACCAAGGTACATGTCCTTGACCAGAATCGAACCCAGGACCTTTTGGTCTGCAGGCCGATGCTTTATCCACTGAGCCAAACCGGTTTTGGTCATCTAATGACTTTTAATGTTATCTTGTATTTAACACACATAGCACTTACTATGTGCCCAGGACTGTTCTAAGTGCTTTGCAAATGTTAACTTATTTAATCCTCACAACCATATGAGATAGATACTATTATGCCTATTTCACTGATGAGGATACTGAAAGGCATGTAAAGTGTGCAAAGTCACATGGAACATAAACTGCAGGGCATTCTAGTCCAGGTCGGCAGTCCTGGTGTCCATGGTCTGAATGGTTACATTATGCTGCCTCACCCATCATTGGCATTGTTGGTTGTTGGCAATCAGAAAGCTAAAGTGGAGTGAAGACCCCATTTAGGCACTGATAAAGTTAGAGACAACATGTAGTTGTGGAAAGAACATGGGCTTCAGAGCGAAGCACACCTGGTTTTGAATTCTGGTTTGATCACTTATTAGTTCTTGATTGTGAGGTTACCTTGCTAAGTTTCCATCCCCGCAGCTATTAAATGAATGTGACCCTGAACCTCCTGGATAGAATTAATGGCACAATACATGTAAAACACCTGACTCAGTGGCTAGCTGGTACACACAGGAAGCTACATACATGTTAGCTCCCTTCCCTCTTGCCCCTCAGACCAGTAGATGGCATGGTACTGCTTCCACACTTGTCTTTGGGGACATGCTTCCTTGTCACTATATTCTACTGTGCAGTCAAAAGTCTGCAAACACCTGTTGTTACACCCTGACCAGGCCTGGCCACTCGGCTATCTTGAGGAAGGCTTTACAGAATAAGTACAGAAATCTAGGAGATGGATTGTGGGTTACAGTTCTGTCTGAGCTTCCCATGTTGCTGCCAGATCTGAGGCCCCACACAGTGACTTATGGAGCGAAGATTTTCTGAGGCCCAAGGTTAGTTTTATACCCCTGGCTTATTTGGAATACTGGGCAAAGGCCACACACAGTCTCCTTAGTGAACCCATAATAGCAACATGGTCAAGCCTCAACACCATCAATGTTTCACTCTGAGCTGTCCTCCACCAGAGTTCCAGTTGTCACTGTGCTCAGTTATTCCCAAGCCACGTGGCTTCAGATGTAGCCCTCTGGCCATGTGACTGTACTCGTATGACCCTGGATTCCATCCCCTTGCTGCTCTCCCAACGAACACAGGTCCCGGGCCTCTGAATTCCATCTCTTTAATGAGTACTAAATCTCTTTACTAAGACTCTACTTAGCTGTTACTGAATTCTGTTTAAAAAATACACTTTTATTATTGATTTCAGAGAGGAAGGAAGAGGGAGAGAGAGATAGAAACATGATTAAAGAGAATCATTCTTTGGTTGCCTCCTGCACACAGGTGCACTGACCGAGAACCGTGACCTCCTGGTTCATATCGATGCTCAACCACTGAGCCATACCAGCGGGCCTCTGTTTACTAAATTCTTGACCTATATATTTTTTTTAAAGAAGTTAATTTCCTTACAGCACCCACAAGGAAAGGCTGTTTGTTTTTCTGTTTTCAAATCCCATAGGGCCATGAGAATGGGAGAGTAGGTATTTTTATCTCCTTCAGTCATTTCCTTTGAGGGTTATGGTCCTCTTACCACTGCCAACTCCCAGATTCCTTGTCTCTCTCTGACATTCACTATGGATCTGGCCTATCTGCTTTTTTCTGACATTCACTAAGGGGGTTCCCCAGGCCGTGTTCCAACCCCTGGCCCTCCCATTGACTTAGGGAAATCTATGTTCATGTGGGTGATTCTCCCAGTCCCCAAGTTTTCCCAGTTCCCTACTTCTACGTACGTTTACTGCCACATACTCGAGTGACCTACTGCCACAGTCACACTCTGGACTTTACATTTCCCAGAACTGCTGCACTGCAGATGCTGCAAATATGCCTTAGTTCAGACCAACAGCATTTTCTGCACGAATTTCTACAAGAATTTCTAACTAGTCTCTTATTATCTCTAGATTACTCACTTCCTCTCCCACCTTCTCCCAGAATAATTTTTCTTAACTAAAAATCTGATATTGTTGTTATTACTTTTAAAATCTTTCAATACCTTCATATTGCTTTCAATGTAAAGTTTTTTTTATTTATACCCTGCCCTTTCCCAAAGATTTAAGGCAGCTTAAGAAGATACATATTAAACAGCTACATGGAATTAGTTAAAATAAATAGTAATAGGGGCACAGAGAAACACAGGTAAAGATTGAAAAATAGTATAAGAAACAAGACCCAAAATCATTACAGGGGAGAAAAAGCTACAAAACAATATGATCCAAATTATCTTAAAATTAAATACATCTACATAGAGAAATAACTTGAAGGATATATACTCAATGATTAAACCATAGTTTTCCATCACTAGGCACTGGGATTACAGCTAATTTAAATATTTTCTTTTAATTTACTATAACTTTATCAAATTTCCATAGTGACAATATTGCTTTTGTTTCAGAAGTTTAAGGTGATTGAAACCAGAAAATATAATAACTTATTACTAGCCTCGCAAGAGACACAGGGATGGGTTTCACATGGTAACAAACACCAAAGAGAAAGTAAGGCAATGCTATGAAGAAAATGATGCTGTGAGGTCTGGGAAAGCAGTTCAAGCTATGATCTGGCTTGACTTGGGGCTACATTTTAAAATACCCAGTCCAGTAGATGTGGCTCAGTGAATTGAGTGTCATCCCATGCACCAAGAGGTCACCAGTTCAATTTCCAATCAAGGCACATGACTGGGTTTCGGGCTCCATAACCAGTAGGGGGCGTGCAGGAGACAGCCATCAATGTTTCTTATCAGTGTTTCTCTCTCTCTCTCACTTTAAAATCAACACACACACACACACACACACACACACACACACACACACACACATATAATATCCAGTCTTGCCCTGGTTGATGTTCTCAGTGGTTAGAGTGTTGGTCTGCACACCAAAGGATCACAAGTTTGTTTCCTGATCAGGATGTGTATGGGAGGCAACCAAACACATAGATGTCCCACCCCCTCTCTTTCTCTCTCTCTCTTCCTCCCTCCCATCCACTCTCTCTAAAAATCAGTAGGAAAAATATCCTTAGGTGAGGAGAAATAAAATAAGATTAAATAAAATAAAATATCTAGAGTCTTGGAGAAACTCTTCTTCAAGCAATTTCTAAATACTGTTTCTTTTAAATGAGTGTCTGGTAACTGCTGGTGGTAATGAATCCAGTTTGTCAAAGATACTGGTTACTTCTGAGTCTACTCTCCACTTCAGCTCTGGGTTTGTGCTAGGACTGAATTGTCTTTGATCACATTTTTTCCAAGCAGCCCTAAAGCCATCTTGATATACTGAGGGTCATCCTAAGGTATCCATAACTTAGGTTTGCTTCATAAGACAATGGACTTACTCTCTCTCTCCTACTCTGCCCATTACCCTCTCTCTGAGAGTAGTTGAGGAATACTGGTCTAGGTGATTTTTATCTAACTAGGGCCTCACCAGTCATGCACTGTGCAGATGCAGGGGCCAATGTTCACATTACAATCTTTGTAAATGGCACCTCCTATGCACTGCATAATGTATACAGCCTTATACTCCCGCCCTATATCTTATCATTATAATACATCTCAGTGGGCAGAGTATCAAAGTATTGCATAGGTGGCCTAGAAAAGAGAAAAAATGGCCTATAATGCTGAGAGGAATACTACAGCTTAAAAAAAAATCTCTATTAATTATAACCCAAAGCTTCAGTAGCAATAAATACTCTCATTTGTGCTACTTGTATGCAGGTTAGTGTTGGGAATGGATAGGAGACTAGCATTCCTTGCTGGGCTATGAAATGAATGAGAACTATCCAAGACATCAACCCCGAATCACAGCTTAAGATGTAGCAAAACACTATCCCTTCTTAGAGTCTTCATTTCATTCTGCTAATTCCAAAAGGGATAGGAAGGACTCTTCAGCACCATCCGAAGGGCTTCTCCACACCCAGCCCCATCTGGCTTTTAATCCTTCCCCTCCTCTCTTCTCTTCAATGGGAAAGGAGACATGGCAGCTCCTAATTCCAGCTCAGTTGTTCGTTGGAATAAATTACAGAAATGATCAGCTACATTGGTCCACTAGAATCTTTTCTTAATCAAAACAATAAAGCACCAGATCTTCCAACAGTGGAAAGATGACTGCCACTAAAAACTATCTACTTCATGAAATTCACTGGAGTAAGGTTTTATGATCTCTGGGTGTTTTTTTTTTGTGTGTGTGTGTGTGTGTGTGTGTGTGTGTGTGTGTGTGTTTTGTCTGATAAGAGACAGTGCATAATAAAAAATGCTGCAGTCCATCACTCGATCCTGGCAGTGGGGACTGAAAACTTACGTCTTCGCTGGAGAGTCCAATCCACAGGGAGGAGTTACGCAGGACCGCCTGCACGGTTAGGAATGCCTGCTGGTACGGGTCCGAGATGCTCACCAGGCGCATGCCATGTTTCTGGCATTCCCACAGAGCCTCGGGCCACGTCAGAGGCTTCAGGATTATTTTGTACAGATTACTTAGGTACTTTACAGACTCTGAAGTATTCTGCAAGGTCTGGCTGCCTTCAGTGTCTGTGTGTAAAAGAAAAAAGATACAAAAACTACCCACTCTGTGAGTCATAGGACATTTAATGTACGTTAGATACTACTTATCTATTAGTTTATGTTAGATTTTGGGTGGGAGAGCTAAGTATGTCTTCCTGCATACCTTAGTTAAAATGTATGAATCCCCAACATTTGTGTTCTAAAATTAGAAGAAAATTCTGTTTTAGCTGACCTGATTTAGGAAGGAGAAAAGATATAAACAAAAGTAGCCTGTGAAAAGATTTCCACTTCAGGTTGGTGTCAAATACTTGCTTTGTTTGAACTGCTTTAACAAGAGGGATTAATTTAGCAAACAGTTCTTCAGAAGGACATAGATTATTTACTTGAGAGTATCACTACATAACAAAGTTTTTTTAAAAAAAATCATGTTAAAAACTTATTGTGATTAATGAAAATAATTAAATGCTTCTTAAAATACCTTTTTGAAAATATGGATAATTCCTATTTTTATAAATAGAGTTTAGTTTTATTTGGATTATAAGAAGTCATAGTGATCCATTTATAAATGCTTCGCATCTTTTTTTAGTGCTAAATTTAACTGTGAATGTTTATACTGAATTAAATTTAAAACATTAAGTTTTTTTCTCCCTCTTTTCCCAGGATAGAAAGTAAAATCTAAAAAAAATGCCAGAGTAGAAAGGAGAATAAAATTCAACCATAACTTATTGTTAGACAATTCCTAATAATAAATTCCACCTGATAGTTAATTTTGATATTTAATTAAGTATAATGATAATACTTGAAAAAAATCACATTCCATTTGAGATACTCTGACTCACTGAACCAATATGGATTTAGTCATGCTATCATTTTAAGAAATCTATGTGATCACAAATTAATTTTAATTCATTTATAAGATTTTTGTTAAAAAAATACTGTACATAGCTAATCATAAAGTCCCACAGTTACTTAGATAATAACCCATACCTGAGTATTTTTGACAGAGAGACAGGGTGTGGCGTTCACTGCAGGACGTGAAATTCCATGTCCCAGTTAAGGGTGACTTTCGGTGGTTGAGCATCAGGGCACAGTGGTAGCGGGACTCTTCGTCAAAAATCTAAACAAAGAGGCAAACAGAAACAAGCAGTCTTGAAACTAATAGCCTGAAGATCCCAGCAAGAATGATCCCCTAAAAGGGTTCTAACGTCATATGGTTTTGTGAGTAGTTCCTTCAAACTTTCAAGGAAAGACAGTGCCTTCAAACTTTCAAGGAAAGACAGAGTCCTAACTCAAAACACAAAAGCAGAAAGCTACGGAGTTTATCTAAGGAAGTTCACATGATCAGAAAAAAGATCTGACAATACGGCATAAAAACACTCTATGAACAGAGATGAAAACATTCCCAAATAAAACCCTAACAAATCTAACTTGGTAGAATAGTAAAATAAGAATCCATTCTGAGCCAAGACCGGTTTGGCTCAGTGGATAGAGCGTCGGCCTGCGGACTCAAGGGTCCCAGGTTCGATTTCGGTTAAGGGCATGTACCTTGGTTTCGGCACATCCCCGGTAGGGGGTATGCAGGAGGCGGCTGATTGATGTTTCTGACTTTCTATCCCTCTCCCTTCCTCTCTGTAAAAAGATCAATAAATATATTTTTAAAAAAAGAATCCATTCTGCGCAACTAGATTTTTATGAGAAGATAATGACAGTTTAATGTAACATCAATTAATGTATTATACCAACTGTCAATAGGCTAAATGGGAAAGACTATATGACAATTTCAATAGATGCTGGAAAAAAGTTTTAGAAAACCCAGTACTTATTCCTGAATAAAAATTTAAAATAAGCTAGTTAAACAAAAATATGTCTTAAACAAAGGGATAACATCATATACATAATATAATAGTGAAAGACTACAGATAGGCCTATGAGAGTTTAGATCAAGTCTAGGAAGGTGTTTATTACCCCTCATATTTACCATAGTTCTAGTAGTTATACAATATGTAGTGAAGCATGAACTGTTATTTGAAAATTGTTTTATTAGGAAACGTAAGGAAACCTAGTGAAAAACTCTAAAAAGTAATAAGGTCTTTTAATAAGATGGATGCCTATGAAATCTCTCTCTATAAAAGCCTAAGTGACTGTTACAACCCGTCAACTGAATGACCAGTTGCTATGATGTGCACTGACCAGCAGGGGACAGGTGCTCAAAGCAGGAGCTTCCCTCTGGTGGTCAGTGTGCTCTCACAGCAAACCTCCTGCAGCCAGCCAACCTCCTACGGTCCTTCCCCACTTGATCAGCCCCTATATTTGGCCAGGCCAAGGAATCCCACCAATGCATAAATTCATGCACTGGGCCTCCAGTAAAAATATAAAAATTCCAAACAATAGCTTTCCTACATATCAGTAAGAAAATCAAGAAGAATGCCATCTCAATGGCAGTAAGACAACTGCTATAAAAACTTCCTTGAGAGATATAAAAGAAGACTTGAACAGAGAGATATTATACTATATTCTTTTTAAAAAATATATATATTTTATTGATTTTTTACAGAGAGGGATAGAGAGTTAGAAACATCGATGAGAGAGAATCATCGATCAGCTGCCTCTTGCACACTCCCCACTGGGGATGTGCCCGCAACTAAAGCACATGCCCCTGACTGGAATCAAACCTGGGATCTTTCAGTCTGCAGGCCAACGTTCTACCCACTGAGCCAAACCAGTTTTGGCTATACTATATTCTTGAATTAGAAGAGTAATAAAAATTTGTGAATTATCTCTAAAATATTGTCAGATTGTCCTCAGACTTTTTTATTTAATTGTTTTGATTGGAAATTCACTAAGCATAGTTTTCCTGGAAGAATGGACAAGAATACTAAAAATATCTTAAAGGCAAATAATTAAAGATATCCAGTCCTATTATATGTGTGTGTGTGTGTGTGTGTATATATATATATATATATATATATATATATATATATATATATATATTTTTTTTTTTTTTTTTTTTAAGTGTGAATTTTAAATAACTTGATTAAGAACACACACAGAAAAGCAGTAGAGATGGGTGTGGACAAAGCACCACTTTCCTCCAAAGATATATTTTTAAATATGGCAAAATTAGAGTATATAGATCTATGAGATTGCTGTATAAAATTATATCTTATATACAGATACATGTCATAAACAGTATAACAAAGAAGGCATCCTATATCTCATTTTAAAAAATGTTTTTATTGATTTTTAGAGAGAGAAAGGGAGAGAGAAAGAGAGATAGAAATATCAATGATGAAAATCATGGTTCTGCTGCCTCCTGCACAGCCCCTACTGGGGACTGAGCCTGCAACCTGGGCATGTGTCCTGACCAGAAATCAAACCACGATCTCCTGGCTCATGGGTTGATGCTCAACCACTGAGCCACTCTGGCTGGGCCTATATTGCTTTTAACAAATGGAAATAAATGCAATAAATAATGCTAAATCATTAGCTAGGATTAGGAAAAATGATTACAGAGTCATTGTCTAGGTTGTATTTCTGGAATTCAATTTTTAAATTAATTTCATAATCTTTGCTCTTTGTACAATATGTGGTTTGTATCCAGCAAAAAAGGGAGGACAGAAGCTGTGGGCAGCAATCTCACGATATAGGCAATTGTATACAAATAAAGGCCTAGGTGGCCCTTGTGCCCTCCTGTCATCACAAGATGACTACCCCCACATTGTCACAAGATGGCCACTTCCACGGCATCACAAGATGGCCACCACAAGATGGCCACCAGGGAAGGGCAGTTGGGGCCATCAGCTGACAAGAGAGGGCAGTTGGGGGTGACTGGGCCTGCAAGGGAGCAGTTAGTTGTTAATCAAGAAAGTGGTTAGGGGGTGATCAGGCTGGCCGGCAGAAATGGTTAGGGGCAATCAGGCAGGAAGGCAGGAGAGCCAGCAGTCCCGAACTGTGAGAGGAATGTCTGACTGCGGGATTGGGCCTAAAGCGAGGGGTCCCAGATTGGAGTGGGTGCAGGCTGGGCTGAGGGACACCTCCCCTCCCCCAGTGCACAAATTTTATACACTGGGCCTCTAGTTGTTAATATGCCTAATCTCATTTTATTGCTTCTTTATATTTAACTCTTAGGGAAAAATGATCATTAATCACCAATTTTTGTACATTTGCTTCAAGAGACGAGTTGACAGCTTCAAATCCCAAAATATTAAGTAAAGCATTTATAATTGCTTCTGTTTGCAACTCACTACTTGACAGTTTTACATCATCGTGACAGGGATGTGGATCTGATGCTATTGCGAAAAATGAAGGCATACACGTGAAAGCTAGAGAAGCTACTGCTGTTATTGTTCTTCTTGTGACAGTCTTATTGAGATACAATTGATAGACAATATAATTCACCCACTGAAAGCATAAATTCTATAGGTTTTAGTATATTCACAGAGTTGTACAACCATTACCCTCCAATCGATTTCAGAACATTTCACCTCCCCCAAAAGAAACCCGGTACCCTTTCACCATCACTCTCAATCCTTCCATCCTCTTTAGCTCTGGCAACCACTAATCTACTTTATGGGTATTTTATATAAATGGACTCATATAGCAGGCCCTTGTTCTTAGTCCAATAATTTATGGAAGACTAGAGAATTTCATAGAGCTACATAGATTATTGAGTCCAAAAAACTTACATTTGATGGTACTGCTAGCCTCCGACCAACCAAGAATGGGTGAAAGTTATTGTATGTCAGCTCTCTGTTATCTATCCATTTAGTTATTCTTTCAAAGGCTGTCCAGCGCAAACCAATCCAAAGAGCATCTTCCATCTCCGGAAGCAACGATGTAATAAAATCTGTCAGAAAGAGGTTTTTAAAGAAAGCATTTGACTTATTAAAATTAAAAAGACACTAAAAATGTCAATGATTGCCTCCTGCTTATCTATTATGATAGTCTTTTACCTACTCTGTACAAAAAATAGTTTAATAAGATCTAAAAACTATGTAGATTTCCCTCAGCCTCCCAAAACTAACTTTGCCCCCACATCAGAATAAAACATGTTTCCAAAAACAGTTCTGCTACCTTGTTCTCTTTGGCTCAGCACCGTAGGAAGGGTGCCACCGTAGGTGTGACAAGTACTGCTTGCTTCAGAAAACGTAAGAGACTTGGGTTTAAGCTTTAGGAAACACTGCAAACAAAGAACGTACACGAAGCATAAGATTCCAGTCATGGGAAAGCTCACATAGGAAATAAATGTCTCATCTTTCAGAGGGTTGCTAATTTTTAAAAAATATTTTATTGATATTTTACAAAGCGGAAGGGAAAAGGATAGAGTTAGAAACATCGATCAGCTGCCTCCTGCACATCCTCTACTGGGGATGTACCCACAACCAAGGTACATGCCCTTGATCGGAATCAAACCTGGGGCCCTTCAGTCCGTAGGCTGATGTGAGGGCAAGGATGCTAATTTTTGGTCTGTATCTCACAGGTATGGAAATTTATAAAGTAGTACTATAAAAATGCAGATTTTTATAGTACAACTGAAGAGAGGTCTTTGAACTACTTTTTATATCTTCCATTTATTGAGTGCTTCATCTGGGCTAAATAGTTTGTATCATATTATCTCATTTAATTCTAACAACTGGGGAAACTGAGGCACAGGTACAGTAACTAACTTTACCCATAAGTGAAATAGCCATAAAATGGTATGGTCAGCATTTAGACCACATTAGTCCCCATGTGATTTTAAAGTTTGTATCTTAATCATCACCTCCTTATATATAAAAAGAAATCATTTAAAAACTAAGTATTTCCCTGTCCCTTGGCAGAATATTTTGATTCAATTTACATCGACTGTATAAATTTAGTACTAGTACTTTGGGGGGAAAAGACTGTCCTAGTTTTAAAAAATCAAAATATACCCCTAATATTTCAGCTTTACTACAGAGTTTTCTAGCTGTCAGACACATTTCCTTTTTCTTTTTGATGTTCTAATCATACTAGGGGCCCAGTGCATGAATTTGTTCACCAGTAGGGTCCCTTGGCCTAGTCTGTGGGATTGGGCCAGAACCGGCTCTCTGACATTCCCCAAGGGGTCCTGGATTGCAAGAGGGTGCAGGCTAGGCCAAGGGACCCCACCAGTGCATGACCAGTCCCAATCAGCCAGACCCCAGCAGCAAGCTAACCTAAGGGTCTGAGCGTCTGCCTCCTGGTGGTCAGTGTACATCATAGCGACTGGTAGACTGTCTGCCCCCTGGTGGTCAGTGCACATCATAGTGAGCAGTTTAGTGGCCTTAGCATATCATTAACATATTACGCTTTGATTGGTTGAATGGCCGACCAGATACAGCATGTTAGGCTTTTGTTATATAGGATTAGTGTGGAGTAGTATGTTCTAAATTGTGTTCCTTGAAACATTCAACAAAATGTTTTTATTTAATCTTCCATATAGCATGAAGTGGCCTAGGGCATACAAGTCATTGTGTGGCTTCTAGAAGACTCGAGAAAATACCCGAGCTTGGGCTTGGAAGCCTCATGGCAGAGGAAAAAGGCAAAAGGAGCCTGGCTTTGAGGAATTCATAGAGTTTACATACTAACCCCAAGCTGCTTACCTTCAAACTTCTTTTATGTAATAGAATAAATGTTTTAATACTGTACCTATCTCTCTTTTTAGCAGTCAAATATGTCCCTAAGAGATATATATGCCAATATGGATTATGCATCTCAAAGAAGCAAGTATAGAATGTAACATTTCCCAAACCTATTTAATCGTAAACTGCATTAGAGGCAAGATCAGTAATTAACATTTGGTTGGCATATGTGTAGTTTCCAAAAAGTAGTTGGGAAATGCTAGTCTAGTTTGATTAGTAGATGTTGGGTGGATGTTTTTCATAAGGGGGAAATTTATCAGCCAGAAATTAAGTCAGTTTCCTATATGCCCTAGAGATAGTCTTGATTTCAATGTATTACTATCTGTTGATACTGGAACTTCAGCAATTTAAGTGCAAATAATAACAGAATAGGAACACACTATTTTGAAAGAGCTGTAGGCATGACTAACTTGAGAGTTAATTTGGTTTCTGACTAAGGTGAGATATTGAAATATGCAGAGGCTGTCTTAGTGAAGTTATTTGATGGATTGCCATTCTGTCACAGGCCATACAATCATCATGAAAGCAATCATCGTTTGCACAATGTAGCAATTCTCTTTTTACCTTATTCAGAAAAGAAATCCAACTCCCAGAGCATTGTACTTTAGCTGCTGAATCTGGACTATATTTCTCCAATGAAGAAACATTATATTTTTCACAGATGAAGGGCAACTTGGTATTACAGTCTGCTGGTTTATTTAAGTCTGAGAAATGAAAAGCAGGATTACTGTGGTGGGATTTTCCATCCAGTACACTTAAAAAACAATCCAGTCATAAAAAAAAAGTCTATTTAAATTAATTCCCATATGGTTAAAATATAGTCATTCTTTTCTCTAGCCATTTATGTCTTCTAGCACTATTCATATCAGTAGATTATAACATACCAATACTGCCTATAAAAATGCGTACATATGGCGTAACAACCACAGTTACCACAGTTCCCGATGGCGGGAAATAGAATTGAAGGAGGCTAATGAAGGGGAAAGGGACCAAAACTATATTTTAGAACTGCTGCTTGTTCATCTTTGCAAATTTGTTATTAGTTATGAAAGTGGTAAGTTTACTTGTAAGTAATTACTTTAGGATAAACGAAGTAAAAATATTCACCGTCAGAAGTAACTTTACTTGCACCTGGAAATTGTGCTATTGTGATTAGCAATAAGTCAGAAAAGATAAAGCTACCAAACCCATAATCAAAGGGAAAACAAAATTAAACTAGTAATTGAACCTGGATTTCACAAGTTACATAATCAACATTCAAGGGTTTGGAATTAATTTTACCGCTAAGCCAAGTCCTGGGAGATATGTACAGACATTCTTGTCCAAACGTTATAGGAAAGTGATGCCATGAATGTCTTGAGCTGAAAGAAAATGAGAGATTTGACAACTTAGAATGTAGTTACATGTCCCATTCTGGTATTTACTGTGAGTAATTTTAATTCTAAATTTATGCCATTATTTTATACACCTTAATTTTTTAATGTAAATATGCAAAAGGACTTGGTTTCTCTAATCTAGGCAGTGTATGGATTAATGAACAAAACTAATTATGAAAAGTAATCCATTTAGTCCAATAGGTGTGGCTCAGTGGTTGATCATCGACCTATAAACCACAAGGTCACCACGAGGTTATGGTTCAATTCCCGTCAGAGCACAAGCCCTGGTTGTAGGCTAGTCCCTGGTAGGGGCGTGCAGGAGGCAGCCAATCAATGATTCTCTTTCATCATTGATGTTTCTATTTCACCCTCTCTGAAATCAATAAAAATATATTTTAAAAAGGGTAATAATAAATTTATTAAAAGGGAATTTGGGACTGCTTCTTTTAAATCACTTTATAAAGGTAGCATCAATAATAATACATACTATATATAATGACGATCTATTATTGGCAGCTCAGGGGTTCTCACCCACCACTTTTGCTCATCACTAGATATCTGAAAAACAAACCAAATGTCCATTCTTATATGTGCTGAGTTTTCTAGGAGAGTTTTAATTTACCCCCATCCCATCATAACCACAAAACACTATGATTTCCAAACATTCCATTACTTTGCTATCTAAATTACACAAACCAGTTCCTTTCATCAAAATAGTTTAAAAACTCTTTGTATATTTAAAGGCCCTATTTTGCATATAGAAAATATGGTTGCTGTAGTTATGGGCATACATCAATTGGACATATAGTGTTCTATCACAACTAATTATAAATTTAAAAATGAACAAATTATTTTTCCTCCAAAAAGCTATTTTGCAGAGTTAGTTATTAGTAGAAACAGAAACTCAAGTTAACTATAAAGTTAACTTTTAGTAAAAAATGTGATAAGAAATTAGGATAATTTATAATATCTATTGCTGTTCATTGTATAAATCGATATTCATAATTAGTCTTGAATATTATAAACCATAAGCAATTAAAGTTAACATGTCTAACAAGAAACGAGGGATTTGAATGTTGTTAGGCAAATTTTTCTTGAGAGGAACATTTAACTTTTGTAGATTTTTGGCAAGAATTTTGAAAAAATATTAATGGAATAAATACAAAAGTAAGAACAATATTTAAAAATACATTCTTTTTAAAATTACATTTGCTATTTTGTTTTTGATGGCTTTTAGTCCTGCAAAAGATGTTAAAGTAGCCAGGGAGCTTTGGTTGCTGGCGCAATATAGGACAGCTTCTTCATAGTTTAAGCGAGGTTCAGGGACAAACCAATATTCACTTCCTTCTATTATAACTGAAGGTCCATGAATTCCAGCACGCTCTAAAGGAGAAGAATATCAGAGTTATGACTGTGTAAACCAAACTGCACCCTCTAAGCATGGATTCATGTTCAGAATTTTTTAAAATTGTAATTCATTTAGACTCCTGGCTCTCTCTGGACAGGGCAGTGCTTCCTGAGGACTCCTGGGCCAGTGACTGCCACCAGGAGTCACAGAGAAAGACAAATCCACCCTCCTAACCTCACCACAGCCAATCACCTCCCTCCCTGGAGATACTTCATCTCTGTTGGAGATGTGATACAGAAGAAACTGTCACTCAGGCCTGGGTTTAAATAAAGTAGATGCATCATTGAAAAAGTAAAGGCAGCTTTGGCTAAGTTTTCTTAACTCACCTGGATTGTACCAGTCTGGTGTTTTTGGAGTACGACCTGAATGAGGAAGAAAGCAAGTGGCTCAAGTTTAGTGTCCAATTATAGGTCATTGCATGTATAAGTCAGGGTCTTCAATCTACAGAGGCCTCACAGTATTGCTGAGGTTTGTCCACTTCTTGCTGAACCATTTCCTTTCATGTTATGATCACTTAGATTTAAAGTCTGTGGGGCCTACACTAAAGCTATTATAGTGGCAATAAAAAAGCAGATCTGATGAATATTAATAAAGTATCACTAACAGTTCTCCACCTTACACCATGGAAGTCACAAAGGCATGGTATAGCCACACACACCAAAGGGTCGTGGGTTTGATTCAGGTCAAGAGCATGTACCTGGGTTGCAGGTTCACCCCTGGCCCTGGTTGGGGCATGTGTGGGAGTCAACTAATTGATGTCTCTCTCTCACACTGATGTTTCTCTCTTTTCCTCCCCTCTCTCTACTCTCTCTGAAAATCAATAGGAAAAAATATTCTCAGGTGGGGATAATAAAAAACCAAATTGTTCCCTCTGTCACACTGCTTCTTTTATTTAAAAATAAGCTTTCATTCCAAGATCTAATCACCCTAAATTAGCCTTAAATTTTATCTTCTATACAAATTCTTTCATGATAAAAGAGGAAGGTACTATCAAATTTCAATAATCCAGTCTTCTATGAGGGATAGCATAAGACAGGCTGAAGCTCAATATATTAATTGCATCTCCAAAGGTTTTTTAAAAATTATAATTATAGACTAAGAGTCATTTAGACTCCTGGCTCTCTTTGGGCAGGGCATGGAGATTCTTACAATGACTCCATGAAAAAGACAGTGAAAAGGGATAACTGCCACTTACCTTTTGGAATCTGACACACCCACTCCAGTTTTGTATCACAAGCAAAAGGCCTTAAATAAATATATTCTCTGTCATTATGGAAATGCCAGCCTCTTCGCCATAGCCTCTGCGTGACCTGAAAGAGGATTGCACATTATTTTGAAGTTGATGCAACCCTTATAAAATACTAAGCTGTTTTTTTTTTAAACTCTTTTAGCTCTAGCACCAAGATATTTTTTAATAAAAAAGTACATGAATGAAATGCAGTGTTTAAAGAGTTAAAGCCTATGCAAGAGGCTGATAAAGGGATATATCATAAGATCATGTTTATGTCCCAAATGTAAATTATTGTGTGTGTTTTTTGTTGTTGTTATGAAATTGTAGAATCTTGTACCATTAAATTTGGGACAGGTCATGCTAGGAAAGAATATTTGGCTCACTGGTTTCTAAACACTAGGCTGTATTAAAATAGATATCTGAGACGTGACATAAAGGTCTGGCATCACGGGCCCAGGCTCCTTGTTTGGTGTTGCCCTGCATTCCTAGGATGTTGTCCTCTCCACATGGTCCAAGATGGCACTCCACAAATTCCGGCTGGCATCCTGGGAGGAGCATTCGTCATTTTTTGGGATGTTTTTTCTTAAGGCCAACATTCTTGTGGGTACAGTGGCAGGCGAGGTAAGATTCTCCTTCTAGAACACTGCCCTGGCTGCCCTTATTCCTGATGCAGGCAACATCAGTGGCTCTTTTATTTATTTATTTTTGGTAGATTTTTTCAATCTTTTCACATATGGGGACTCTGAAGAGACGATAGTCTAATTGCATCAGTGTTCTAGAAACTTCACCAGCTTCTCTGAAGTTTTCACCTATTCATGTGTTAAATTGGGAATGCTAAAAAAAATGGTCTGATACTATAGGTTTATTACTAGAACAGCTACTTTGAAAATAGTGCTTTTCAATGGCCTTCTCAGTTCTTTATCTCAACCCTCCTGTAACGTATCTGGTCAATCACCTTCTTGAAGCTATTTTTGGGTTTACATAGTTAAGATATTATCTAGATGTCTCTTTTTTCCCCCTCATCTTCCTACATTTTATGTGTTGGCGATTCCCCCAAATCTACTTATTAGCCCTTTGGTACTTCATTTTATATACATTTTCCCCTCCAATTCTAGTACCTTGGTTTCTACTCACTATATTTCTTACCTCTAGGTTGGTATTCAAAATATCTAAACTAAAATGTACTATATTCTCCATAAACCAGTACTCTTTCTGATTGTTTCCATAAATGCCCAGTCACAGTGGACATAGCATAGCGGGCTCTGCCACGTGGGCTTAAATTTTAGCTCTGTAACCACATAAGTTACAGAGTTATAATTTCTTCCTTGTAAGATGAGTATAGTAATAGTACTTATCTCACAAGGTTGCTTAAGTATTAAGTGAAGTAATATATGTGACAGGCCTAAGACTGTGCCTGGCTCATGAGTCAATAAGTATTAACAGCTGTATCACCACCACCACCGTCTTCACTCTCTCATAAAACATATACTCTGTCCTTGCATAAAACTTATACTTTGCCTGCCGTAAGCCGTGTAATTACTTGCTTACTTGTGTTTATCTCCAACCAGACTGTAAGTTCTGTGGAGACAATGGCTGTGTTATACTTTGTCATGATTGTACCTCCAAAGTGTCACTGACTTCTTGAGCATATTACTTACGAAATGGATAAATGAATCAACTCTGCAAAGAAAGATGCATAACTCATTTTTTTAATGTCTTTTGGTCCTATCTGTTGCATCTTGAAATCTGTCTCAAGATGAGTCTTCTCACACCTTCTTTAGTTAATGTCAAAAACTTTGAAAAATACTCTGTTGCCTACCAAAAAAAAAATGTATAAAAATGTACAAGCGTAGGCAGCAATCTTTTTCTCAACTTTGTTTTCCAAACAATACCAATTAAGGCTTCTTGATCTGTATTCTGTCCCCCCTCACTGCCTTACCTTCTCCCTTCCACTCCTACTTGAATTTATAACACTTCCTCTTACAATTTCCCTATTAGAGAGCTTTAACTATCCTCCTGGACCAAAACCTATCCCTTCTTGAAGGCCTCATTCAAGTCCCACCTCTTTCTGGAAATGTGGTACAGGAATCATTTCTTCTTCTGAGTTTCATTAGCCCTCTTTATAAAGCCCACTCATTTAGACTTATTACTGCATAGCAATAGAGCTGTCTTTCCTGAATATGAATTTTACCTTCTCAACATAAGTATGAGTTAGGTTTCTTGAGGGCTGGGCCATGCGTATACTTTACCTCCCATCACACGTAATACCACACACAAAAGGCACCCATGGATCTGCGCCGGGCTGTACATGATGCTGGACTTACTGTTAACACATGCAGATTTCCCAGCGTTGTACTGACCTTGACAGCAGCACAGTCTCTGACATCGTAATCCTGCTGGAACTCATTTTCCATCATAAAAGTAGACACCTTCAAAGACAGAGAGACTTGAGAATTTAAGACTGATGCATAAATATTTGCAATTTAGATGTAATTTAGGCAGCTTTAATAATTCAAATGTGGTTCTAGGCCATGGAAGGAAAACTTTTTCATTTCCTTTTCTGTCTGAGGATGCTAAATCACGAGAGGATTTAGAAAATGTCATAATGTCATCAGTTTCCAGATAAAGGAAGATGACAGTTTTTGAAAGTGGAGGTTAATGGTGTATTAATTTCACAGTTGGAATCACAGAATCAGGGGCTGGCAAAATACTTTTTTTTTTTTTCCCATGTGTTAAAATGCTAGTTGTTGGATGAACTATTCTCAGATATGCTCCAATTTGAAAATGAAAGCCAAGGAATTTTACATTTAGAAAGAATATACAACAGTGATGTGGAGTGAATATTAAATATTTGAGAATTATCTGCTCTTATAAGTGTTACCTAAAACTCATCTTTAGGATAATGTAAATATTTGATATAATATTTAAGGACTTTTTAGGGTTCCTCCAAACAAATCATTTTTCTCAAGTAAGGTGCTTTCTTCTTCTTTTTGGTTAATCCTCACCTGAGGATGTTTTTTTCCATTAATTTTCAGAGAGAGAGGAAGGGAGGGAGGGAGTGTGAAAGAGGGAGGGAAGGGAAGAGTGAAACATAGATGTGAGAGACACATCCATCGGTTGCCTTTCATACACATCCTGACTAGGGTTAGGGATCCAACCTACATCCCACGTAACAGTGCCCTTGACCAGAAATCAAACCACGACTCTGGTGCATGGGCAGACTCTCCAACACTGAGCCCTGCTGATCAGGGCAAGGCATTTTTTTTTTTTTTTAACATAACTCCTATATTTTTAAACAGTAAAGTAAAAGCTTCCCATTATGAAAAAAGAAAACAATTACAAAGAAAAACAAGAAATTAATTGTAAAAGATGACCATTATATCTACTATATAACTATATTTTTATACATTTGCATTATATAGAGAAAGCCTAAACATATATTTATTTTTAAATAAAAACAAGGTTAGTAGCTTATTTTATCCATATTTCATACTTGTGAATCTATTTCCACTTCAATAGATACATCTACAAAATAATTTAATGTTTGTATGATATGTGGATATATTATTTAATAATCAACTTACTTGTTATTGAAACAAATACTATTTCAATATTACCCCAAACAAGAAAGTTTAAACTTACTGGTGTACGATCACTCCATTGCCAAGATCCTTGTAAGTCAGGACTCCTTTTATTCAAACCTATCCACAGCCATCGCTCGCCACTATGTAAAAAGGAAGTGTTAAAAAAAATTGAGCATGGCCTTTGGCAAAAATATTTAACATTCACATGTCTAAAATGCTTAGGAAGTGTAAGTTTTTCCAGAAGATCTGCCACTAACGGAAAAGCTATATAAAGAAGGCTTCTGAAATGAAACCAATCTCTATATTTGGGTAGCTGTGAAAAAGTACCATAGTTTTTTAAAATTAAATTTTAAGTTATTTCCTTTCATGCAAGGCAAAAACTATTCCACTTTGAACTTAAGAAAAAAGTATATGATTATCCTAAAACTTTTACTGCAGAGTTTCAGTATTAGCAATGTCACCAGATAACAGTTAAATATGACAATGACATTTCTTTAAAGCATCTGTCTATAGCACTGTCAAATACCATCTCTTTAAAATGCAGAACAAACCATTTGGTTAAATTTTTATTAAACAAGATTCTTAAATAATTATTTAATTCATATTGCCCATAAAATTTAAAGCAAACAAGTATTTTCTAAATGCCTAACTCCATGGGCTATAGCAGAGCAATATAAAATTAAGCAATCACTGAAGTGATTATATTTAACACTAATAACTATGATACTTTTATGTACAAGTTATTGAGCTACATGAAATGGTAATACAAAGAAGTACAAGACCTAATATCTATTCTCAAATGGCATATAAACTAGTCAGAGAGATAAGATATATGTGAACAAAGAAAATATAAGACCATGTTTGAAAGACATCAAATTATATGATATTTGCATACATTTTTAACACTACAAAAGTTCAGTGAAAGGAAAGGTTCATGGTTTCTGCAGGAAGTCAGAAAATTTGTGAGGATGGAGGACTAAGACAGACTTCTGAGTTTTTACCATATGCCAGTATTCAGATTGGCTGAGAAGAGAAAGGAGAGGTAGTCCAAGGAAGAATATAAACAACAATACACAGAAGCAGGGACATACATTATAAGTGATTTCTTCCCCTCAATGAAAGATACTGCCAATATAAATAGAAATGATATAACCATAAAAAAATTTTCTCCTCCTCTAACCCAATTTGAAAATATTCTGTAAAATGTATTACACTTTCTAGACCTTAACAAGTAGGCTATTTTCCATGTAATATTTTTGTGTGTATGATGCTTGTTTCTTTTCATATAATTTAACTTTCTGATTGCCTATGTATGTATGGTCAGTACATATGAATGCATGACTATATATACATAGAAATATATGTCTATAAATATAACACATATTAGAGAAGGAGTAAAATCAAAATCTAAAATTAATCCTCACTCTCAAGCTCAGTAGAACATATAGGATATCATGGAAGGTACAGCTACAAGACCAATGGAAAATACAAGAAGTTTGGATTTAAAACTTTTGCTAGTAAATCAAAGGCTAGAGCAAACTTAGTTTTACTTTAATTCCTTATTTTTTAATAAAATAATTGTTTTTCTTTATGTCTTTATTCAACATTCCCTTGTGTTTTAATATCAATAACCACCTATTCATCTTTTTTTAAAAAAATATATTTTATTGATTTTTCACAGAGAGGAAGGGAGAGTTAGAAACATCAATAAAAGAGAAACATCAATCAGCCGCCTCCTGCGCACCCCACACTGGGGATGTGCCCGCAACCAAGGTATATGCCCTTGATCAGAATCAAACCTGGGACCTTTCAATCAACAGGTCGACACTCTATCCACTGAGTCAAACTGGCTAGGGCGACCTATTCATCTTTTCAATTTCAACCTTTCAGCTTCCTGCACTGGAATATTAAGACTGTCCTCTTTCAGTTTTGACTGTTGTATTGTATTGTTTGACAGAGGAAGATCACCAATTTGCAGACTTTAAAAAATTCCATGGAGACAGTTAAGTCCGCTTTGAAATTAGCAGCTGTAAGAGGAATGTGTAGTTGGTGTCTGCAACTAATCAAGAGCTTTCTTCCAGGCTTGCAAATGTATCATACTTCCCATTGTTGAATATCTAAACCATAGGGTTGAGGCAATTGCCATATACAATATAATTAAAACTAGATGGCTGAAATAAAGAGGTTAAGTTTTGGAGAATTGGTGCAGAATTTTGTGTTGCCCTAAAACAATCATTAGATAGTTTCTCTTCTTTACCCAATCAACAATACAAACATAAAGATAATAAAATATTATTTGCCAAAGATTCTTTAGAGATGTATCTCCAACATATCCACCCAGTTTTCTCTTGGCTTCACTTTTTCCCATTTAGAACCTCTAACCTTCAGGCCCATTTCTGCCTCCTCGGCTGTATCTCAAGTACAATTTCCTAGAGAGCCGAGTTTGCCCTACTGTCCTTAATTCCTAATTTTCACTACTTCCTGAGTTTGAACTTTTATAAATAAAGAAAATAGTAGCTATTTGTGCATGTTTTTCCTGTGTGAGAAGAGGTAGAAAATATTTTCTCAATTAAAGCTTATTTCTCACTTGACCTGATTTATCTAAAGGCAAATAAAGAGAAGAAATTGGAAATTACATTAATCATTGCATAGCTTTACTGTGGATTTCAGAAAAATTGAGAAAAAAAATTGACCATAATTAGGGACTCAAATCTCCTGAAATTTTATCTTTATTTATAAATTTCTCCTAATCCAAGCACTAAGTATACTGGTTAAGTATACTGGTTAGGCTAAGAAGGCATTGAATGGAAGGTTAATGTGTGTATTAGTGTGAAAATTCCCACTCTCAGCCAAACTTCCTGCTGCATCTGGTTTCCGAGGAAAACAGTATCTCAGCCATAACTTCTCATAAATACTATTTGATGAGGGCGCTTAGTCTGCAAAACCCTGGATTTATATCTAAATCCATTCATGCCGCATCACAGGAGGTAGTGCACACAGCAGCAATGGCATTGCAAACAAGGCTTTTCTTCTCTAATCCTATGACTGTTTTTCGCTCTACAATGGCTTTCCCTGGTGGGCTGCCATTAAGAGTTGCAAAGATCTTAGAGCCTTTAAGACTGGTCCACCATGAATCCTTTTCATTGAAATACAAATAGAGATGTGGAATGTAGATTGTGAGAAGTACAGCAGTAATCTGACTTAACTCTTAGGCATGTAGATTTGAGTAGTGGACTCTTACTGAGAAAGGTCAATTCCTGCAATAAAAAGCCAAGGTGTTCAAGAATAAGCTTTAGAATCATTCTTCTAATGTAAATAGGCTTCCTTCTTTCCTTCCTTCCTTCCTTCCTTCCTTCCTTCCTTCCTTCCTTCCTTCCTTCCTTCCTTCCTTCCTTCCTTCCTTCCTTCCTTCCTTCCTTCCCATGGTCACAATATTGCTTTTAGAATATGCTGTCTTTCTAAATATAGCATGGGCAAACGATCTCATTATTAATGGAGTGCACAAGCAGACAACACAGTGTGCTTAATATGGCATTGTGTTAGCTGCTGGGGTGAGACTGTAATACAATATAGTCCTTAAGAGCGAGAGGATTATGGTTGTTTTTCTTTGTGCTTTTCTGTTTTCTAAATTCAATGTGCATTACTTTTGTGGTCAGAAAGAAAACACACCATTGTACATTCTGTGTTACACTAAATGTTAACTGTTTATAACTTGGAGCTAGGATTTGAGGTGATTTTTATTTTCTTCATTGTTATTTTTCTATTTCACAAATTTTACATAATAAGCTTGCATCACTCTTTAAATTGGGTTAGGAGCCCCAGCAAGTGTGATCAGAAACTAAGAAACAGATCAAGAAAGCTTTCGTACTTATCTCTCAGACTTTAGTTTTGAATTTTAATGTAATCTATTTTGCATATAGAAGCCCTTAGGGATCACTTATGTCACATATGATATTCTGTTTCCCATCAGTTAATTCCCACAAATACCTATCACTTCATTGCTTAGTACTCACCCATGGCTCCCTGATCCATTTAAAGGCTCGTAACCTCTTCCTTGGTGTAATTCAAAATCTGATTTATGCCAGTATTTTACTTAAAAATGCTCTAGCCTCGACAGCATGATATGTGTGTGCCAAGCTTGAGATCTGGGGGCCTGTCAGTTACCCTGATGAAATTCTTACTTCAGGGAGGACCAGAAAGGCACGGAACGGCCATGTGGCTTTGAATGACAGATGTCCTTGAGGCAGTCACCTCAAGGACATCTGTCATTCAAAGCCACACTTGAGGCTTTGGTAACTAGCAGAGTGAATGTCAGACATGGTTTTATAGCAGTGAAATTAGAAGCTTGTTGTTAATCAACGTATTAGAAAAAGTCTCATTGGTGAAACTGAACTTACTGAAGAATGAGGAATGGCTAAAATATTTAGAGGCTCTCACCTTTCAGGGAGGCATATCAGAATCTGGTGAGGCTAGTAGCTCCTACACCACTGGCAAGGGACCTGGGGCTTGGGCTCCAAAAGGTCACACGTCCCGTCATGGGTCAGGTTTTCTGACAAAAATGAGAACAGAGTCCCACCTCGAGAATGTTGTCACATCTACCCCAAAAAAACCTGCCACTCGAGACAGTGGTGGAAACACCTAAAAAGACAGACTGCTGGGATGTTGTCAAGCTCACCAGTCAGGTGGTATGAAACATTTTGTGCCTGCTTCAACGAATGCTTGTTTAATAAATGTCTGTTTGTGTGGAAAGACTTGCTGTGAGGTTTGCATTCATTATTATCTACCCCTCAAGATTGAGGGGAGTAGGTAAGAAACACCTTAAAAGGAACCTAAGAGTTAGTATGTCCAAATGAGCTTAAGCTGCTCTGCAATGAAATTTTATATACTAATTTATTTTTAAAGATATATTTTATTGATTTCAGAGAGGAAGGGAGAGGGAAGGAGAGATAGTAACATCAATGATGAGAGAGAATATGGATCTGCTGCCTCCTGCACACTCCCTGAAGTCTAAGGCTCACAGGTTGAGAACCGCTAGCAGGGTCACCTAAGACCATCGGAAAACACAGGTATTTACATTATGGTTCATAACAGTAGCAACATTACAGTTATGAAGTAGCAACAAAAATAATTTTATGGTTGGCGGTCACCACAACATGAGGAAGTGTATTAAAGAGTCACAGCATTAGAAAGGTTGAGAACCATTGCTTCAGAATCTATTAAGATGACTGCATCATATTTGCCTTGATATATAGACTCAACCTAATATTCTTTAAAGAAATCTTAAATTGTCAAGGTGAGTTATTCTGAGGTGTTATAAGGTAGTGGATCAAGAACATGAGCTCTGCCGAGATCGGTTTGGCTCAATGGATAGAGCGTCGGCTTGGGGACTGAAGGGTCCCGGGTTCGATTCCAGTCAAGGGCATGTACCTTCGTTGCGGGCATATCCCCAGTAGGGGGTGTGCAAGAGGCAGCAGATCGATGACTCTCTCTCATCGATGTTTCTAACTCTCTATCTCTCTCCCTTCCTCTCTGTACAAAATCAATAAAATATATATTAAAAAAAAAACACACAAAAAAACATGAGCTCTAATGGGTTCAACTATTACCCTTTCCTTACTAGCTGTATAACCTTGGGCAAGTTTTACTTCTCTGTGATTGTCTTCTCGTTTAGATATAATGGGCATAGTAATAATATCTGCCTCATAGGTTGTAAGAATTAAATGAATAGATAAAACACTTAGGACATTTCTGGTGCATAGTAAACATTATCCAAGTGTCTGTTATTAAAACAGCTGTTGGTATTTACTTTTTAAAGTCTATTTATGAGGTTGGTTTGTAATTCTTTGTGCTATTGTTGGAAGGCTTTGATATCAGACCCAGACTAGTTTGTGGGGGGAAACCACGGATGGTTGCATAAGTTTCTATGTAACAGAATGCAAGCTCTTGCTTGTACAATTTAAATACTTGGTGATGACCTCTTTCGTAAGATGTGAAGGAATTCACATATAGAACTATATAGTTCCCATTTATTTCTTGGAAGATATTCATTGTCAACCTTTTCAGTCTTCCATGGTTATTGGATTATTGGTTTTCTACATATCAAATTAATTGTATAATAATTTGTATTTCCCTAGAAATTGCTCATTTAATAATTCCACAGAATTATGCATAATATTCTCATCAATTAAAAATTTCTTCATGAAATGGGTTTTATAAACCCCTACTCAGGATTTATTTTAAGTATCTGTTTCCTTTTTTATTTTCATGGTTTAATCATCAGTGGATTTTTTCCACACTGTACACTCTGGTCTCAGTGTCTTCGCTTACATTCTGTTTTCCCTGGCTCCTTCTCCTATCTTACCTTTCAAACTATTATCTTATTTTCCAAGAATATCCTTTTTCACAAAAAAAAGTTTCCAATTATGAAATCCTCCCAGACACATTTTCTCCCTCCTCTGAATTCCCAGGGCCCCTCGTTACCTATATGCTAGATTTTCCACTATAATTCTCTGGTCCCCACGGTTAGACTTGATTATTCCGTGCAAAAGGTGGGGCCTCTGTCTTCCTCATCTTTGAATCCCTCACAAAAATAATTGATATTCAATGACTGTTATGTACTGAATGACCCTTTTTAGATAATAAAACATGTTAATTCTGAATATCTAGAGGACATCCAATTTAGAATAGGAAATCTTCTAAAAGAATTACCTGAACTGATCCATTAAATAGTGAAGAAATTCCTTTATTTCATCCACATGATGGAAGCTTGGAAGGTGTCCTCCAAGTGCTTGGCAGAATCTCTCAGCTTCTTCCCAGTTCCTCTTTCTTACAACTCTTTCTATATGAAACAGCTTAACAAAATAGAATGTATAATTATAAAATATCAATTATTTTAAAATCAATTATAATCAAATGTAGGGGCCTCTTAAATGGATTTGTATAGATGTAATGAAGAGGTAGGTAAATGTGCATCTACTGTGTCACTAAAGCCGAAACCAGTTTGGCTCAGTGGATAGAGCGTAGGCCTGCAGAGTGAAAGGTCCCAGGTTCAATTCTGGTCAAGGGCACATCCCAGTAGGGAGTGTGCAAGAGGCAGCTGATCGATGATTCTCTCTCATCGATGTTTCTAACTCTTTATTCTTCTCTCTTCCTCTCTGTAAAAAATCAATAAAAATATATTTATAAAAAATAATAATGGGTCACTAAAGGCCTGCATAGGTGCCAGCCACTGTGTCCAAGGGATGACTTTTCTCAGCCAGTCTGGGAGCTGCTCCAATAATTTACCATGTCCTCCTAGACAGACCAGTTGAACCAGCAGATAAGGCTGTAAAGGATACATATGAAATGATAACAATATCATTCTGAACGCAATTGCACTGAGAACCGCACAGGAAGTACAGAACTTTTTCTGATGAAGAAGAATCACAGGGCAGACTGCACTGCTGTGGGGACACTGACCTCTTTGGTTTGTGATGACTAATGCTGTGCCAAAAGAACCACAGTCACTGCAAAAGAGGAGGAGGAGCAGAGGACACAGCAGTAGGTTGAATTATTGGTCCTGTGAATTATTCAGTTCCCTGTGATATAATTATATATTCTTGCCATGCCTCCAGGTGGGTGAAGTCTACTTCTCTGTACATTCGCTTGGGGCTCCTACCATATGACTTGCTGTGATCAATGGGATATTAATGGAAGTAAAGTGAGCAGAAGCCTGAAATGTGCTTACATGGTTTGACTTGACTCTCAGGTTCCAGTGATTGACTGTGAGGAGAACAAGCCATTGTTGGCTGCTGTCCGCTCAGCCCAAGACCCAAACTGAAGCATAGGAGATCCCAATGCATAGCCTGGAGGCCAGCAGAGCTGACCATTCAAGCCCAAACTCTATCAATCAACATGAGACTAAGTGTTTATTGTCATAGGTTCTGAATTTTGAGGTGATATGTAACGATTTCTTTCTGGAAACAGTTAACTGATAGAGACCCCCCCCCCCCCCCCCTTTTTTTTTTTTTACATTGTAAGACGTGATAGAACTCTTGGTAACGAGAATTAGAGGGACATGAGAATCATAAGCAAAGTTTCAGCATAGCATGAAGCTCACCCAGCTTTCCAGAACAAAAGAACCCCAGGGAAGAATCAGTTCTGACTCTGGCCTGCTCTTTTGGGTAGGACATGAGTTAATGTGGGAAGAGCTGTCTGATGCCAGAGATTCATTGATGCCCTTCCTGACAAGGACATGGACTTGGATTGTAGATGGATAACGTCGCTGAGGGATTGAGTGAGAATGTTACATCATTACCTTATAACAAGAAAGACTTGGAGGAAAATTTTGCCAGCCTTCGGGACAGGGGTCTTCAGGCTTGGGGGCTGCTTCTTCAGGCTCAGCAGGAGCACTGCTCTTCTTGCAGACTGAAAGTGCTCTGAAGCCTTTGCAGTCTTTTACCTCCCACTTCCCGAGGGACTTTCCAGTGGCCATAGCCACGCACCCGCCTGGAGAAGCTGGGGTTGAATGGGAAAGTTTAATTAAAAATTACATTTTAAAATTAAAGTCCAAACATTTCCCAGTGTCCTTACTCTTATCTGAGCCAAGGTGGGGAGAGAGAATAGGAAAGAAATGTGGCATTCATAGAAACAATGATGATGTGATAATGACAATAGTAATATAGAGAAGTGTTTGCTAATGCCAAGTACTATTCTAAGAGGATTAAATGAATCCTCATTAAAAAAAACCTCTATAGAGTGGATCCTGTTGTCTAAGGTAGAGTGAGGATAAGTGACTTGTCCAAGGTCTCATGTTAGTAAGTGATCGACCCAAGAGTAGAATGCAGTCCTGCGTGCAGAGCTGTACCCTAAACCATTATGCTGCTCAGCATAATCTAAGTGGTTTATATTAGCTTTGAACCACTTCAAACAACTTAGCAAACCTCAAAACAAAATGCTTAAAAGATTCAGATGCTGTTAGCATTACAAATGAAAATTAATTTTCTACAGTAAAAATTTTCTTGATGTAATTTACTTATAGGATATTTTTCCTTACATATTACCCTACTATCCCTCCTTTTTTTTTTTTTTAATGGATGCCTTTGTAAATTTTGTAATGCAATCTTGATAACTTTATATTTTATGTTTTTGCACAAAAATAAGACTGATTTAGGTTCATTTCATGTTAAGCAATTTTACCGTGATTTGTAATGCTAACAGCAAGACACCCATGAAAATCACACATGGTGTCAAAACAAGCCAAAGGAAAATTGTTTGGGCAAAAATAAAAAGGATCCCAAGTCAATTTTATAGAAAAGATTCCTTTATTAACTTTTGGTCGAGAATATGTGTATATATTTTCAGAAAACTACTCCAAGACCATGGGGATTCCTGCAACAGAGAGGAGTTGTCAGGTCTGTTCCAACAACGAAGACAAGAGGAGAAACAGCCCAGAGATGGAAGACGCTGACGACGCCTGGCCATGCTAGCAGTCAGCAGCTGTGCGCTGCTGCAGGTTGCCCAGGACCAAACCAGAGAGGGTCAGACCTGCATTGCCACCATCTGTCCATAATCCAGATATCATTGCTGGCTTGTACATATAAGGAACTATTTGACATTGAAACTGGATCTCACAATTGTTGGACACTGAAATTGGGGCTCAAATGTTTTTTGTTATTATATGTTTATTTCTAGTCTGCAGTTGCAAGATTTTTCAAAGAAAAGAAATGGGGAAAAATAGTTATAGAGACGAACCATTGAACATACTGTTAAACTATAGTGTGAAGGCAAGGGAGGTTGGGGGGAGGGCTGTAAGAGATCAACCAAAGGACTTGCATATAAACATAACCAATGGATACAAGACATGGGGGAGGGGAGGTGAAGGCATATGCTGGGGGCGGGGTATAGGGGAGGCAGGGGGGAAGTCAAGGGGGAAAAAAGGAGACATATGTACTACTATTTGTAATCCTTCAAACAATAAAAAAAAATTTAAAAAAATTCAGATGCAAAAAGGGGCAGGTACAATAAAGGCATACCTATGTGTGTTCACTATTTATTTTATGGTATCTTAAATTTTATTCATTCATACAACATTAAAAGATAGTTTATATGATTAGATCCATTTTCCAGATACTAATAAATGATTTGCTCACAATCATAGTTAGTGAGTGGTGGGAGTCAGAACTCAAACCCAGGTTTGCTGGCCAGGTGCCATGCTCCCTTTTCCATTATACCACACTGCCCGAAGTGGGCAGAAAAGAGCATACACTGGAAGTAACGAGGGCAACTCCCACTGAACAGAGAAGCCATATGGTCTCACATCTCATACTTATACATGGACAGTAAGAGGAACAAGGACCCGGGAAATAAAATGCCGTGTTATCCTGATGAAAGCGCTATTTTTCTTTGGTTCTGCCTCCCACTACCCATGATAAACCAAGCTGGCTGAAGGTGGGAGTAATGGTAAAGAAAAGCTTAATTTCAGGCCTCTGGCTACAGGACTGAGAGAATAGACATTGTAGTTACTTCTTTTTTACTGCAGCATAGTATTCCATTGTATAATGTACTAATTTTTTAATCTACTCATCTGCTGATGGGCACTTAGGCTGTTTCCAAATCTTGGCTATGATAAACTGTGCTGCTAATGAACATAAGGGTGCATATATCCTTTCTAATTGGTGTTTCTAGTTTCTTGGGTTATATTCCTAGAAGTGGGATCTCTGGGTCAAATGGGAGTTCCATTTTTAGTTTTTTGAGGAAACACCATACTGTTTTCTCCATAGTGGAATATAATGGACAAAATAAACTAATGAACAAAAACAGATCCAGAGATAGAGAAACATCGATCAGACCGTCAAACCTCAGAGAAAAGGTAGAGGAGGGTGGGGGTAAAGGAGAGAGATCAACCAAAGGACTTGTAGGCATGATGTAAGCCTAACCAATGAACAGAGATACCAGGGGGGTGAGGGCATGAGTGGGGAGAATAGGGGAGTGAGGACACATGTGTAATACCTTAATCAATAAAGAAAAAAATAAAAAATAAATAATAATTTAAAAAAGAATAAATAATACTTACAACACATTACCTCCTTAATTATCACCCATTGTGGATAATAGAAGCAAACACATTCAATTTTGGAGTAAGAAGTTAAGAAGCAGAGAGATGAAAATATAAAGTGCTTCACAATGAAGCTTCTAGATTTGTCTTGAGACTTACATGAAAAAGATAAAATAAAAATACTGACGTTGGGTTCTATCTCTATGCCATTAGAGGGTGGTTTCTGAGAACTGAGTTTTCTAGACTCTTTTATTGGGTTATTACTTTCAAGGACTTAGTAAGGAAGACATATAGTCACTGCTTCTACTTATGGTTCCATAGATAGATTCCCATCTTGAAAATTATAATCTCCCTCACATTTCAAAGGTAAGCAAAGAACATATAGAACATGTTTGGGAGATATACTATATTTCACAAGTCACTGTATACTATCACTTTAAAGCAAAGACACTCACATGGCTCAAGAAAATTCCAGTTGGAAAAGGTTACAGACCGCTTCACTCCACCAACACTTGCCCAGCTATATTCTCCACTTGAATCTACATCTCTCAGGCCAGTCCAGAAGTATTTTTCTGAAGATATAGTATACTTCTTAATCATATCATTCAGGAATTCTTGCTCAAATCTACAAAACAAAGAGTCAAATTAGAAGGTATTTTTACAATGATTGAATTACTATACAAAATTGAAGATGCACCTTTTCTTTTTTTTAGAAGGTTGGTTAGCAAAGGAACCTAGAGATAAAAGTTCACGAGTACATGTTTACTGGTGGTCATACCTGTTAGCTATAGTCAGATTGCAGTTGGTTCCAAAAGGGACCTCATCCTTGTAAATCTTGTAACAGGTTTCTCCATGTCTCTTCCAGCCCTAAATCAGAGAAGAAATATCATCAGCCACACTGTCTTCCAGACTTGATGATGCCGCACTTGAATAAGCAAGGTTTTTTAAAAATATATTTTATTTATTTATTTTTACAGAGAGGAAGGGAGAGAGATAGAGAGCTAGAAATGTCGTTGAGAGAGAAACATCCCCTACCGGGGATGTTCCCGCAACCAATGTACATGCCCTTCACCAGAATCGAACCTGGGACCTTTCAGTTCGCAGACCGATGCTCTACCACTGAGCCAAACTGGTTTCGGCAAGCAAGGTTTTGCTAACATCTCACAAGTCTGGAAACTAAGGACAAAGGCACCAACTTCATACACATGAGGAGGGTGGGGTAGAATTTCAGATAACCTCCACAAGACTGTGAGCCTGTGTATTAGTTCTCTCTATCATTAGAGCCTACCTCATCACAATAATATAGCATTATTGGTTGACTTGTCTTTGAACAGAAAGAATATAAGTAAGGGAAATAAAGATACCAGCATTGTAACCATATACATTTTTATAGAAATTCATGAATAGGTAACTCTTTCCTAGAACTTTTTTTTTCTTCTGCATGAATGTTGATTTGCTTTGCGCTCTACCTTGCTCTAATGTAAATGAACACAAGCTAGTAATTCTTCTACTTCCCTTACCAAGAAGGTGTAATTCTGCTTAGAAAAATGTATGCAGGAGTTTTACATACCTCATCTGGAGGACACATCTTATCAGCTTGTGCATCACTCATTTTTTCTCCCCTTTTCTTACATACATATTTAAGTTTCTCTTCACATGACTGAACTTTCCACTGACCTAGCTTTTAAAAAATAGGAAAAAAAATTTCCCATAAGGATATTATTTGGCATTTATTTAGCTTGAACTCTAACATAGTTTAAGTCATGATAACTTCTTCTCATGAAACTATGGGGGTAGCAGGGAGGGGTTTTAAAAGACAAGGATAGGACAAGAATGAATATACATGAATGATGAAATCTGAGAACATACTCCTACAAAATGCTACCCAACCAGCCTGCATTATTTCAGAATCACCTCAAGGTCACAAGGGAAATGAATTTCAATTTTCTTATACAAGCGAAAATAAAACCATCAAAGGATAGAAGTTGGAGAGAGAAGAACTCAGCCCACAAATAGTTGCCAGTGTTCTACTCTTCTTCCATATGACATGGCCGAGTCCACAGGCTAAAAACTTTTGGGCATGTCAACTAACCTTCCTGTCTGTTTCCTCAAATGTAAAACGATGATGGTTAGAATACCTTTTTTCCAAGAATTCTAGAATCAAAAGTTTCTTCCAACTCTTACTTTGGCTTCAATTTCAAAGTTCTCGCTTTCAAATAGTCTACTTAATATTTATTTTGCTTACTTGATTAACCCATCCTGCTTCTTCAAATTAAATTTTAATTAGTCAATTGTGATAACGTTTCTGAGAACAGAGTTTTCTAGTTGGACATTGGAATGCTGCCTAGGTATGCTATCAGTTCACTCTACCTTTGACACTCTTGTAAAGACACCTTAGATATCCTTTTAAACAAGACAGCAAATGTGACAACTTTCTAAATTATCTTTCACAACTTTCTAAATACATCTTTACCTTTGAAATACTTCTAAACACATATACCACTGATTGTTTCTACTAGAATCTTTCTAGAAAGTCGGGAGACACAATCAGCTTCCTAAATAATTAGGAGTCTCCAGGAAAGTGATATAAATAAAATACAGAGGTATACATGTTCTTTTTGCTCAAGATACAGCATGTTCAATAAATGCTTAAGTAATTCTACAGGAGCAAAATGCTCTCTAAATAAGTTAAACTTAAATTTTGATAAAATTATTTTTTTACTTCTTTAAAAAAATGTAAATGTATTGATTGTAGAGAAAGGTAAAAAGAGAGAGAGAGAGAGAGAGAGAGAGAGAGAGAGAGAGAGAGAGAGAGAGAGAGAGAGAGACATGAGAGAACACTGATTGGTTGTCTCCTGTATCTGCCCCTACCGACTGCTGAACCTGCAATCTGGGTATGTGTCCTGACCAAAATTCAAATCCACCACCTTCAGTGTACAGGATGACACTCCAATCAATTGAGCCACACCGCCCAGGACTTTTTTAATTTTTAAAGTAGGATTAATATGAAACTTAATCTGAATGTGAATTCAGAAGATGAGAATTTTCAACTGGCTACATGTTAATGGTCCCCATGCCAATCATGCCAATGGTCCCCAGAGAAAGCATCTTATTAGAACCAACCTGGCACTAGAATCTGAGTTCTAAAGCTAAAGGGATCCTCTTGATCTGTTTCAGACCAGAGCAGATTCTCTCAGACAGAAAGTGAATTGCTTACTTAGTCATTGTTTTATTTACTTTTTTTCCCCGTAGCTACCAGAAAGACACTCTCCAAGGCTCTTACCTTTTATTTTATTTTCTAGCTTAAACACAAATATCCCCACCAATTATTATTATTATTATTATTATTATTATTATTATTATACAAATAAACCCAGGAGGTTTCCTACCTTTCCTAAGTAGGAAACACAGTTGGGAGTCTTATTGTAGGGAACACTTGGTTCATTTTCATCCCAATATGTTAGAGTAACTTCAGTACCATCTGACCACTGAAATAAAGCTGGTGTATTTATGTTCTTAAGACCTGTCCATGTTTCTTCTTTGGCATCTAAAAGAAAAATGTTTTACTTGTTTGGTTTTACTCAATTACATACTTCAGTGTGTACATTGCTACTGATTTTTTACATTCTGATGTGGGGTTTTAAGAACCTTGACAGTATTATTTTTTTCATTTAAAGTTTTAATTCAAAAGATGGCATTCTTATTTATTTATTTTTAAGTATAGTTGGTATACAATCTTATATAGTGTCAGGTGTACAATATAGTGATTTGACATTTTCACATCTTAATATGTGATCACCCCACTAATTCTAATAAATCACCTGTCACAGTGCAAATTTATCACAGTATCATTGACTATACTCCCTTTCCCCTTTTCATCCACTGCCCTCATCCCCTCCCTCTGATAACCATCCCTTTGGGATTCTTAATTGACCTGTTAAAATGTTGGTAAGTTAGGCAGACTGAGTGCTGCAGGCTTTTCAGATCACTCATCAGGTAGAACACACAAGTGGAACACCTGTACTGTGACCTGTAGGCTGGCTGTTCCTAATATCTGGGTTAGATAATTCTTGCTTTATGGGGAATAATAAAATTATATACATATACTCATAGATATTCCAATTAGAAAAAGAATATTGTCCATCACCACCCTGGTAAAACAATTGACTCCATGCTTACAACAGAACAGGTATCTACTCTTAGTGAGTCCTCGGAAGTTATAATAATACTGGCACTGTAGTTTATTTTTATTCTTTAATCTTTAGCTTCAAATAATTACAAAAGTGAAATAATCATCACTCAAGTATTTGGAGAACTTAAATAGAATTTAGCTTATGAGAAGAGAAACATTATCTAATGTACTAGCTGCCAATGTGGCTATTTAAGCTTACAAATTAATTAAAATTAAATGAAAGTAAAAATTCAATTCCTCAGTTGCCCTCACTGCATCTCAAAAGCCACAAGTGGTTGGTGGCTACCATACCAGACAGCATGGATTATAGAAAGAAGGATTTCATCATCACAGAAAATTCTATTGAACAGTGCTGAGCTAGAGGGATCTAATTGTAAGCTTTCCATTCCCGCTAAGAGTCTGAAAATAGGAATACTTTAAAATGTTTTAAACCTCTCCAGTAGGATCTTTTAAAAACTTACCCCCATTGTGGAGTTTTGTCACTACCACTTCCACATCTGCTAAAGAGTGAATGCTGATGAGGTCACTGCTGAAGTCTTTGCATTTCGCATGTGCTGAATCCCAGGAATCCCTTTCCTTTACCAGCAGATAGCAAAATCCGTTATTTGGCAGCCAGTCTGCATCACAGCGGGTATCTGAATATGGCCAAATATCTGGGAGAAAAGCAGCGATTTACATTCCAGTAAAGACACATCTATTTTGAATCAGTAACGTTACAAGTTCTTCTTTCTTGAATCTTAAGGCTTCTGAAAAACTGGGGAATGTGACGTCAGGTAGTACAGTGTCATGAATGTGTGTGCCAAAAGCCTACGTGGCATTATCAGAGTGATTGCAGGGATTCAGTTAATGATGGGCCTTGTGCGATGCAAATGTGTTACGTGGCTGGGCTCAGACCATTTGAGGAGGGATTGGCGGTAGGCCTAGTAGGCAGAAGAAAGGTGTGGGGTCAGCCAATTGCCCACCAATCTCTTCGTTGGCATGAGATTTGTTTGGTTCCCCTCCAGTTTTGATGATGGGAGATGGTGAGGTCAAGTCTCCTTTTCAAGTACAGTCAGCTTAGCAGGGGCTGTGCATTAATATTCACTGTTCAAATGAATCCTCCTTTGTTCAAAAGGACAGACAAGGACTTAAGGAACAGTCAGAAATTCATACACTCCGCACCAAGCAAGGGCATCAATGGGGAGGGGGGAAGGGGTGGCAGAGGGCATCTTTGGACTCCTCTCTCCTCCCCTCTGCTCTACCTCTAGCCCTCACGGAATTAGCAATTCTTCCTGTTGGCCATGAGGAAACTCACCCAACGATGGTAAAAAAGATTAGAGAAAAAGAGTGGAAGCACAAAACCAAAAAAATGCCCTACTCTTCTCAGCAGAACTAGAAAGTAGCCTGGTTACTCAGACTTCACCATCAGGAGTTGTTTGGAATGCTTGTTATACAAAACACAGCATTTTAAAAATGTTGACAGTTTGTTTTTCATTAAAGGATAAAATTCAAGTTTAGCTAACTTTTCTCACTTGCAAGATAACAATTAATTGTAAGGTTCTAAACAGCACTTACTAATTTTATATTTTATAATTACGATAAAGATACAGAGAGAGAAAAAACATCCATAATTGAACAATCATGTTTCTATTCCAGTCTTTGTCTCCATGAATTCATATTGCTACAAGATTAAAATGGTAAGTAAGCATATCATTTTGTTCTGCTCTTTTTATTTTCCTGCTGGCAGAGTTATTTCAATAAATGCATATTATTCAATCATGTGGAAACATGATTTAGTTAATAATTACTACTTAGGAGAGTTATTTGAACTATCATTAGCCCCCCTGGTTTATTTTCATATGTGCTGTCTTTTCTATTATGCCTTTTGTTATATAAACTAAATTTGGTTTGAATCAACTTGCAAGGTAAATGTTCATTTTTCCCTATCATTTTAAAGCATATTCTTGATTCTATTTCTCTGCCCCTTAAAAATTTCAGCTGTTTTGTGCCTCTCTTATCCACAAACTCCCCTCCTTATACACATTTTGTCCTTTCGCATCTCCCTTTTTCTATCCCATTTGTCAACACCAAGACCTAAAGAACCAGCCTGGCACAGGACAGACAGAGGAGGGTTGGGCATTGTGGGGTGAGAGGTGGGAAAGCCCGAGAATGTTCTATGTCATCCATTTTCCACTTCCCATAGAAGCAGGTAAAGCTTGAGTGTGCAGCAGCAGCACCAGGACACTCACAGAACACTGACTGCTGGAAATTTCTGATCCAGGAAATCTAAGGTAGGTCCCGAGAACCTGCATTTCTAGCAAGTACAAGCGACGCTGATACTCTGTGTGGGAGCTACACTTTGAGAACCATTGCTCCAGAGAAAAAGAGACACTGTGAACAGAAATGTACTTCTTATCTAGGATGCCTCTATCTTCTCATGGAGATATACTGAATCAAAGCTTTATTTCATATACAGTTGATAATATCTAACCACAGGATCAAAGTCAATACTTTCAGCATTGGCAGTACCAGATAAAAGAACGGCAGAAATGGGTATCCGAAATGGATTTACTTGACTTCAAAAACCTGTAATTTGAAGACTGATGAGAGTAAGCGGGAAAGATACCTGTTAACTCCACGCTGCTGTTTAGTGACTTCTTGCAAACATAAGGCAGCTGAGCGTCACAGGAAAACCTCTGCCACAGACCGGTCGTGGCGTCCATGCTCGCACAGCTTGACCCACCTATGGCAGTGGCACTGAAGGTATCTTAAATGACAAAATTTCCAAACAGTTAAAAGAAGAAGATTGGAGCCAGGGTGATGGTAAATGTAATTTGCATTTTTAGTTTTCTGCTTTTAAAGAAACTCAGAAAATAGTGAAAACTGTCCATTAAGTTGAAATGTATAAGCCTCAACGGACAATCTTGTGCTTAAAGATGTCTTTCCTCAGGGGGAAATTCTCTGATATACTGCAGTTAATTTACAAACCGAAACCAAAAACCCAACCTCCGTCCCCAATCAACATCGATGTCGTATCTTGCGGTCAGAAAGCAGCTCTTAAACTGCCACTCTCTACAATAAATATACTTTTATATGATTCTGTAACACCTTTAAGACCTTGAAATAATAATAAATGAAATCTTATTTAAGTTAAATGTCTTATTAGTGTTATATTATAATTAATTCATTTTTTATGTATGCAGAATACTTTTGTGCTGAAGTTATGTGTCAGCTTTTAGGTTCTATATTTATTTCTTAAAAAGATATCTAAACCTTCTTCTGGGGAAAATATCTTTTGGCTAACTAGGGTTTTATTTACAATACATTTTTCTTTAAGGTATTGACTTGTATAATAAAATAACCATTACTATGTTGTCGGTAATGGGTGCTACAAAGGGAGACCCCAAGAGTCTTAATATGAGAGAATATTTCCATGTTAGAGTGAAGCTGCAGATGAAATACATGTGGGTCAGCCATACACATGCCAAGTTCCCTCAGGGACACAGAATGGCTCCTGGGCCATGCAATGGGGCTCGTTCTGCTCTTACTTAAAGACAGAGGGTTGCTCTAAAGGTTAGAGACAGATGCTTAGTTGTCCATGATGTGATTCAACTTGGCTGTGATGGTATCCACTTGACTACCATATAATGGCATAATGGCTATAATGAGTAAGCTTAAAAGGGCTCAGGAAAAAATTATTTTCTGAGAGGTAATCATAAAAATTGTAAAGATTTGAAATTTTTATAAGACCTTAGTGAGTGGGAAGCTTTTTTTTCCTTTTTTTCTTTTGGGGCTTTGGCTCCATGTAAAAGGTAGAGGAGAGAGTAGTTACCTGGGTCCCAGTTGAGAAAGTTTAGTGGCTTGTGGTCTGACCATTCCCAGCCTCTAGAAGAGTACAGCTGATTTAAGCCAATCCAGAAGATGCTTGCAATGCTTTCTTTTTCTGTAACAATTACACAATTTTAACAAGTGACAAAATTACCCAGTTTATTATCTAAGTCAGGCTATCTAGGAGAGTATCTATCCCACAAAGCAAGAGATGCTGAGAGACAACAACACTACAGACTACCAAGAAACCCAAAATTCAATTCTAATTTCTCACTAGCATGTGTGATTCCCTTTCTTCTAAGGTAAGAACAGACTTCTCAGAATAGCTGTTTCACTACTTTATTACCCTCTTGTCAGAAAGCAAGATATATGGTAGGGGTGTAAAGTACAACATAGGAAATATAGCCAATAATTTTGTAATAACTATGTATGATGTCAAGTGACTACTAGACTTATTGGGGTGATCACTTTGTAATACTAATCACTGTGCTGTACAACTGAAGCTAACATAATATTGTATGTCAATTGTAATTGAAAAATAAATTTAAAAAGAAAGCACTTACATACAAAAAGTAGTTCCCATTGCAGATCTAGATTTTGAGGATGTGATTGTATTCCATTAAGCATATATCATTTGCCAGAAACAAAAGCTACAAAAACCAAAACGGGAGTCCTGCCCTCATGAGGATTTAAAACTAGTAGAACAGATGTGGATCCCCAAATGGTAAAGTGCTACCAGCATTGCTTCAGAGATGTGTACATGAGCTGTTTTGTAGACAATGTAATATACATCTGTATAGTCCAAAGGAGATATTTAAATTGGAGATACAGAAGAGAGAGAGAGACACACACATGTATGCCACTGTGGAGAGGTATCATTTTAATTTATTATTTGACAACAAGATGCCATGAGCAAAAAAAGAGAAAGACAGAGAAGCAGAAATAATTTAAATAGTGAGATTAATTGCAGAAAAGCCCCCAATATGCATATGCCCATGAGCAATGGGTTCAATCTTGCATGTATGTTCCATGTGCATTGGGAAAATATGTAAAGAATTGTGAATTATTATAAGGAAGGAAGTCAACAGAATTACTTAAGAACGTGGATAAGACTTCATCAACATCATGAGGAATAATCTGAAGATACTCAGGGCCAGGTAGAAGAGAAAGAGAAAATGATGAAATAATCTACAGAAGATAAGGATGATGTTGATAAACAGGAAGTGCTCACAGGTTGGTAATATCTATAAATTTGTTAAAATAGTCTCAGTAGTAAAACACAATAACAGTTTCTTAATTCTTCATAGGGAATTATATATGATATAATATTGTATTATATGTAATCATCTATATATATACTAGAGGCCTGTTGCATGAAAATTCATGCACTGGAGGGGGGCCCCTTAGCCCGGCCTGCCCCCTCTCATAGTCTGGGAGCCCTCAGGGGCAGGAGGTGATCTGGTGATCAGGGGAAGGCAATGCTCCCATCTCACCTTTGCTGCTGCCATTGCCAGCTGTGCAAGCCTCAGCTGGCCCTGGTTACCTGAGTCTTGGGCAGCCCTGGGTTACTGGGCAGCCACCATCTGAGGAATGCTGTGCCTCAGGTTGGCCCTGGGCAGCTGAACAGTCACCATCCGAGGCTTGCCTGCACCTTGGGCTGGCCCTGGTTGTCTGGGGGGCTGTGGGGACTAGGGGACTCTGGAGGCAGGTGTGCAGAGCGGCCAGATCTGCCTGGGGGTGGGCCCGGCTGTGCTGTGCACCTGCCATCCTGGTGGGGCTAAGGGGTCTGAGCACTGCCATATTGTGGCTGTGGGCACCACCATCTTTGAGGGTGTGATGGTCAATTAGCATATTCCCTCCTTATTAGCTGTGGGTGTCACCATCTTTGTGAGGGCGTGATGGTCAATTAGCATATTCCCTATTTATTAGATAGGATATATACATATAAAATATAGTTATATTTTTATATAATTTATTTGTACATTAAATTATGTGTACATAAATTGTTCTTAAAGTATATATATATCTGTGTGATTTGCATGTAGAAAACCGTATGCATTCTTTACTTTTTAGTAGATGTATATCTATGTGTTTTATACAGAGAAAACTATAATACATATACGTCGGAGTGATTTGCATATATAAGACCATGTTCATACATTAAGGGAGTTTTAAAAGAGGGTAATTTTAACCATACACAATTTTTGTCTTATTGCCTGCCTCAAACAGGTGATTCCATTGGAACTGACACCAGGGAATGGGCAAGTAGAGCAGAAATAGCAACCGCAAACACAAAAGGTAGAGCAGAAATAGCAACCGCAAACACAAAAGAAACCATGAGCAGTAACACAAACACCAGTGTTCAAGGGATGGATAGGAGTCTGGAAAGAGGGTGGTAGGGCCAAGGCCCAATTATCACTCCACCAGAAAGGAAATGTGAGGATGAAAGTGACTTACAAAGATACACTGTGCTTTCCAGGGGCTTGCCTGTGAAAGAAAGAGATAGGGCCGCAGGAACTAAGAAAAGAAAAAAAAATATGTTTATATTAATGGTAGAAGTTTTAATAAGCTAATAGACTTTCGGAGAAGAATTAGAAACAGATGATGAAAATACAAGATGGGAGAAAAAGCTGGTGTGCCACATAGAACCTTGGGGAAGGAATGAACCTTGAACGAGCTGCATGACTGACAGTGCAGATACAGACACATTTGTAAGTATTAGGGTGAGAAATAAGGGTTTGCCTCACCTTTCTCAAGGAAATAGCTGGTAAGAATACTCTGCTAAGGAAGGAGAAGGTGGGTATTTGAGGGAATTTTGGATTCACCCTTTTCTTTCACTTGTCAGCACAAGCAAGGGCTGCCAATGCTTGTATACAAAGACCTTGAGGATTTAATGTAATGTAAATTTCTTCCTGTTAGTAAAAGCAATGAATTTTCTACCATTCCTAAAGAAGTCCTGAAAACTATGACATATTTATGGTACTCTAGACATGACTATACCCGGACATGCAGAATTCCTTTCATTCATTTCTAACTGGGGATACCATGGAGGATCAATCCTTCCCATCGTCCCAAGTTCAATGCCCTTCCTCCCATGAAGTCTTTTCAGATAATCCCCCTGCAGGAAGTCTAAAGAATCCTATCACTGCTTCAAAATTATTTTGTTGCTTATCTGCACATGGCAAGTACACATTTATGACAGACCAAAATGACCTTTGGAAGTTGTCAGGCTCCGACTCTGCTTCATTACACTTTTCAACAGGAATTTTCTTTATGTGTCTTATCACAGCTGGATGTGAATGGGAAATATATAAATCATAAAGGGCACAAACTTCTTATGTGACCTGGGCAATATGGAGCTGGAGTTTTTTTCTACATAGTACAAGCAAGAAGTTGATCACCCCTCATCTTTGCCATAAAGAAATAGATCATTGTTAGTGTAAATCTTCATACCTCATCAATAGGCAAGCCCCTGAGGAAGGTATTTCTTGACTGTCCTTGAGACCCCTGTTCAGAGGTGGGGTCCTTACAATAAAAGACTGCAGGCCTGCTAAAGGTCATTCATTTGGGATGAGCCAGAGGAGAGTCTCTTTAATGCATCATAAAAGCCACAGCCAGCAGGGGCCCTGACTGAGTAGTGTCCTAGTCTTGGGGCAACTTCAAGATGGCTCAAAGTGAAGAGCCCCTCAAGGCAGAGGCAAATTAGGAAAAATGAAAATGTGCTGTTCCTGCTCCAGGGACTGTTGGGCCCTATTTTGTCGCTTTGGGGTGTATCTATAGTTAGAAGTCCTCTGGGAAGGCCGGATCATGGAAATCTGTCTCTCTCAAACAAAATCTAGATAATATAAGGAAACCATGTCCCTTCCCTCTAGCCCCTGTATCAGTAAAACATAACGAAACAAAACTAATTAGGTGCAGGGCAAGGCAGAGAGGAAAAAGAAAGGTTTTTCAGATTGTATTAGACTTAACCTTCAAGGGGCTTGGTTCTGCTTTTTTTCTGGCTGATTCCCTGGTTCCCCCCAATTAGTAGCTAACAAATCAGAGGTTTTTTTTTTGTTTGTTTGTTTTTTTTAAATTACATTCTCCAATATGCTCTACATAAGTACAACTCTTATTTCACAACAATTTAAAAAACTTTGATCACAAAAATCTGTCTTATTCACTTTGGTTGGCCTCATTGCTCCAAGCTCAATAGTTACATGGTAGTTTTTCAGTGAAGGGCCACTTAACAAAAACTTTAAGATATTTTCAAGACTTAAATACTCTGAGTTTCAGATGTTTGCTATTACGAACACCTCTGCAAGGAACATCCTTGTATGTGTCCCATTGAACATGTATGAGTTTCTCTAGAGTAGAAATTGCTAACATATGTTGTGCACATTTCTTCACCTCTAATTAAATTGCTATATGGGACTCAATAAGATAACGTCTAAAAAACATTTAAACATCTCTCTAAAAAATCATCAACATATATTATGATTTTTTTTTCATTCATTAAAGAAATCATCAGAGACTCAATAACTTGATTTTCTGTTTACAAACTTCTAGTAAAAGAGTAAAGATGGGCAACAATCCTACAGAATTTTGCTGAGTTTATAAAAGAAGTCTTAAATAAGTAAACTACTGAGTACTCTCATAGAGTTTTATTGAGTACATAAAAGAAGTCTTAAATAAGTAAAAAGGCATACCATTTTCATGGATGAGAAGACGTAAAAATGTAGTGACAGTAATGCCTTTTTAATTAATCTATAATTCATGCAATTCAAAGTCTCAATAAGGTTTTTTTTTAATTGAGAATAACAAGCTGATCCTTAGATCCACATGAAAGAATAAATGGTAAAAAAAAAAAAAAATGAATAAGGGAGAATTTGCTCATCCAGAAAATAGGATTTACTTTGTGAGGCAGGACTAACTAAAACAGTGTGGAATAGATAGAAAGACCAATAAATAGACCAAAAGAATAGAATGGAGAGGCTAGAAATAACCTATATATCCTAAGGTTTATATTTATTAGAGATGGCATAACAAATCAGAGGGGAAAATGTAAAATAAATGGTGCTTGGTAAACTTTACTATCCATCTGGAGAAAGATAAATAAGATTCCCAGCTTTACAAACTACATTACACATGGATTAAGGATATAAATGTGAAAAGCAAAATAATAAACCTTTAAAGAAGACATGAGAGGATATTGCTACCATTTTAGGGCTAAGTAAGGATTTGCTAGATAATATAAATATGCATAAAACATTAAGTAAAAGATTGGTAAGTATAACCAAATAAACACTAGCATATTTTTTATTATGAGGCAACCAAAATAAAGTGAAAAGGTAAAGACTAGTAAAAGATTAGTGTCCAGAATATATAAAAAATATAGCAGATCAATATGCAAAAGATCAACAGCTCAATAAAAAGAAGCAAAGTATATGAACTGGCAAATTATAAGGTGAAAACCTAAATGCTCAATAAACATGAGATGCAAAACCACATTAATGATCAGGGAAATGTAAATCAACAATAATATACCATTTCACATTCATCAGATCAACCAATTAATAAGTGTGTTAACACCAAGTGGTAGTGAAAGTATAAACTAATACAACCACTATGGAAAGGATTTAGAAATTTAATTAGAGGTGAAGAAATGTGCACAACATATGTTAGCAATTTCTACTCTAGAGAAACTCATACATGCTCAATGGGACACATACAAGGATGTTCCTTGCAGAGGTGTTTGTAATAGCAAAAGCTGAAAACAACCTGTTTCTCAGTAGAGAATAGATGAATTGTGGTTTATTCATACAATGAAACACTATACAGTGGCAGTTGAAAATAAATAAACTTACGTATGGGTAAATAAGATAGTGTTTGCATTATTGCGAAACAGAACAATGGTATATTGAAAACATATATAGGATTTATAAATATGTATAAGAGCACTCATGGAATGATTATTTTGAAAGGTGAGCATGGGACTTGAATTCTGCTAACATTTTATGCTTTAAACGGAAGGAGGGAAGGAGAGAAGAATAGAGAAAGAGAGAAAGGGGATCAATCCATGTAGTAAAACAGTATGACTAAATGTCAGTGAATATTTATTTAGTTAGGGTGGTGGCTGCATAGGTCTCTATGTGATTATTTTCTACTAGAGGCCCGGCACATGAAATTTGTGCACTGGAGGAGGGGGAAGGGTATACTTCAGCCCAGCCTGCACCCTCTCCAATCTGGGACCCTTCGGGGGATGTCCGACTGCTGGTTTAGGCCTGATTCCAATCGGGCCTAAACCAGCAGTCGGACATCTCTCTTACAATCTGGGACTGCTAGCTCCCAACCACTCTCCTGCCTGCCTGCCTGATTGCCCCTAACCACTTCTGCCAGCCAGCCTGATTACCCCCTAACCGTTCACCTACTAGCCTGAGCGACACCTAATTGCTCCCCTGCTGGCTGGATCACCCACAAGTTCCCTCCCCTGCCAGCCCAGTTGCCCTTAACTTCCCTCCCCTGCAGGTCTGGTTGCCTCTAAATACCCTCCCCTGCTGGTCTGGTCACCCCCAACTGCCATCCCCTGCTGGCCTGGTTGTCCTTAACTGCCCTCCCCTGTTGGCCATCTTGTGGTGGCCATCTTGTGACCACATGGGGATGGCCATCTTGTGCAAGGGCATTGCCAGAAACCAAAACCTAATATTGTCACTGGTAATAAAATGTAAAGGGATCTGGATGACTCTGAATGATCAGAGCTATTAACTCATTGACTCTAGGTTGAGTCATTAGTGGTAAAATGTAAAAAGAACTGGCTAACCGGAACCAAACATTGTTCCCTGGTAGTAAAATGTAAAAAGAGCTGGCCAATCTCGATGGCTCTGAATGGTTAGAACTATTAACTCATTATCTAGTTGAGATTGTGGTAGTTGAGGCAACTTTAATTTGTTGATCATATGTAAATTCTTATTGATTTTCTGTTGTTGGAATTTCTCGCCTAAGAGATGTCTTTGTCTCAATAAAAGGAATGGTAAAAGACCAGAGCAATGGAGTAGTTCTCCCCGAGAGGTGGACTCCCGCCTGGTCCCCCATTTCCCCAAATTAACTATTTTCTAGCTTCTTCATTTTAGTATGTGGCCTTCCCCAGAAACCAGACTCTGAGTGGGCCCTGAACCTTGTGAGCCATGTTAAGGCATGATGGTTAATTTACATGTTACCTCTTTATTACATCGGATCCTGTCTACATGATGTTTTAAAAATGTTTTCACAATTAAAAAATTTTAAATCATCACCACTCCACAAACAAAACAAAACAAAATCCCATCCACTCCATTTGTCTATATCACTAAATCCACTTTAAGATTTCTTAAAACTCGCCGAAACAGTTTTGGCTCAGTGGTAGAGCGTTGGTCTGCGGACTGAAAGGTCCCAGGTTCGATCCGGTCAAGGGCATGTACATTGGTTGCGGGCACATCCCCGGTAGGGGGGGTGCAAAAGGCAGCTGGTCGATGTTTCTCTCTCATCGACGTTTCTAGCTCTCTATCTCTCTCCCTTCCTCTCTGTAAAATATCAATAAAATATATATTAAAAAAAAACATTTCTTAAAACTCTCCTTACCCCTGAGGACTGTGCTTGTTTAACTCACATGGAAAACCATCTAGTATGACTCAGCCATCTTCTTTACCTTCCTTGAGTTTTTCCAGTTTTCAATGTTCAGAGAGTTTAATGTTTACCTTTTAAAAAATCCTTTCACTTAGGTTTAATCCTGCAACCTCAACCCATTTTCTGAACATTAACCTCTTTTTGCTCTCCATCGCAATGGATGGAATAGGATTATAGTTAGTACGTTTTTGCTTGTGAGTTTCAGTGTTGAAGTTTAAATTCCAAGTGAAGATAGAAAAACATAAACATAAAACAACATACCTGAATGTGAAAAGAGGAAGACAGACAACCTCTTTATATTTTGGCAATTTGCTCTATTGTGTATAAGTTAAACTTACCTTTAAGATAAGTTAATTCAGCATCACTGTTGATGCTCAGTAAGTCAGCTCCTTGATTCTGACATGAAACATAAGCTTCTTTCCAAGAAAGAGCTGCCTGAGTATTAAATTGGTAGCAACTTCCCATCTGCTCATTCTTTTCCCAATTACCTTCACAGCCATTTTCTGTTGATAAAAAGATTCATTAGTGATCATAAAGTAAGGGTGTAATGTTTACTTATTACTTAGAATGCTTATAAGTACTGTGATTCAATTTGCATACTCTATGGATATGTTTAAATTGAGGATTATTGCTTGACTAGACCACAGTTTGATCCTTTGGTTACACAAAGGATTTAAAGTCACAGGACACCCAATGACTCAGGCTGATTAAAGCTTCCACTATCCTACTGACCACTCTCCCTTTATCCCTTATCAAGTACAATGCCATATTTTAGCCCTTACCTGCCTTCTATGGGTAGGAAACTTCAACTGTGCTCACACTTTTAAGCCCCCAAGTTAATGGAAAACAAGCTCACGTGAAAATGGTGGCAGACTGCAGAGAAACTATTGCATGAGTATGTCTGTGTGCAGACATGCTGCTTAAATACTCAAGAGAACCCAGGGGACTACATTATTAGGAAATTCAGTCCAAGTTTCTCCTTAATAGTTTAATGTGTAGAGCTAACTCAATATACAATATATACTAATCAATAATACATAATTATCATCATATATATGTACATGTATGTGTGCATATGTATACACACATATATGTTCATAGTATAATGTACCTATTCTTTTCTTTAACAAATATATATATATTTATATAAATAATAAATCTTCATTGTTCAGATTATTATAGGTGTTCCTCTTTTCACCCTCCCCATAGCTCCCCTCCACCTGATTCCCCACCCCAGCCCACCCCATGCCCTTGTCCAATTTCTTCCCACATCCCCTCTGAGAACTGTCAGTCCACTCCTTTTCTATGTCTCTGATTCTATTATATTCACCAGTCCATTCTGGACATGACAAATAGGTCTTGATAGAACTGGTTCAAAAATATGCTCAGAGACTCCCATGTGCTCTCTAGAAGAGGGAACATGGAGTGTGTCCGAGGCTTCCCTTGGGGCATTTCCAAAGGGCCTCATAACCAGTCAAAGGCCACATGGCCTTTCAAGCTGGAAGGGCCCTTAGCTACCATCTTGGCTAATGTCCTCCTTCCTCAAGTGGTTACAAAGGCCTAGAGGTGTTTGTGTAGAGCTAATCTGAGCTCCAGCCTCTCCATCTGGGCTGTTGATCTTCTGACTGGCTAACACTGCTCCTTCCACTGCTTTATAATGACCCAAATAGTAACAGAGGCTGCTGTGTCATGTGGTGAACACAAAACAGGTGGATTTTTAAGTATATTGCCTAAAGGTTCCTTATTATCACCAGGCCCTATGCTTATAAATCCAGGAGCTCCCAGTGCAATAGCAGTGTGTTTATTACTATAAAATAAAACCTCATGGTTTAGCAGTTTGAAAAACTAAGTCTTGCTTCCATAAAAATAACTCTGGGATGCCTATAAATACATTAAAAATCCACTCTCCTCCTGCCCCACAGAGGAGGCTAAAGGCATTGAGACACATGCCAGTCAAGGCTGCAAGTCAGAGGGGGATAAGTATGTTGGGAATAAGGATCAGGAGTCCTGGGATTTCCATCAGGCTCTACACCAATGGGGTTTGACTCTAACAGTCTGGGTGTTTGTTGCCCCTCACCTGAGAAGTGAGGGTTTGCACTGGATAACCTCCACATTCCCATTTATATCTAAAATCTCATATCCAGACTACTGTTATATTTACATGAAATTGGTGCGTGGTTGACTGAACTCTGCTTATCAATTAAAGATGACGCAAATATCGGCTTTTTTTTTTAATCTTGCAGTAGGTTCCAGGTGTTTAAAAGCCTGTGCCTCTACCAAGAAAAGTGATTATCAAAGTGTGGTCCCAGACCAGCATCATGAGCATTATCTGGGAACTCATTAAACTGCAAATGTCTGGGCCCCACTCTAAATGTACAGAATTATAATTCCTGGAGGTGAGCCCCAGAAATCTGTGTTATAATAAACTCTCCGAGTGCTTCTGTTGCCTCCTGAAGTCTGAAAACCACTGGTCCAGCATAAACCTCAATTGTCTGGAACTCTGCATTTTGAAGCTCGGCTTCCTCGATGAGGTATAAGCATGACTAGATCAGCAGGATGGCTGCTGAGTAAGGCATGATAGGACAGTTGTGCAGGACAAGGTCTGAGGGCTGGAATTCCTGGCTTTAAATCTTAGCTCTGAAATTGATTAGCTGTGTGACTTCAGGCAAGTGACTTAATCCCCCTGTGCCTCATTCACTTTGCTCATCTGTAAAATAAGGTTGTGTGAGGATTGCAGGAATTAATAGAGGCTGAGTGCTTAGAATACTAACTGACACTTGGCAATAGACAATAATACTATCAGTATTATTACTTGGGTTTGGAGCTGTTTGCTTTATCTTTACTACAGATTCCTCTAACCTAGTGCCCATTAAAAAAAAGATTCTTGAAAACATTTCTTGAGTACCTACCACACTTCAAGTACTGTGATCCTCTGTAAATCTCAACTGATTGGCAAGAAAATCTGTCCATTATTATATGCCAGATAATAATCCAACTGCTACTTTGGTCTCTTTCACTCTAAGGAATAGTCAGTTCTTTAGCACATCCTGAATTGTTTGCTTCATGTAAGACGCAATTAGAAAACATGCTCTTATCAATATATCGGATGGCAGAGGGAACAATTCATCAATTTTGTGATGATCAGGAATAATGTTTCTTTGCCCCCCACTCTTTGCTTCAGACGATAAACATATTTAAGTGTCAACCATCCTAAAAGTGCTTTTACAACTTATCTGCCCTTCAGACCACCACCTTGCCTCTCTTTTTCTTTTCCATAAAACTTAAGAGGCTTAATCACCTTCTGTTCATGTGCAGTCCATTGTAATCTAGCTTCCCTGAGTCTTTCAGATTGCTCTGTTAAAGGTCAGCACTGCCTATGCTTTTTTTACTTCCTCTCCGAGAGGTATTTGTGCAAAATACCCTCTCATTATGTGCCTTCTGTGACACTATCCTGTCTTTGTTCTCTTTTTGGCCTACTTTCAAAAGCAGGTTCATAGCTGTAAAATAAGTTCTCCCTTTCCTCAAATATATACTCCTTAGTTCTCCCTTTCCTCAAATATATACTCCTTATTTAGGCTTATATTTGTTATAATCATTTCTGAATATCTTGGACTCTTCCTTCCCCTTTCGCTTCTGGGAAATGTTATCTTTTTCTTTCCATATGTGAAGTGTACTAGCCATACATACCTGGGTTTAAGCAGATACCCCACTCTTGATCATATTCATAGTTCAAGGTGGTTGCACACCATGGCCCACTGTGCTCTTCATCAAGGATGCACTCGTGATGCCAGGTCTCAGCAACTAAGAATGGAAATTCACAAGGTCTCCCATAGGAGTTTCCATCTATGGTATATGTCTCTGTGGGGAGGGATGGGGGGGGGGGAGACAGAGGAAAGGAGAGTTAATCACTGGATAAGTTAATCACTGGATAATCAGCTTTAGCTAACTAATTTCTAAAACTGCTTTGGAAGACAGGTGGTTGTTTTCACTTATGAGCATACAGTATCTGGGCAGGCTGCATGGTATAAATATTCACAGCACAAATGCTGATTGCTCAGGTCTGAACTTGAACGCTGGCTTCGCCACTGACCAACGGTGTGCCAGTGGACAAGCTCTCCAACCTCTTTGAGCCTCAGTTTCTACATTTGCAAGTTAGGAATAAGAGTACCTAGCTCATAGGTTTGTTCATGAGGATTCAATGAGGTAAACCATGTAAAACTTCACTTAGTGTGATATGATAAAGATCTAAAACACTGTGGCTTGATCAAGAGAGGATCACTTGGCTACTGTAGTTGGCAGAGTATTTCACCAGAAGGGGTGCCCACCTGAGATTAAATGCATATCTAGATTCTTTTCTTTAGTAGAAGTGGAGCCAGTCAAATACTTGCAATCACTGAAGGTGGGTGTGGACTTTGGAACTCACTGTGGAGTTAGAGACATGGACAAATAGCCCCATTCTTCACAGACTGGTGGTAGAATCGAGGCTTTAGGTTTTGAGGAAGTGGGAAGAAGAGTTGCTGGATCTTTGAGTGAATTTTTGGAAAGGGGGAGTACATGGTAATTCAGGTTATAAAAGAAGGACCAGCTTCAACTGGGCAGTCATAGGACCAGCTGGTGACCAACAAGGCAGCAGAATCACTTTTTTCATTTTAATAACTTTCCCTGGTACACTCATGGAGAGGAACTGAAAAGTTATTTTATCCTCAAATATGCCTGGAAATACTAGAGGAAGTGCTCAATACTTATGTTAATAAAAGATCTCTTTGAATTTTTTTTTTTAATAGAACAACTAACCCTATAACTATTTTGGTCACCTTTTTCCATATCTGTAATTTTTTTTTAAAACTATGATCATTACCAGATTAAAGAATGGCTATTAGATAAAGCATAAGAATCAGATCTTATTACCTTTTACCCAGTTAGTAGGGTCCCTTAGAATGACTCTTCTATTTGCATAAAAGTGTACTTAAGATAGTATTTGGTTCCACGTCTTTATTATTCTCAAATGTTCATTTAACTGAAATGTGATGTGGCAGGATAGTAAGAAGCTAAGAAAATCCCCTGACAAGTAGAATAATGGAAACTGAGCCTCAAGACAAGGGACTCATAGCTGGCTCTCTTATCAGAGCACGCCCACACTCTATTTCTGCTGTTTTTCTCCTGACCTCTAAGGGTCCCACCTTAGAGGGACTTGCATTCATGGGCTTACCTCATGAACCTGTCTCCAAGGCCCCCTTTTCTCTGACATTCTTTCTCCTGTTGCTTCTTCTACCTTCAGCCCTTCCTTCGTTTCACAGACATGCTCTCAAAATCAACTGGACTTGCAGTGTGAAACCTTTCCCCACTACAGGCAAGCCCAAGGCAGACAGACCCTCCCCCCGGACCCAGACCTCATATGATAACAGTGAGACTTAACTTAATATTAAACAGCAATACAGCCAAAGGTAAGAATAATTTAGATGTCTTTATTTGCAAAAAATATTTTGGTTTTGTTTTCCTCTGACATATAAGTGGATCTGAACAGGGTATTTCAGTTAAAGAGTAATTTGTCCTTATATTTTATAAGGATCCTGCGTATAAGCCTAGTTTTGTTTTTAACCATACTCAAACTCCCAATATCTCATGACCAATTTCTCTTCCCATATTCAACACTTAATAGGAGAGTCCCTGAGCACAATGACTATTACTTATAGAAACATCAGTGTGTTTTTTTTTCTCTAAATTCTTGTGTTTCTCATACAAAGTGCTTTCACATACAGTTCTTTCACTTCCTCATTACCATAAGTCTCTGAGGTCAGTAGGGCAAGCATTACAAGTGAGCATCAATTGGCTACTGTGGTTGGCAGTTTATTTCACCTGCCTGAGAGTAAACGTATACTCTATCTCCTTTTCTTTAGTAAAAGTGGGGCCAGTAAAATACCTTGGAATCACTGAAGGTGGGTGTGGACTTTGGAACTCACTGTGGAGTTAGAGACATGGACAAATAGCTCCGTGAAATCCCCGTTTTGCCGAGTAGTTAAATGAGTCAGCCACCCTTAGTAGTAAGTGTCAGAAACTGGCTCTTTGATTAAAGTCCTTAACATCTAAGGACAACTTATGGCAGAATGGCAGTCTTCTCAGGTTTCAAGTTATGCTTCATAGCGGGAAGCTGGGCTTCCTTTAAAAAGCTCTCCTATTCACAATATGTTCTGCAGAATGATAAGCATGTAACAACCTCCCCAACAGCAGCTGCTAAATTATGCTCACTATTCACTGAGTTTTATTCTCACATATTTCTTTGCTGCTGCTAGATCTCTTTAAATGCCATAGGCTTCTCTAGAAAAATAGGCTTTCATGAGAAGAACCATCTCTGAATGGGGATAGCAGCCTTTAAAAGGATGAGGCACCTACATGGAAAAGTAATATAAAATTTTTGGTAATATTAGACAAAGTACCTTCAATGGTTAAAAGAAGTTGGCAAGCTTCTAAGAGCTGTTCAAAATTTAGAGAGCTTTATAACCCTGGCTCCAATCAAAGTCCATTTCCTCTGCATAATTCACCAAATGTTAAAATATGAAGAGTGGTAGCAAGGCCAAGATCTCTTAATGATATAAATGCCTATCTGGATCCTAGTCAAAGCAGTTTATTCATAAAATGTATGCAGGTGGTTTTCTCTGATGAACATGACTCACACTGAATAGGGGTTGGCTAGAGAGGCAACCCGGGCCACAATGACAAATAAATGTTCTTATATTGGAAGTAAAATAATTGATACAACAAAAGCCAAGGGAGAAATAAAGTAGCTTTGGGGAACCCAGTCCTGGAGTGGAGCTGCAGCTTTGCTGTAACAAGTGTGGTAAGTTTGGACTTCGCTTTGTAGCAACTCTGGTATCTTATCTTTCCTCTATATAGTTAGATAAGAAGCAGGGCAGGGACCAGCATGGGGAGTCTGAGAGACCGCAGTCCTAGAAAAAATCCCTTAATTAAGGCAGCAGTCTCTAAGAGAAGGGACTACATAAATTTGAGCAAAATTGCCAGGACTTAATATTTGATTACATTAGAATGAACAGTGGGAGAGGAAATCAGGTCAACTCCAGGGTGACTTACAGATTTCCGACATACTTGACTTGGAAGGAACCAGTCATCAGGAGAGGAATGGAAAAGAGGAGGCAGATTTGGTCTTGATCTTTGTGCAAATTAAATCCTGAGGTTTAAGTTGACAAGTCAGAACTACATATGCCTTCTATTCGAAATTTATAAATTTCTTATTTCAAAATTTGCTGTTCCTAACACTATATGGGTCAAGAAATCCTTTACGCCCATTTGACTCTCTCTGGGGTGGTGCCCTAGATGGGTTCTTAGTCTTTTTGGGGCCACCAACCACTTTGACAGTGGGCCCTCTTCTCGGAAGAATATTATAAACGCATAAAATAAAACACATCGGATTACAAAGAAAACCTGTTATATTGACATGGAGGCATTTTGAGCACTGAAGAAACTTAAAATTACAACTATGTCCCTCAAAAGAATTAGAGGCAAGAGACAGAAAGAGTCCTGTCAACAAAACTATACTTTCTGATCCTTGAACAAAGACAATGAAACAAGTAAAATCCAGTTCAAAAGGTATTTTGTTTCGTTCCATGTTTTCTCTTAGTTGCCAAGTTGGAGAAGGCTTGACAGCACAAAATTTAAACTTGCCATTAAGAAAGCAATTGCTTTTTAAAGCCAGGAGGAAACTGGCTAGCAGAACAGACCTGTTCAGATAGGCAAGGGTTGAGGATTGAAGAAAAGGAAAACCCCACCCCAATTCTCTAATATTTCCCTGTAGCAGCAGAACCTGGCATCTCAGAGGCAGCTGCATCTGCACTAGAACATAGAAGGGGATTTCCTCAGGACAAAACTTGCGCAGATAAGGGAAAACATGGGAGGCCAGATTATACTTAAATGAACTTTAAGAGAAGAGGGGGAAAAAAATCCCTGTATAGTTGTGTAAATTTACAAAGAAGAGCAAAGGTGAGATAATAGATAATTTTAGTTATACACTGAGTGGCCAGATTATTATTATCTCTGAACGCATAATAACCTGGCCACTCAGTACTTACTTGGAAGGAACCAGTCATCAGGAGAGGAATGGAAAAGAGGAGGCAGATTTGGTATAAGGGAAAGCTTGCAAATCTTGATATGTCAAGGGACCAGGAGATAGTGGCCCCCGGCCTCTGGCTAGTAAGTCCTCTGCTTCTTTCTAACTACCCACAATGCAGTTCTTATGCATGAAAAACCTTATTTTAAAATCCCAGCTCTGTGGTCAGTTTACACAGAGTGGCCAGATTATTATGCGTTCAGAGATCATAATAATCTGGCCACTCAGTGTATATGTATATATCTCAACTTCTGATGTAATTTAGAGCAACATGATGAAAAAAGACTTGCTTGGGGGATAGCTATTTACATTTAGAGGTTTAAAAAACAAATCTGCCTGTTCTTTTTAAACTTCAAAATCCCTTTGATCAAGTCTCTAGACTCAGAACAAAGTTCACAATCAACTCCCCAAAAGGCAATAATCATGTACTCATTTTTGGGAGCAATTGAGAAATAGTTAACTATCACAGTGTGTAATAGGCACACCAAAAATTAAAAATAAGTACATAAACCCACACGAGGCTCCTAAGTTTTTCCATTACATCAAAATCTGCAGATAAGAAAAAAATATATTTCAGTTTTTTCTTTCTCTTTTTCCTTTCATAATTTAGAATAGGTCCAACTTTACTACATCATTTATTTGACTTTTGTCCTGCACAAAGGGTTTCCTATTACCCTAACTTTTCCTTTGCTCTGGAGTTCAGGACTTAATCATGAAAAGTATGTCAATACATGCTCAGGCATCAGAGGGATTTTCAATTCCAGGGTGGCACAGAATTGCTGTGTGACCTGTAACAGGGCTCGTACCTCCTTCTCCCAGCCCCGAACCCACAGAGATAGTTCAGAGTTACTGCACAGTGCCTGGAGCTGAAGACTAGCTCACTGCCCATACCCCTGTCCAACTTTGTGGTCGGCTGTGCATGTTTAACAGCACATTTACCAAACACAACAGCAAATGAGTCCAAGTCCTCCCCAAAACTCACCATGGTAAGGCTGGGCACAGAGGTTTTCCCCCGAGCCTCCTTTCTTCCAGCGGTCAGATGAATTTGTGCTTGCTATGGCAAGTCCACCCTTCAGAGCCAACTTGGACTGGGCAGCTCCATAGAGAGAGTGGTGCTCGCACTTCCACCAGAGCATGGCTCTGGAGTCGCAGTTGAACATCCTCAAGGAGTCCGTGGGCTTGGTAAGATCGATGCCAAGGCACTTCTGGGATTGCAAGTGAAAGAGCCGGTGCTGGGACACCCACTTCCATAACTTGTCCTCAGCTTGGTCACACTCCTTGGCTATTATCCAGTCATTCAGGGGCTTGATACACTGGCCCGTGTTTTCGTTGACGATGGTGAATGGATCATTCCCTGAGTCAAGATAGACAAAGAAGATGTTTCAGGATTCTGAATTATGGGGCCCATGTGCCTTGGCCCCTGCTGGCTGATGAGAGTGTGAGCTCCATGAGACCATTCCTACCCTCCACACTGAATAAACTGTAAGGTACTACAAGGTCAGAGGACAGTGGTGGCCAGCAAGACGGAATGGTGTGTGGGACGAGCCTGGGCTCTAGGGCCCCTCGGCCTGGGTTCAGTCTGCCTCTGCTACTTGCTAGTCAGGTGATCAAGCTAAGTTATTTGACTGCTATACCTCAGTTTCTTCTGTTGTAAAAACAGTACTTCATCCAGTAGATGTGAGGATGAAATGAGCTTATACATACAAAGCACTTAGAATAGTATGTCTATTGTTATTATTCCAGGAAATACTTATCTTCCTTTGTTTAACAAGATAAGGAACTCCTTAGTTTCCATTTCCTTAAGACAGGTGGTTTACCGTCAATGAAAAATTCTGGACAACTCTGTCTTGCTTTCACTTTACTACGGCAGGTGAAATATTACATGCCATTGACGAGTCTCAGAGGAGATGGGCAGGTAAATTACTACATGTCATTGATGTGTCTCAGAGGAGAAGAAGGGCAGATTCTGAGGGTCCAGAGGAGATGGAGCTCTGGTTCTGATGGAAGAAGGGAACCTTGGCCAACTCCATCGCAGCACCTCCAGGAAGGTGAAGGGAAACCCTGGGGAGGGACTGAGGGTAGGAGGCTTACGGTGTGGGTCACCGTGGGATCCCAAATCTGAGCCTCAGCAATCACCTGAGCCACAGAATTTAAGACCCGGTAGGATGGGACAACGGCAAACTCAGAAGTAACCAGTGTTGAGCTGAAGGTGAAAGAGAGGAACCTCCTTGAATGCTCCCAGCAGTTTTGGATGAGCTGGGGAAGTCGGCAGTAACAAAGAAACCGAAATGCTGTTAACCTGGGGAAATGGGACCTCAGAATAAAATGTAATTTGCTATTATGAAAATAAAATAAAAAATGGTTGTTTCTTGCACGCCTAAGTTTGTGGAGCAAGATTCACATTTGTTACAACAATCTACAACTGAACAATTTGATCAGTGCTTTTAGAAAGAAACATTTTTTTAAGTTATAGCACATCACTACATGTTGATGAGAGTAAAGCTGAAATAGTTCTGACAAATTTAAATAATCATGATCAATGAACCAAATATTCAGCAGAAGGACCTCTAAAATTTTAGTTCCCAAAATGCACTTTCATTTTGATGCCAGTTTCATAATCACTTGTTTGACTAATATTAAACAACTTGTCTAATAATAATTCACCGACTTTCAGAGTGACACATTTTCATTCAAAGGACTTGAGGGGGGATCTAACTATGTAAATAATAAACTATAGAATTAAGTCCAGTTCCAGTTTGAACTTTGGACAGAGCGTTTTGTTTAAATAGCAATAGCAGCTACAAGAGAAATGATAGGAACAACAAAATCATTTAAAAATTTGTTAGTTTTGCTTTGAAATCTGTATTTTAAAATATAGCATAGGGTTGAAGCTAAGTATGTTTGCCCTCACTCTTTCTCCTTTGACATCACTCTTATCATGCTCTACTTTGTGGACACAGTTTGGGAAGATAGTCAACAAAAAAAGAAAACATACTATCTTAGAAGATTATCACTCACACTTTCTCTAAGGCCCTCCTCCCACATTTCCAATAGCCACTCAACCCCAGGATGCAGCTCTTTATAAACCACTAGAGGCCTAGTGCATAAAATTCATGCACAGGGGGAGTGTGACTCAACCCAGCCTGCACTCTCTCCAATTGGGGACCTCTGTGGTATTTGGCCTAAACCAGCAGTTGGATATCCCTCTCACAATCCGGGACCGCTGGCTCCTAACCGCTCACCTGCCTGCCTGCCTGATTGCCCCCTAACAACTCCCCTGCCAGCCTGATTGATGCCTGTCTGCTCCCCTACTGACCTGATTGCCCCCAACCACCTTCCCCTGCTGGCCTGATCACCCACAACTGCCTTCCCCTTCCTCGATCTGCCTCTTTCACTGTATTGGCCTCCTCTGTGCTGCACAGAGCCTTGGGACCCTGAGGCCTCACCACATGGAGCGGCCACTGGGCCCCGTCTCTGCTGTGTGCATGGCCATCTTGTGGCAGCCATCTTGTGACAACATTGTACAAGGGCATGATGCTACCTAGGCTTTTATTATACAGGATTCTCTCTCAACTCTCCAAAATAAATCTGGTGTTCCCAGGTATCAGGAGTTACTGCAGGAAAAAAAAAAAAAGTCTGCTCCTACAAAAAACAGGTGGCTGCCACCTTTTGCTGTGGCCTCACTGCTTTCTTTCCTGGGCACTCAGCTCTGTGCCCCTCAACCCCCACCAGGCGAACTGAACATGGAACAGCTTTGTCTATCTTGGAGTTCTAGGTTTTTCAGGTGCCTCTGCCAAATCCAAAGGATTAGCTGTGGCTTTCAGTGCAGTGGCAGTGGAATAAGGAGTTAGGAATCCTAGATTAAAGACCTATCTCTGCTACCAGTTAGCCAGGAGACCTCGGGGAAGTCACCTAATCTCCCCAGGGTCATTATATCTCCAAATGTAAGATGAAAGTAGTGGAGCATAAGGTATCAAATCCACTTATAATTCTAACATCATATGCTTCCAGAGGTTAAGAGTTTTCCTAGCCTTGCAGGTTTTATTGGTCTTTGCTAAGTTCATTGCATATTGTTCTTCAAAAAAAATTTTTTTATTGACAAAGTTGGAGGGATCACAATACCAGATGTCAAGCTATATTACAAAGCCACTGTTCTCAAAACTTCCTGGTACTGGCACAAGAACAGACATATAGATCAAAATGGAACCGAACAGAGAACCCAGAAATTGACCCAAGCCATTATGTTCAATAAATATTTAACAATGGAGTCAAGTTAGTCTCTTTAATAAATGATGTTGGGAAAATTGGTCAGATACATGAAAAAAATTAAACTAGACCACCAATTTTCACCATACACAAAAATAAACTCGAAATGGATAAAGGACTTAAACATAAAGTGGGAAACCATAAAAATCTTAGAAGAACCTACAGGCAACAAAATAGCAGATACATGTTGTAGCAGTATCTTTACTGATACAGCTCCTTGGGCAATAGAAACTAAAGAGAAAAATAAATAAATGGGATTACAACAAAATAAAAAGCGCTCCCGCACAGCAAAAGAAACCATCAACAAAACAAGAAAGCCCACTGCATGGGAGAACATATTTGCCAATGTTATATCTGACGAGGCTTTAATCTCCAACATTTGCAGGGAACTCCTACAACTTAACAAAAGAAAGATAAACAATCCAATCAAAAATGGGCAAAGGACCTAAATAGACACTTTTTGAAAGAGGACATAGAGAAGGCCAAGACACACATGAAAAAATGCTCAGAGTCACTAATCATCTGAGAGATGCAGGTCAAAACAACAATGAGACCATCTCACACCTGTCAGAATCGCTATTATCAGCAAATCAACAAAGGGCAAGTACTGATGAGGACATGGAGAAAAGGAACCCTTGTGCCACTGCTGGTGGGAATGCAGACTGTTGCAGCCACTGTGGAAAACAGTATGGAGTTTCCTTAAAAGGTTAAAAATGGAACTGCCATTTGACCCAGTAATCCCACTTCTAGGAATATATCCCAAGAAATCAGAAACACCAATCAGAAAGGATATATGCACCTCCTTTATTCATAGTAGCACAATTTACAATAGCTAAGATTTGGAAACAGCCTAAGTACCCATCAGCAGATGAAAGGATTAAAAAACTGTGATACATCTACACAATGAAATACTACACTGCTATAAAAAAAAGAAAGAACTTTTACCATTTGCATTAGCATGGATGGACCTGGAGAGCATTATGCTAAGCAAAATAAGGCAGTCGGAGAAAGATAAATATTATAGGATCTCACTCATTTGTGGAATATAATGAACAACATAAATTGATTAACAAAAATAGATTCAAAAGACAGAGAAACACCGAACGGACCATCAAACTTCAGAGGGAAGGCAGGGGAGGGTGAAGTGGGGTGAGGTAAGAAATCAACCAAAGGACTTGTCTGCATGCATACTAGTATCAGCATAACCAATGGATAGACACTGGGGTGGTGGGGGCTTATCCTGTGGGTGGGGGTGACCGGGATGGGGGAAAAAGGAGACATATGTAATACTTTAAACAATAAAAATAATTTTTATTGAAGTTATTAGGGTGACACAGGTTAATAAAATTATGTATGTTTCAAGTATATAATTATATAATACATCATTTATATATTGTATTGTGTTTATCATTCAAAGTTGAGTCTCCTTCCATCACTTTTTTATCTACTCATCTATTTTTGGGCACTTAGGCTGCTTCCAAATCTTGGCTATTGCAAATAATACTGCCACGAACATAGGAGTGCACACTGCATATTGGTCTTGAACCAATGTCCACAACTTTATTATGTCATACTAATGTCAGCAGCATTTTAGGTCATTCTAATCGCATTTGTATTGAGCATGTGCACTTAAGTGACAGTGATGCTTTACAAATGCTCTTCAGAAAGGAAGAAATATGTACCCTTTTCCACTTATTTCTGGGGTTCCGGGAGGCTTGACAGGCTTGTAGAGATCATAGGAGAGGTGTACTGTATAGTAAGTAGCATGGAACAGCTATGTTAAAGAGGAGTTGCCAAGCTTCTTACCTAATTGCAACACCTAAGTTTCTAGCTACTTGCTCATTCTAAACTTGTCTCTTACCCTATAAACATCAATGTTGGGTACATATATTTTTTTGAATTAGTGTTTTGGGTTTCTTTGGGTTAATTCCCAGAAGTGTAATCACTTGGTCATAGGCAGTTCCATTTTTTTATTTTTTATTTTTTTTTAGGCAACTCCATACTTCTTTCTACAGTGGCTGTACCAATCTGCATTCCTACAAACAGTGCACAAGGGTTCCCCTTTCTCTGTACATGTGTCTCTATGTTCATTGCAGTATTATTTACAACAGCCAAGATTTGGAAGCAGCCCAAGTGTCCATCAGTAGATGAGTGGATAAAAAAACTTTGGTAAATTTACACAATAGAATACTAAGAAGGAATAATGTTTTAATCTTTTCGACAGTATGGATGGATCAGGAGAACGTTATGCTAAGTGAAAAAGCTAGTCACAGAACAATTACCATATGATTTTATTCCTACATGAAATTTAATGAACAAACTGAACTACCAAGCAAAACAGACTTAGAGATAGATAGCAGGCAAACAACTCTGATTGGGAGGGAGTATTGGGGAAAGGGGTGTGCAGGGTTTGAGCAAAAAAAGATTAAAAAATGAGAGAACTCATGAACAATGTGGTGATTGTGGGGGGATGGGATGAGGTTGGGGTGGATGGAGGGGAAGAGGGCATAGAGGGGGGAAAATGAGGAAGGAAAAAATAAGTAAAATAAAATAAATATCAATGTTTCACATCTATACTGGTCACTTAACATAGGCATTAATTTCTGATATGATTTAAGGAAACTTGTTATTTGCCTTCATGCATAATGTATAAACATTCGTCCACAATATATAGGAAGAGTCTTGTCTCCTCATGATATGGCCCCATCTTCCCTTCCCCTTAGCAGGAGCTGTTCAGTCTGCCTCAGTTTGTGACTCTACTAGGATGGTAGGTTGAAGAGTGAGAAGGACTGAGAAAATGTGGAAATAATTTCTTATTTAGCAGATTTGTTAAATAAAGGTGAACAAAATATTTCAGAAATGCATTACACGTTGAAAAGATATAGAACAATTTACAAAAATGATCGTTTATTAATAGCTTTATATTGCATCTTGTTCACTTAATAACTTGATGCTGGTCCTAAATGAAATTTTAAATGTTTCTCTCCAAACATAATATTGGGACACGTCTAAATGGCAGAGGTTGATAAAAAGAAGCCTCATTACCCCCCTAGTAGTACTTTCTGTATGCTTCATTTTATATAAACATTCTAGTGGTGTTTGAGAGGAAAGGGATATGTAGCATTATCATAAACTGAAAATGAATTTTTAATATTTTCATATCCATCAATGGAAAACTATTCTTATTGTCTGGTCATTAACTCATTCCTATCTTTTAAGCTCTAAACCAAAGAGCTTTGCCCATTCCAAAGAGAAGCTGGAGTCAACATTGTATAACTACAGACAAATGGAGAGAGGGAGCTGCTTGGGAAGGCCAGAGGGTGAAGGCTGCAGCTTTTTTAATTCCAGGGAAATTCCCACAGCCCGCGTGGTTGGGCATTTTTTTGGAGTCACAGAATCATGTGTGCAGTGTTCAGGCGCAGCAGGAGGCAAGGAGAGGTCTGGGTTTGCCGGTTCAAAACAGGTCCTGAATATGATGGCAGTTTACCAGAAGTCAGAAAGTCACGGAGCACAGATTGAATGTTGTGTGCTGGTGAGAGAGAGCCTCAGCAGTTCATGATGGATTAGTTTACTTCAGGCTGTTAGCTCTCCAATGAGGCAAAAAAGGTAAACGAAGCCATTGGCACACACACCGCCACCCCCCCCCCCCCAAGAACACAGAGGTACTCCTCCAGCATCTGAGCAACCGAGACCACCTGCACACAACTAGCCAACATGCGATGGGATGCATGCGGTCAGCAGCATTGTGAAGCTGACGCACTGCCAGGCAAGCTACGGAAATGGCTGGGGTTTCCAACGTTGAATAGGACCACGAGTCTGGTCTGAGGGTGAGGGAAAGCCAATCCGAGCAGCTGCTGCTAACGGGGAGGAAGGATGCAAGAAAACAAATGGGGACCTAGTGCAGGGTGGTTGCACTTAACCCTTTGCTCTTTGCTTGGGGTTGATGAGAAAGGCCAGGGGTTGTCGAGTTTGCCAGATTCTGTCGGAGAGACAAAAATAGATCCGGCTACAGCAGATGTAGACAGAAACCAAGAGTTTAGTGACTCAAAGGTGAGTGTGTTAGACTGTAAGTTAGTTGCTGTAGTAAAAAATGTTCTCCCTGGATTGCGGGGCAGGCTTGATGAGAATTCTCACAGCAATAAAGGACTTTTGGTAGCTTCCAAACACAGAGAGGGCCAAAGAAGAATGGAGAAGTGGGAAACCAGAGGAGGGTCCTGGTGGTGGGCAGGGTGATGTCACTGACACTTTGAGAAACCTCTTCCCAACACTCTTCTGAAAAAAAAAAAAAAAAAAAAAAAAAGTCCAACTTGGATAGAAACTTAGTTCAGCCGCAAATAAAACTAGATCCACACGCAATGTGAAGTTTTCAAAAAATTCGCTTGACCATCTTTTACTTCCTCTTACAAGCAAAGATAAGCGGTGGGAGGGGACTCACAAAGTCTTTGGCACAGCTTTGCCAAGGCAAAAAGAGAAAGTGAAAGCCAGCTCCAGTCGCTGCCAAGGGGGATGGGTGAGGCTAACATCACCTAGAGCATCGCTAAGGTCGTAGGCTCCTGGTCCTGCTTCCCACAGGGAGAGGCAGGAACTCTCAGGGTAGGCGACCTGCCCTCCAGCGGGAGGCTCATGGCGAGCCTTTGGGGGTGACACCCCCATGAGGAGAAAGGGCTGCTGCTCCAGGCACTGAGGGGAGGACATCATAGCAGTCCTCCCCTGATCACTTCCAGAGACATGGCTTAACCTGACTTCCTTCCACGTGCATCCCTGGGCACGGTGATGAAGTCGGGAAATCATTACTCATCGTTGGCGCTGTGGGTGGAGAGTGCCCCTGGGCACTCTAAGTGGCAAAAGTGATCAAAGGGATGGGGCGGGAGGAGTATTGAGTGAGAAGCCCTATACTCCAGGGAAGCAAGTTGGAGGAGAGAGGATGAGGGGGGCGGGGGAGGGAAGACCCAGAAAAGCCTCTGCGCCTCCCCTAGGCTGGGCTCCCAGCCCTCGGCTCCTCCGGAAAGGCCCGGCCCTCCCACGCCCCACGCCGCCATCCTCCAGTCTCCGCCACCCCGACCGAGCGCAGAGGAGCACCTTCTCCCCAGACCTCTCCTTCGGCTCCCCTGTCCGGCTCCAGACCCCGTGAGCAAAGCAGAGATGACGGGACCCTGGAGCTCAGCCCTAAGCGGAACCGAGGGAGGGCAGCAGCCCTGGCAGCGTCGAGGCCCCCCATGCCGGCTGGCTGGCCGGCTGGCGGACGCACCCATCCCGGTTACCTGCGCGGCCAAAGGGCTCCGCCAGCTCGAAGCACCAAAGGAGCAGCACGAGGAACTGCGCCGCGCGGCGAAGGGGCGCCCAGCGCGTCCTCATCCTGAGCCGGCCCCACCGGGTGCTCGGGCGCAGGTGGCACCCAGCCTTTCGGGTGCGTCCAACCTGCCCACCAGCGCCCTTGCCCTTAGGCTCCCGGGGAGCTCTGGCCACGCCCCCTCCCCCACAGCCAATCAGATCTCCTGAGTTGGGTCTCTGGGCGGGGCTGGGCGGGGCTGGGCGGGGCGAGGACCGCCGGGGAGCTGTGGGGAGCTGTGGGGAGCTGTGCGCACCTGTGGCGGCCGGGCCCGCGGGGAGGCGGGACGTTCTCGCGCGCCGACTGGCTGAGCCGTGCAGGCGGCCGGGCTGGGGGGGTCCTGGCCCCAGATCAGTCAGGTCCCGGAGACGCGGCTGGCTGGGACTTGGCCCTGCCCCAGCGGCTGGGTTCCATCAGCTCAGGACTTGTCCTCTGCCCCACGCTCCTGTCACAGGCGGTTTCTTCGCCTCACCGCTCGGTTAGAAGAGCAACCGCATCCTCTCGTCCTCCCCAGGAGGAAATGTACATCCGCTGTGGTGCAGCTGCGGTCTAGCCGGAGGGTTCAGTCGTCCTTGGCAACGTCTTGCGCATTTGGGTAGAGCAAACAGAGGTGAGGCAACGCAAGCTGCCGCAGTTGACCAGAAGTTGCAAGAACTTATTCCAGTGACCCTACCATACTTCCAAGATGATTGAGGCTTTGTAACCATCTGATATTTGCAAGTAAGATTTAATAATGATAATAATGATAATAATAACCAATAATAATAATCCGTGGAAGTCTGCGCCCCAAACAGGCCATGGTGATAGTAGGATTCATTCTCTAACCGTGGGAACTGCTGTCATTATAAACAGGGTGACCTAAGGTGCCTGGAAATGAAGTACCTGTATTTTTAAACCCGTGTTTACTGAGCACCCGGTGTGTGCTCAAGGTGGCTCCCGTCCCTGCCAGCCAAAAGGTGAGCAGCTAGACTGTCTTCCCGATTCCAACTGCAAGGCTTTGCTGATGGCACCAACCCTCCCTTGGCTCTGCTCTTCCTCCAGACTCCCCCTTTTCAGTTTGGCAGAAACATTGAGCCCTTGCCATCGCGGGGATAAGATAAAAAGACATCCCTGCCTCTCAAACTTGCTGAGCACAGACAGAACGTCAGACTTGACGTTAGTCGTTTCGTGGTTATGTCACCATCTTCCATTCATTTATTATTTTTTAAAAAGTCTCATCATTTTGATATATGTACATATGTGCTTTATGTTTTATTATTATTATTTATTTATCACAAGTAAAAGTCAGGAATTGTTATCTTTCTTTTAAATTTGTCTTACTGTTTCACTTCATTACTGCTGTGTATGTGCTCCATGTGAGCGAGGTAGCTTACAGAGAAAATCGCCTTTTCGTAGCTGATAAGAGCAGATCTCTGATGTAATGGGAGGACCTACTGTACTGGGAACACTGAGGCGCACGCACAGTAGTAACACAGGGCAGAATGAATAGGGAGACTGGACAAGGCCTTGAAGCATGGGTAATGGGTAGGCGTTTGGCCAGGCACAGCAGGTGGGAAAATGTAATGCAGCATCAGAAGACAGTTTGAGTGCATTGTGGCTGCTCTGCCCAAAGCATGTGTGCTTGTGTAACTGAAAGTCGCTGTGGTGGGGATCTCGGCAGAAATGACAGCAGAAAGGCGAGTTGTGGCTATTTTTTGAAGTGCCTTGAATATGAAGTAAAGACTTTGACTTGATTCTTCAGGAAATGAGCAGTGGAAAGCAAGTTCTGAGTAAGAGACTCTCCTGCTGCCCGGATCCCTCCGCATCTGTTGCCGCTTGCCTTTCTGATCCTGCCCAGGTTGGAGCTCATTGAGGGCATCAGTCTCATATTCTGTATGATCATGTCCTGAACACTGAGTACTAGGCCTGCCTCAGAGTAAGCTCTCAATAAATACCACTGAATCAATGAATTCTCAGAGCTCCTGCCTTAGCCTAAGGCCACACGAGCTCCCGCTTTCTTTTTCCTTTTCTTTTCTTTTCTTCCCTTTTCTTTTCTTTTCTTTTCTTTTCTTTTCTTTTCTTTTCTTTTCTTTTCTTTTCTTTATTTTTTTAATATATCATGATTTTATTGTCATATAATAAAACAAAATATGACGCTCTAGAACTGGATCACTTGACCCTTTCTCTTCTTATCTCCTCCCAGTTCAAAATGCTTGCATCTCTTCATAGCCAGCATTCTCTTAGATCTGCAGTTAGGCTCAACGCATTCAAGCCTCAGCACAATCTTTTTTGTAGTTTTAGCCTTTTTTTTTTGGAAAGTAGGCTTAGTCTGCCCACCATAGCCACTTTGCTTCCTGTCATAACGCTGCTTTCCCTGCGCATACAGAGAATCCTTGTCCTTCTTGTACTGTGTTACTTTGTGGGGTTGATGCTTGCCACACTTCTTACAGGAAGTTCGGCGGGTTTTAGGAACGTTCACCATGTTTGCGAGCGCTATCTAACAATCATCCTATGAAGATACCACTATTATCCTCATTTTACAAAGGCGGACAAGGCAGCCAAGAAAGATGACTTGGCTAAGGTCAATAACCACAAGTGAAGATAACAAGACTTAGGAAATTTGCATGAATGTGTGTTAGTATTATTTTATTCTCAGTTACATTTAGGGAGAGGGAAAATGAGTTTTTAGGACATTTAAAGTCATGTTTTTAATTATAAAATATATCAGATTTAAACCAGAGTAGCTATGTTTGTTGGCCTCTTCCTGATCATATGTACCTTACTTACTCCCATACAGAAGGAACCACTCCTCTGAATTGTTTATCATTCTTTTTTCCAGTTTTCCAATATCTGATACATCCCTTACACGTTATCTATAACGTTGCATATTTTTTATTTTTACGTAAACTGGATCATTTCAAGTTGTGTTTTGGCATTTTTTTGTGTTTTTTTTTGTGTTTTTTTTTGTGTTTTTTTTTTTTTTTTTTTTTTTTTTTTTTTTTTTTGCCACTTACTCTTTTTGCAGCAAATCATGCACATGACATTTATTTGTGTTGGTGTGTGTTCCTATAGTTCATTCATTTTTACCTGATGTCCCATTATAAGATAAAGCACACTTTATCCATTCTTGTGTTGGTGGACACTTGGTAGGCTCCAGTTGGGTAGTGTGCTGTCCTTAGCAATGCCTCTGTGACCATTTTTGTTCATGTTTTCTGGTGCACATTGCTAGATGTTCCTGAGGGTATATTCTTAGAAATGGAGTTCCTTGAGCATAAGGAATGTTTAGCATCAACATTATTAGACAATGCTAATGTGTGCTCCAATTTGCACTCTCAGTAGTGCAGACAGTCATTCACATTGCTGAGCATTTTCTTTTTTTTAAATATATTTTATTGATTTTCCACAGAGAGGAAGGAAGAGGGATAGAGAGCTAGAAACGTCGATGAGAGAGAAACATCGACCAGTTGCCTCTTGTACACCCCCCACTGGGGATGTGCCCGCAACCAATGTACATGCCCTTGACTGGAATTGAACCTGGGACCCTTCAGTCCCCAAGCCGATGCTCTATCCACTGAGCATTTTCATTATCTTGGCATTTTAAAACTTTGGTGTGGGGTAAATGGTATCTCATTTTGGTTTGAAATGGCATTTCCCTGATCACAATTTTTTTGCCACTTACCTTTTTTTTTTTTTTTTTTACTGCAAAAAAAGGTTAAGTGGCAAACTCATGAGGACTATAATCGTGAATATAGTTTTCAATGTTCATTGGTGATTTGTATTTCCCTTTCCAATTCTTGTACAGGTCATTTGCATGTTTTCTCTTAGATCTATTCTCTGCCTTTCTTTGCTTTGAATCCCAAGGGAGTACTCTACATTTCCCAGGTTCCCTCACCTACTGCCTTATAGTTATGCTCAGTTGATGGAAATTCCTGGAGGAGATGGAAATTTGGGAAGGGGAGAACCCAAGGCGTTTCTCTCTTTTCTGCTTCGGGAGTGTCTGTGTCTCTTTTGTGGTTCCAGCTCCTACCTGGACATTCCCCTTTGTGGTCAGTTCCCCCCTGCCACCTTTCCTTTTCCCACAGGGTAGATCTGGCTGCTATTCAGATAATACCATCTCTTCTCTGTTCCTCCAGCCTCCTGGGCAGTAGTAGCTTCTTGTAGTTGTTGCATTCTGGGTAGCCTCATTAGCACTTTTTTAAAGCCCCTACAGCATCTCTGTAACTAATTATTTCCCTATATTAAACTTCTAATGAACTATCTAGCATGGGTTTTATTCTCTTTACTAGACCTTGATGATTCTGATTTAACACACCAAAAACAAAACCAAACCATACCTGAGACAGCAATCAAAATTCAGTAAGGTCTGAACACGAAAAACTGTAAATGGAGTTCTAGTATTCAACTGCGTGGGAAGTTGTAATATAAGAAGAGCCAGTCTTGGATGCATGTAAACTGCAGTTTTGATGATATCCACAGATGGTCCCAGGTGAGGTAAGAAGTACCCAGGAGGCCAAGGCAAGGGCTTGATCTAAGAATAAATTTTAGACAACTCCCACCACACCATGATAATTAAGATCTGCATTTATTCCTGGTCCTAACTAAACTCATGAGGACTATAATCATGGACATAGACATCCCTCTCCCTTCTAAAGGCAAATATAAGGTTGCAATTTATCTACTTAAAAAAATTAAACAAATCATCTTGTTAAACTGAATATCCTCCACAGACTTTAAACTATAGCACTCTCAGATGAGGAAATGTTTTGCTAGGATGCTACAGGACATTGACACAAGAGACTAGACAAGGAGCCTAAATGATTAACTTATTCACTTACTCAGCTTATTCTCCCATACAGATGCTGAGGAACTGTGGAATTCAGAGCTCAGATAAATGAACTCTGTATTTGGAGTCCATGATATACTTTCTCACCGTATAGACAAGGAAACTGAGGCTCAGAGGGTTCAGTGACCATTGTGGATACAAGAAACATTAGAAAGGTTAGATGCAAACCCTTGAGATTCATGGGCAGAAAAAACACCAAGGGCA